TCTACTAGTACAACTAAGCATAAGCTCGAATTCCCTCCCTAGGTACAGGTTGAGGCGGAAGAATACCCAAGATCTCTTGATTGTTCTCGGACTACGACACAAGGGAAAATAAAGGTATTCGGAGAATTCTCACCCTTCGCGGTGCTCATAGGTGCAGAGTTTAGCCGAGTGTTGGAAAGGTTCAAGGCACAGTGTACTATACGATAGAATTTTCTATTTATATCCCTCTTTTCTAGCAGATCAGACAAGATACTATTACATAATGGGGTTACTTTTGAGTTATCTGATTATATACTGGTGATAGCTTCACCTTTAGACTAAGGCGTTAGCAATCATGAACATCAAACACGTAAGGGTCTTGTGGAGCGACTTCTTAGGAAGTTGCTCGTGCATACTGCCTACCTACTCCGGCCCTGGTCCATACGAGACGGTCACAGAATTGCAAAACGATCTCACAACTACACATTATCACGGATGTATGAAGGCCAACGGGGCGTCACATCATCACTACCCGCCAAGACGCTAGATTCGCCAATCACGAACGAGGTACATTCTACTACTCTATTTAGGAGGATTCTTGTTCTGGTTGTTAGATAACGTTTATTCTACTATGTATGCGTTATGGGGTGCTGTTGTTGATGCGTTGAGCAGCATACACAACACAAACCAACGACTTCGTTGCAACAATCCAATTGAGGATGGAATAAGCACTGTTTGTAAAGTGTCAGCTTCAATAACGCAGCAATTGCTATGTTTGAATTGCGTAAGCTCGAAGCATTCCGTAGCAGGCCAGGGGTGTTTTTGACAATGATGGCTAATGGGCTGGTTATGTTGAAAATAGGTTGGGTAATTGTTACGTGTAGTACGAGCCCGAAAAGCGTGTGTCCTACTATTTTACATGGGATTTCTTCCCGTTTAAAATATTTAAAGGTAGGCGCGAATATCTCGTCAGGTTACAAGTTTTATGAAAGTCATAACTGTAACTTTTACCCTACATAGTAGGCCGAAAAGACCCTGGCGCTACTTTCGGAAGCATTTTTCTAGGACGGGCCTGGGCCGGTACAGTTGTCTAGACAATGCAATTGCCAACAAGGGAAGGACCATTGCAGGCTGTTCATGACCTCCCAAGACATGCAGGCAATATTGGGCAATATTGGAAAGTGAGGTTATACAGACTTCGCTTCTTGAAACAGACCCTAGAGACCCAGGCGGTCTGGGCTGGCAGATCATTTGTATATAGAGTCATCTCAAGCCACCAACAGCCGAGAGGGAGTTGGTTGGTCAAGGACTAATGCAGCCCTAGTTGATCATTGTAATCAGAATCCTCAGTTCCAAGTCCAGTTCATCTGCCCTTGTTATATTACCTCCCAATCTTGTCGAACCAACCCTAGAACGCTCCTTGCCAGCTTATCAGATGCCCAACATAGTGAGCCTTGCAGGTGAATGGAGTGAAGGTTTAACTCAGAGTCATGACTTAAAGCCAGAGCCTGTAGATTTGTAGGGTTTAGCAAGAGAGCTTCATATCTAGAGCCATCATGGCAACAACACAGGACCTGAATCTACCTCATATTCCAAGCTTTCCAGCAACGAGGCGACATTTCGTCATCTCCTGATACTGACGTAGGACTTACCTCCATAGTTCACCAGATCTGACCACTCTTTCTCTACCCCTGAATAGATAGAGCTCGTGCATGCTATCTCGTAAGGTTGAATAGGCTTAAGGTTCATTTTGAGGTCTCTTCGCTGCTTCTCAAGACTTAAAGGAGAAAGAGGCGCAAAGCAATCTAACTGGGTTCCGTCGTTAGCACGGTTACCAAAAGTGATGCATTCATAGCTTCCCTTGCTCTGGATATTCTATCAGAAATTTCTCCCAGCTCGCAAAAGCATCGTCGAACCTACCTAGATAGAGTCATTGTCAACAGAATAGAGTTCAAACAAATCAACAAGATCCCCCTCACCCCTATGAACTGGCTCAATGTCTTATCTTCTTCTCTTCTCCTCCCTTCCAACTTTTCTCTCCATCTCATACCATCCCATCATCTAATCCTCTTGAAGCCTCAAGCTATGTTCATTACTTCATCCCAATCCCTTTTAATTATTGGAACGTCTTGATCGTCTTGACAGACAGGCAAACAGACACACACACACACACAACCCATTCTGCAGCACCAGCCCCAAGACCAAGACACTTGCCTTTGCCTTCCAGATCCGATCCCACCACCCAGCCGCCTCAGAGCCGTCTCGAACGGTGCGGCAATCTCCCTAAGAAAGGGTGCTGCCATACCCTCCTCACAGACGGCGTATATCATCATTGGCAAAAGGTAGGTGTGATGAGAATTAAGAGAGTTTGAGAGGGGTTTCCTCAATGATCGAAATATCTTTACATTTCTAATATCCATCCTGCAACTGGTTAGCTCCGACTTACCCCTATTTTTAGGTCGTCGTCACTGTCTTCGTGGTCTTCGTCGCTCGGTCGGTAGCCTCAGGCGCCTGATGAAAGCGTATATAATCATTGGCAGAATTTTCCTTAAGAGAGTCTGAAAGGCTTGCTCACGCCTTGTGCTGGACCGTTGTATTTATTGTCGCAGGCAAGGCACCTGGCATGTGTTCCCCTTGGTCATGTAAGTAAATGTAGGTAGGTAGTCTTGGCGAAAATGTTGCGCAACAAATGAAATCAACGTTCGCAACTAAATGAATGGTTCGGAGCTTGCGTACCTGTTTCCCACTAGTGTTAACGGCCAGAGATGGGAGATCACCCAAACTGTGGTGGTGTCAGATGTTGAGCCCCTCAATATCGAGCCGGCCGGGTGGGCCCCGGATATGTGGAGAAATTTACCTTGGCAGTCAACCGGAAGAGCCGATATGGAAGGATCGTTGCGGGAGCCAGTACCCCGTCCATGTTGTAGGTATTTGAAGTGGAGTGGAGATTGGGATGAATCCCCGGAAATCTACGCAGATTGTGTGAGAATATATATTCGTAGATAGAATGTCCGCAAAGGTGCCTGAATTTGCCTGAATCGTAGGTTTCGTGGTGACCAAGGTTGCTGCAGGTCACTGTATCGAATGCTGAGCACTGATTGTGGTGGCTTTAATGGAGTGCCGGAGTGCTTCGAGACAGTGTGCGACTTCTACTACCTGAGGTCCTCTCATGCACTCACCCCCTTGTGCATCAAACTTATACACCAAAGATGTATGCTTGGTAGGTTGAAATGTCTAGTAAAACCCGCATCGTCTCTGATTTAGGTACTATGTATATGTCGACTGCTGCTATCACGGTGCACCATAGATACCTATGGCTTTATGTAGGGGTAACACGCCGCTATCGGTAGCACGAGCTGTGAAGCAGCGGAGTCTGTCAGTTCGAATCTGATGAGTGACAATTGTTTTTTATTTTTATTATATTGCATATTTTAAATGTAGCTTCAGTCCTTCTTTGTCTGTCTCACAATAAATTGCCTACATAGGTACCTAGCTATGGTCAGAAACTGCGAGGTCTCAATACGTAGGTACCTAGCAAACGAAATATCACAGCCCTTTAATTGATTCTATCGAAAGGAACCAAAACGGACTGAATCTTCATTACTTATCACATACGGGAGATATGCACATATCAACCCTGGTATAGAGGACCTCGACAACTCTTTACATCATACCACACTAATTACCTGTTAGTTTCACACTTTTCATGAGAGCCTGCATCGTGTAACAAGAGATACAGGCATAGGACGGGATATTCGATATCTAGCTCGGAACCCAAGGCAGCAGCAGGTGCCTCTCTCCCATCTCCTTGGGAAGACTAAGCTATTATAGGTAGGCCTTGCAGGTTAGCATCGCAGCATTTGGCAACATGTCTTACTGATTTGCATCTTGTTCTTAGGTAGACAATAATCTTAGCCTTTCCAGTACCCTGGTCTTGCGGATGTATTGAAGGTGGGGCACGGCACTCATCAAACCTGTGGGCAGGTACAGATGTCCTCACTCGTGTCTAGGTATCTGTACACTGCATGTATGCGATGTGTAGACGCTCGCATTTCAAGATAGTATAAAATCTAAAGCACATGGACGTTGGCTATTTAGAGTTCTTTACCTGTAATCTGAGTATTTTCAAGCAATACCCTCATCACTCTAAAGGAAAAGGGTAGGTAGGTAAGCACAGTACTTAAGCAGGCATCCATACTAGTACTACTTGGAAAGGTTAGTAGTATCTGCGGAATTAACTGCGTGCGGGTTGATGGCGTTTACATGGATTATGGTCAAAGCTTCCTACCCCACCTTGCGTACCTTCTTAGTATACCTACTACCTAGTAGGTATTGTACCTAGAGAGCTGCATGTACCTACCCCCCACAGCAGTTAGGTACTGGAACACGCTGTTTAGGGCGAAGAATACTACCTCTTCAGTGACGTGTCTAGGTAGGTACTTGTAGCTGCACCTGGGCACGCAAACCTCAACCATGGCCCATTACGCAAGGGCTACTACCACCAGTCCAGTCGCGACCTACAAACTTCATACTTACTTCCTTTCTTTCCTCCCAAGCTAAGTTATTCTTCCTGATACCTTCCGCCTCGCCTAGCCGAGGTCCATCATCTCAAACCACGCTTTCGGAGGCACAAAGTCCTCGTCGGCTATCCACTCCCTTGACTCATTGTGATCTCTTGACGTATTTCTGCAAACTAGGTACTGACGGCACAGCGGTCTGCACCCGCCTGGCCCATCAGCCATTTGCAGCAAGCCGCCACTTACGAACCGACTACACATCTCAACCGCACTCCGTTCATATTCGTATTCATATTCACCTTCATTTGTACACGCTTATCTTTGCCCAGGCGCTCTTGTGACACATTTACATCTATCCTGTTCCCTCAATCTAGACCACCACCGGCGAAGTTTGGGCAACCTCCCCTCCAACGCCCCACAATACGAAAGCTACAAGGCTGAGCTTTTGGTGACGAAGCCCAACACATCTCGACCACGTTGGGGCAGTTTGTGGCATCGTTCTCGTGCATCAAAATCCAATTTAAGCGTTCGCCCAGGGCGGTGGTCCATGCGGATTTGGACATTCGGGGGAGCCACGTTAAGCTGTTGTTCTCGGCGTTCGCAGACCAGTTGTTGTGGAGGGGGTGAGGTGATACTTTGTTAGCGGCTTAGCCGCCCGATCTTCACCATGGGGAAGATAACGAAGGTCATTCAGCCGAAACACAAGGAGACCTTAGTAAGTTCTTCATAACGGCAGACCGCCAGAGCTTGGTCCCACTGACACGCTTCTTTCCAGACTCCATGGCTCCAAGACTTCGTCGAATCGGCGACGTCTAAGCCGTTACCTCTCCTACCCCAGGTTCTCGCGACATTTCCTTCCCGATGGCCTTTCCCTCGCGGAGACCTTTATCACTGGATACCTCTACTCAACCGATTTGATGAGTTGTTGGAATTATTCAATACCACATACAAACTAAACGAGGGCTCCCAGAGCCGTGAATTCGGGTGTGAAGTGCTTTTGAAGAGCAGTACAGAGCTAGGAGAAGATGAGCGAAGACGGAATCTCGTTGAGCTCGGCTACCAAGAAGATGGAGATGTCTACCTTATTGAATCCATCCTTAAGTTCACCCAAATGCTTCTGGATCATTGTGGCAATCGCAGCATATATGCTAGCAGTGCCCATCTCAATGATCTTCTGAACTCCACAGATTACAGAATTTTAATCGCTGTTCTTCGAGTTGGCGTTGAACTCGCCCAGCGTTATCAGGCTTCTGTTAAACGCATACATGGAATGGCCACCCGACAGGTTCACAGTGCTCTTTTATCGAATCACTACAACATAGATCTTGACCGTGTGCAGCAAATAGCTCAACCGTTTGTCAAAACACCCATTGTGAGGCCTTCTGAATCTGGTACCGCATCCACTCCGAGCAGCGCCAGCAAGAGTAAAGAAAAATCCTTGGGAGGAAGCTCCAAGAATGTGGCCACGATGTTTGCAAATGACCTGTGTGCTATTGTAAAGCCAGAGCCAAACGAGACACAAGAAGTGCGCGCACGTTGGAATGGCTGGGCCGATGTGAAACTGACTTACTATCCGTCTCTTGGTACGGTTTCGCAAGAACAAGCACAGCCATCCGTAGCAGACCGCGGCATACCAAGTACCCCCTCAACTCCTACACCTCTACGGCGTAGTAATTCTGCAAACACCTCCCATGTTACCCCTCGCACAAACCGACAAGGTTTCGAGGACACTCCAGGCTCAGTGTCACGGTCTCCTGCTATGAGCCGTGACGACAGCATATCCCCTGGCCAGAAAGTCTTGGAAGTACCTCAATCTGCAGTTATCTCTTCCTCTCTCTATCATGTATTGGGAAAACTACCCAAAGACCTGCCCAAGGAAACTAGATACGAATTTTTGAATCGTCTTCGGGTGGCTAAAGCCTTGACGGGGTCTACAGAGTCTCGCCAGCAGGCTTTGAAAGCACGGTTACTGGCTATTCAAAATCTAGCATATATCCATGTTGAGTCTGTCTTCATTGAAAAGGTTCTACGGCACGATAGTGACGAGCCGCGACGGTTTCAATTAATTTACCAACTCGCTGAGCTAATCCGTCCCAGTGCAGATGGTTCACCACAGGTGCCTTTAGATCTTCAGTCCATTGCGCTTTCTCTGCTCGAGGCAATCTCATCATTCCAGGTTAAGATGCCCGACATCTTTTCCGCATTAAATGCGACAGTTAATCATGGCGTGCTTCTCTATGTCATTAAGAAGGCTGTTGCTGAGATGAAGGAAGATGACGTGGGTGAGCAATGGACTCTGGAAGACGAATGGCGGGACAATCTTTTCTCACTCACGCTCCATATCACTATGGCCATGGCTGCGATGAGGAGCACGCCAGAGATTATCTCAGCCGGCTTATTGGATATCCTAGTTGAAATACTAAACCTTAGATCGAGCATTGCCGAGCGGACTCATGGCACGCTTGTTGGATTCTTGGACAGCCTCGTATACAATGTTGTGTCTTCGTTTCAGTCCCTGGCTGCCGCTGACGGCCTGGAAGCGATCACCAATTTGATTACACATGAGGTAAACCTTGCGAAGCAGTTAGCCGCTAGTGGGAAAGGCACACCCTCTAGTCACCGCTCACAGGTTGTAGACTATGAGATCCCTTTCTATCAGCAGCAAAATCTCAAATTTCTCTTGAAGTTCATTCATCATGTGATGACGAACGCATTTGCTGTTGGTGGAAATACTGATCGACTGCTGCGGAATCTTGTGGACAAGTCTGAACTCCTTCATAGTATCCGCGACATCATTGAGAATGTGGCACAGTTTGGATCGTTAGTTTGGACCAATGCCGTGACTATTCTGGGCGATTTCCTGAATAACGACCCGACAAGCTTCTCTGCTGTGCTTGAAGCTGGGCTTATTAATAGCTACCTTTTCGCTTTAACTGGCCGTCACGTTACTACTCCCCAGAGCGAAGAAGGAGGCACTCCGGCACCTAGCAATGCAAACGAAAATGACGATGAATCTTCGAGGAGTTCCTCTGTCTCAGATACCCTTGAACCTGATACTAGACCACATCCTCCTCCTCAAAATGTCCTCGAACGATCTCGAGATCATCCATTGGCTGGTGGTATTGTGGCTTCTGCAGAGCCCATTTCAACAGTACCTGTTGTCCTGAACGCCATTTGCCTTAATAACGTGGGAATGAAGATGGTTGTGTCTTCTGGCACATTTGAAAGCTTCTTTGAGATTTTTGAAACTCCAGACCACGTGCGAGCAATGGCCGCAGAGGAAACTCTTGCCCAGTCCGTCGGTAGTAGTTTTGATGAGCTTGCTCGCCACCACCCATCTCTGCGGCCTGCGATTTCTAATGCAGTTTTGGACATGATTGCCAGGGTTACACACCTTGCTCGGATGAAAGCCCGTGATTCCGCTTGGGGGGCCAAGCTTGTGGTTAGAGATTCTGAGCAACGAGAACTGGTTGCTGATGATTCTCTTCTTGGGTTTGCCCCTGACGTACCCGAGAAATCGAAAGCCAACAATGCGACTAATGACTCGGGGCCTCACATTATGGATATTGATGTTCAAGGTCACGAAGACGCAGAAAAGCCATCTGATCCATTATCAGTTCATACATCGATTTGCCCATATATTGATGCCGTCGCTGGTTTCCTGACTCATTACATCAGTAACCAGAGCCTTAAGACGAGCCTAATCACAAACGGCGGGATTGAACTACTTCTAGACCTTTATACATCTCCGAGCTTACCTTATACTTGTAGAGGGACTTTTATAACGGCTCGAGGTCTCCAGAGCGTCTTGTCATCTTTGATGGAAGCCTCCCCAATAATAGGTCTTCCCTCCTTACTCAAGCGTACGCAAGATGCAATTGATGTGCTTAATGTCGTCGTCAAGTCAGAAGATTCGGCATCTTACTTCAAACCCTTTCTCACGCAAGAGGCGACATTGACTGCAAATACAACCCATGATCTAGCCAAGCATCTAGCGACAGGGACATCTGTTGTCAAATCCTTGCTTAATGCTCAACTACTGATGAGGGTACTCTACCATTCTTTCCCTTTCTCTTCGAGAAGCCAAACGCTCACACTTCATGGAATAAACGTCTTTGACTATCATAGTCGACTTCTCAAGTCTTTAGGCCCTCTTGTCCGTGCCGTGGTTCTTGAGGAAATAGCTATGTCAGATATTGTCCCACAACAGTGGTATGGCAAGAACAACGAGAACCAGGGCCACCAAGCTGCCATCAATGTGCCTAAAACTGATGATCAACAAGGCTTCAACTTTGAAGATGTGACTTTCTCTGGTACCCCTTCATCTACCGCCGTCTGGCAATGGGCCACGGGCAATCGAGTAGACCGACCTCGGGAATCTCCGAAACCCCCTCAGTCAAATCTACAATATCGTAACTACCAAACCATTAAAGGCTTGTTTGAAGCTCTGATACCCACTGCTTTCTCACTTCTGCAAGCCTACGGAAAATCGTTACTGGGGAGGCGGGAACGTGATATGTACGTTCGATCACATCATGCGCAGCTTGCGGAAGATATCAGCCTTACTGTCCTTCAACAGCTACAAGTGTTTGAGCGTGAAGGCACGGCTCGAGATTTACAATATTGGTATATCATGCTCCATGCTGCTCACGAGGTGCTGGTAAACCCCACTGCAGAAGGCAAGTTAGATATCTCGCCCACTCTCCAACGTTGATCTGCTAACAATCTTCAGGCCGATCTGAACGAGGCATACATGCTCAAAATATTATTCCGGTATTGTTGGCTTTTAAGAAGCACAACGGTCTGAAACAGCTTAATGCGATGCTACACAAATTCAAGGACGAAGTGTGTAACCCGTATGAGGGCGAGGATGGGATGGCTAGATCAAGACTTGCCTCTCTTGGCCTAAAGAAGATATTAGATATCTACGCCATGCTTGTCAATGGGAAGCTCATCACAGAAGCAGTTGCAAATGTGAACGTTCTGTCACAGCGAGCAACTAGTAGTGAACGCAGACCAGATATGTCGATTGCACCGAATCTAGTCGTTGAATTCAGAGCCACGATTCTACCTGTCATTCAAGAATTGTGGGAATCGCCGCTTATTGAGAAAGGTTCAAGGACTATTGTTGCTAAGACTATCGAAATCCTGAAAGCTATATCTTCAGCAGATGCGGAGAATGGCGCTTATAAGCGCTCTGACAAGGTTCGTCATATCGTTTCTCCAAATTCGTAGGACAACAGTGCTAACATGTTTCAGAACATGCCACCTACGTACCTTGAACCCAACAATGTCAAGTTCCCTTGGTCAACGCATATGGCAGATGTGAATTACCTTTGTGAGGGGGGAACCTTCAGCAAAGATCTTGCGCTAGAGGCAACGTATCGCAGCTTTGGCAACCGTCAGCTGGCCACAGAATATTGTTCCGCGCATGAGAAAGAAATTGCTGGCACTGGCAATCCCATCCCCTCCTACGATGCACCAAGCGACTCAGAAAATCGTTCTCCGGCTGAACGCACTGCGCAGACCGAGGAAGAAGCTATGGTCTTAGATTCACCTGCAGACGTTTCGTCAGGCATCCTTGATGAGGCACTTATCGGAGGAGACGTTGATGAAATTCGGAATGCCGCTGCATTGTCAAGTGGTGCTGGCCGAGAGACTCCACTTCCTTCGGCAGCGAAACCAGAATCTAACGGACAATCAACGTCAGCAAGCACCCCACAAAACTCTGCAGCAAAGAGCAAAACGGATGCTGAAAATGACACGCGGTCGTCATATGTGGCCAAAGAGGATCTGGATCAAGAACGAGTCAAGCTCCGCTCTAACTTGATTGATAGATGTTTAGATGTCATAGGCGCTCACCCAGGAACCACTTATGAGGTATCTGAGTTAATCTCGTCTGTTGTCTTCCGGTCACCAGGTGACGATACGTCTGCTAAGCAAGAGATCGGGGAAACTCTCGTCAATGCATTGATGTCTTTTGCGATGGATGACGACTTGCAAGCTAAAGGACGTAGCATTGCTGCTTATGCTCATCTCTTGTCTCTACTTCTCCAAGACAAGCCTTTTCTAAAAGCCAACGTCAATATCTTGAAGGAAAATGTGGGGGATATCTTGCGTTTTCTTCATGTTTCTGGATCTTCGTCTACTGAAGAGTTGTCACCTTGGATTCCGTACGTGCTTCTCATCTTTGAGATTCTACTCAGCGATGATGAGCAAATTGGTGACATTCATTGGAAAGCTCCCGATGGGGAGAATGACCCCATACAGCCATTGGAGTGGGTCCCAAAGGATCTTAATGTCAAAGAAGATGATCGTCGTACGCTTCTCAGCTCAATTCTCGAAATCCTCCCGCGCATCGGCAGAGAAGAGTCTCTTGCAGTTTCGGTCCTAAGGATTCTAGTGATTCTCACTAGGGATCGTGCTGTCGCCCGGCAAGTCGGTGATAAAAAGAACCTGCAGCGCCTATTTGTTACTGCAAAGCAGCTTTCTGGAGCCGGGGCCCTTCGTCTTGGTGATACACGGATTTCATCATACATATTAACTATTCTACGCCATGTGGTCGAGGATGAAGAAGTCATCAAACAAATCATGCGAAGTGAGATACGTACTCATCTAGATGGAGCACGCAATCCTCGACCCTTGGAACCAATCGGCTTCCTCAGACACTTCTCTCACCTTGTTCTCCGCGACCCAAAATTGTTTGTCGAGGTTTGTAGCGAGTTGGTGAAATTGAACCGATGGACCTCTCGCGATAATAGTGCTGCACGGCATCAAGTGGTTCTCTTGAAGGACCCACAAGCGGAAGTTACAAAGGATGAGGTTGGCCCGACTGTCCGAGCCACCGAAGATTTGTCTATTCAGGACATCAAGCCCTCTACAGAAGGCGAGGATAAGCAGATGGAAGATGTCTCCAAAACCACCGCGCAGGATATGAAACGCCCAGTCGTGGAAACTCCAGACGGGGTGATACATTTCCTTCTATGTGAGCTATTGAACTACAAGGAGGTCGATGACAAAGATGTCTCCCAGCTTGGTAAGGATAGTGGGCAAACTAGTGAACAGAGTTCTTCTCTGGATGCGGCTAATGACAGCGAGTCCCGCACTGTTGATGGGAAAGACAAGAAAGGAAAATCTTCGTTCAAGGCAGACGAACACCCAATCTTCATATATCGCTGCTTCCTTCTTCACTGTCTTTCTGAGCTTCTCCGAAGCTACAATCGTACAAAGATCGAGTTTATCAACTTCAAGAGAAACGCGCCACTTTTCGCTAATACACCCGTTAAGCCTCGGTCTAGTGTACTAAACTACCTCCTTACCGACCTTCTATATCCAAGTACAGATGGTCACTTGGATACCATCGTTAACAAGAAGCGACACGCTACAGGGATTCAAACACAGAACCTACTGGTTGCCCTTGTCACCAGGACTGGGGAAAAGCCTGTGGACCGTAGTCGAGACAAGTACGACTATGAAGACGAGCCAGACTTGCTTTTCGTACGTAGGTTTGTCTTAGATACTATTTTGAAGTCCTATAAGGATGCAACTACGTCCACCGAGCCTTTTGACTCCAGATATGCCAGGATGCTTTGCCTAGGAGAGGTTATGCACCTTATGATGGGTGAGAAAGACAAAGATTCGACTTCATCGCGAAGTAATCCCGATACCCATGATCGATCTCATGCACAACTACGCCGATTGATGTATGAAAAGGGATATCTTGCTGCTCTGACAACCTCTATTGCCGATATCGACCTTGCATTTCCACCCGTGAAGAAAACAATAAAATACATACTCCGCGTGTTGCGAGTACTAACAAGCACTGCTATTCACCTCAGTCATTCCAATATTATATCCTCTGTTCCGGCACAGGGCAATGTTGAAGACGAACTCATCTCCACAAGCTCTCTCTCAGATATCGAAGATGATAGGGAAGAGACCCCAGATCTCTATCGCAATTCCGCTCTTGGTATGCACGAGCCTCTTAGAGATATGAACAATGATTACTCAGAGGACTCTGAAGATGGTGAGTTACGTGTTAGTCCCCGGATAATGGGTAAAGCGCTAATAGCTATAGATGATGATGAGGAGATGTATGATGACGAGTATGATGATGATATGGCATATGAGTCCGAGGATCGCGAAGAAGATGTTAGTGACAGAGAAGAAGAAGACCTTGAAGGTATGGGACCCATTGAAGGTCTACCAGGAGAGCCTAATGTTATCGAGGTTACCATGGAAGATGACGATGATGATGTTGACGAGATGGATGAGGATGACGAAGAAGAGGATGAAAGCGATGAAGAGGAAGACTCTGATGAGATGGATGATGTTGGAGGTCACATCGAGATCGTCGATGACGAAGGCAATCCACTTGATGATGATGGTGCTTCAGATTGGGAAAGCGACCCGGAGGGCGGAGCCGACGAAGAAGCAGGAATCGAGTTTGATCCAGAAGGTCCAGGACTCCAGGAAGCCGACATTCACTTAGATGATGTCGAAGGATTGAACCGCTTCGGAGAAATCATGCGTGCGATTGGCGATGGAGATTTTGAACCGATAGTTGAAGATTTACCTCAGCTCAACGATCGGTACATCGAAGAAGATGAGGATGATGGTGAGCTACCCACGGCTTCCTCTTGCACCGAGCTAACGAGGAACATAGAAGAAGACGACGATGATGAGGATATGGATGACGAATACGCATATGAAGAGGAGTACCCCAGTAAGTTGTCCATCCGTTTAACCCTTGATGAAAAACTCACTCATGTGATGTAGATGATCCGCCACCTCGAGATATTGTCGCTCCTAGTTTGGGATGGGACACTGTAGTGTTAGACCATGGAGGATTATTTGGCGGGCGCCGTCGACATCCACCCATTGATCGTCAACCCATGTCGCTCCCCTTCATGATGCCCCAGCGTGAGCAAGTCCACAGCTTCACCGGTACGTTTAAGGACAATTGAAATGAGCTCTCCACGCTGTGATCAATCCTTTACCATCACACTCTATACTAACATTGACTTAGTAGATCCACGGATGCGTGCCGGCCAACCTCGCGATGCACGTATGCCTAGCAACGAAGACGGCATTAATCCTCTTTTACGTAGAACCCACGGAGACAGTCGTGATGCCTCCCCACGCCCCTCAAATTTCACTGGCAATCTCCTTCGGCTAGGGCTACCAAATAACATTTTACCTGGACACGAGAATCCGGCGTCGTTCTTTAACGAGCTTATGGCATCTCTACCACTTCAATTCACTCGCAATGGCCATCCCCATGCCCTTCACTTCTCATTTAGTTCCCGAGCACATATGAACGAGATACCTCTTCCCTTTACTATACCGTCACGAGAAACAAGGTCCGATAACCGCCGCGATCTTTACCAAGAACCCATTCAAGCCACCTCTTTCAGTGCTGAACACACAGTATTCCGTTGGACTGAAGAAATGAAAATGATCTTCGGCTCACATCATCAAGACAAGGCAGGCAAACTACTTCCTGCAGTCATGTTCCACCTTGTCCCCCCCGCTATTGTTGAGGAGAAGAGATTGCAAGCAGAAAAACAACGGATTGAGGACGCAGAACGAAAGAAACGGGAAGAGGAGGAACGAAAAGCCAAGGAAGCTAGGGAAGCCAAGGAGGCAGAAGAGAAAGCTGCTCGGGAACAGAAAGAAGCAGAAGAGCGTGAGCGTGCCGCAGAAGCTGCAGCTGCCGCCGCTGCCGAAGCCCAGGCCGCCTCTACTAATGAGGACGTTCAAGACGGTCAAGTTGAACCAGATGTTATGGAAGGCGTCGAACCGTCGGGTGAAACTACAGGCGATGAACGAGATAATGCAGCCGTGGCTAATCAAGCTCGGTCATTCACCACCATCAGAGGCGAACAGGTTGATATCACAGAGCTTGGCATTGATCCTGATTATTTAGAAGCCCTTCCCGAGGAATTTCGAGAAGAAGTGATTGCTCAAACAGTCAGCTCGAGGCGAGCTGAGGCTAGGGAAGCCACTGGAGGAGCCGGAGAGCAGACCGAAATCTTCCAGGAATTCCTAGATGCCCTTCCTGAAGAGATTCGCGAGGAAATTGTCAGACAAGAAGGTGCCGAACGCCGCCGACGAGACCGAGAAGAGGCCCGACGTCAAGCCACAGCAGCCGGCCAAGCACCTGAAGCACAAGACATGGACCCCGCGAGTATTCTTATGAGCTTTGATGAAGGCCTTCGAGACGAAGTTCTGTTGGAGCAGCCAGAGATTATGGATTCTTTACCACCTGATTTGGCGCTTCTTGTCCGACCCCGACAAAGCATCCGTACAAATCCTATTGTTGCCGAAGAAAGACGTTCTGGAGGAGTCACTCGTGGACGGGACACCATTCAGGCAAGCGGACCAACGGGTGAAGACAATAAACCTCCGCGAAAAGCCGTCGTTCAGATGTTGGATAAAGCAGGGGTTGCTACCTTACTCCGCCTTATGTTCATTAACATGAAGGGGGGTTCTATCGAAAATCCGCTGAAGAATGTGATCAAGGATGTGTGCGAAAATCGACAAAATCGGTTGGAAGTTATCAGCACCCTCCTTCAGATTTTGCAGGATGGCTCTACTGATATGGATGCCGTTGAACGCAGTTTTACGCATCTTTCCATAAGAGCCAAGCAGCCCAAGGATAAAGAAGGGAAGACACAAACTCCCCAAGGACTTAAGCGCACATCCACGAACATTAATAATCATCAATCACTGCAGACGACTTCAGACACATCGCCTCTTCTCATCGTTCAGCAATGCCTAGACTTACTATGCTTCCTTGCAGATCAAAACGTTCATGTACCCTCCCTCTTCCTAACCGAACATGACGTGGTTGTGAGCTCTCTTAAGCGCAGCCTGAGTCGAAAGGGAAAAGGCAAAGAGAGCAAAGCCCAGAAGTACGCCATCAATTCGTTGACGTCTCTCCTTGATCGGGATCTCGTAATGGAAAGCTCGTCCATCATGGACAGCCTCTCCCAGCTCTTGAGTCGTGTAACCTTTCCACTCCTAACTCTTGATCGAAAGCAAAAGGAGGCCAAGGAAGCTATCAAGTTATTGGAGGCCGAAAATGCGAAGGCACGGGATGAGTCAGCAGCCAACCAAACGACTACTTCAGGAACGCAGCCCCCAGATCAAGCACTCGTTACAAGTGAAAATACCGAAGTCTCCAATCCGTCTGATCCATCGAATGACCAGCCGAAGGCGCCTACGGCACTGGAAAAGAAACAAGCCGCGCTCAAGAAGATCAACCAGTTGCATCCACCTATCATTCCTGACGCAAATCTAACCCTCATCATCAAGATATTTGTTGCGCGAGAATGCAGTTCAAAAACATTCAAGGAGACGCTGTCCACAATCAAGAATCTTTCGGTAATTCCGGGGGCAATGCTTGTTTTCGGTCAAGAGCTTGCCCGTCAAGCACAGGTACTGAGTGAAAAGATCGTAGTACATCTCGATGAACTGTTACCGCATATTCAAAGTGCCGATACGGGCACCGAGGTTCAAGGTGTCGCTCTTGCTAAGTTCTCGCCGGGTGCTTCCGATCAAAACAAGTTGTTGCGTGTGCTCACAGCTCTTGATCATCTTTTTGCGCAAAAGAAGCCTGACACGACTGGAGAATCAAGCGTGGAAGAAAACAAGAAACAAGATCTGCTGAGCACGTTGTATCGTAATCCTACATTCAATGCTCTGTGGGGAAAGCTCAGCGCATGCCTGAGTGCAATTCGCCAACGCGAGAGCCTTTTGAACGTGGCCACTATCCTCCTGCCGCTAATTGAAGCTCTGATGGTGGTCTGCAAGGATAGCGCCCAGGCTGAGGCCAATGCGTCTATCAGTCAAACATCCAAAGACATGGTGCTTTCAAGCCCACAGCCTGAGTCTCGTATGGCCGGACTGTTCTTCACCTTTACAGAGGATCACAGACGCATATTGAATGAGCTCGTACGCAACAACCCATCACTCATGAAAGGCACCTTTTCACACCTGGTGAAGAATCCGAAGGTTCTTGAATTTGACAACAAGCGGAACTGGTTTAACCGTAGTGTTCACAATAAGCAACAGACCAGTCGGCAGTTCCCTACTCTCCAGCTTCAAGTCCGCCGCGAGCATGTTTTCCATGACTCCTTCAAGTCTCTTTACTTCAAGAGCGGTGATGAGATGAAGTTTGGCAAACTCAATATCCGTTTCCATGGAGAGGAAGGTGTTGATGCGGGTGGCGTGACGAGGGAGTGGTTCCAGGTACTTGCCAGGCAGATGTTTGATGCTAACTATGCCTTGTTTGTACCTGTTTCTAGCGACAGGACAACTTTCCACCCGAATAAGCTGAGTGGCATCAATGACGAACACTTGTCGTTCTTCAAGTTTATCGGCCGCATAATCGGTAAAGCACTGTACGAAGGGCGCCTGCTCGATTGCTACTTCAGTCGTGCCGTTTACAAGCGAATCTTGGGTAAACCGGTCTCGGTAAAAGACATGGAATCGTTCGATCCAGAATACTACAAATCCCTGTCCTGGATGCTGAACAACGACATCACTGATATTATCACTGAAACGTTTTCAGTAGAGGATGATGAGTTTGGTGTTACGAAGGTGTCAGATCTCTGTGAGAATGGCCGTAATATACCAGTGACGGAAGAGAACAAGCATGACTATGTCCGTCTAGTCGTCGAACACAAGCTACTATCTTCCGTCAAGGAACAGATGGAGAACTTCCTAAAAGGTAAGTCAGAGCGTTACTTTGTTGGTTAATATTAAATGGGGTGCTAACCTATCCCCAGGCTTCCATGACATCATTCCTGCTGAATTGATATCCATATTCAACGAACAGGAGTTGGAGTTGTTAATTTCCGGTTTACCAGACGTCGATATTGACGACTGGAAGAGTAATACCGAGTATCACAATTACACGCCATCGTCGCCACAAATTCAATGGTTCTGGCGGGCATTAAGATCATTCGACAAGGAAGAAGTCGCCAAGCTCCTGCAATTCGTGACGGGAACCAGCAAAGTACCTCTTAACGGTTTCAAGGAGCTGGAAGGTATGAATGGAATCAACAGGTTCAACATTCACCGCGATTATGGCAATAAAGATCGCCTCCCAAGCTCCCATACCTGCTTCAACCGTAAGCTCCCTTTATTTGCTATACACTTCCATATTTGACCAAATGACTAATTCGAGACAGAACTCGACCTACCCGAGTACGAGAGCTATGAGGCCTTGCGCCGTCAGCTACTTAAGGCTATCACCGCCGGTAGCGATTACTTTGGCTTTGCCTAAGAGACGGAGGAGATATGGTTAATGACCCTTACTGATGAGAATAACAGATCCGTCAACTGGGTTTGGGCCGTGTATAATGTATGTAAAGATTAGTGAGCAGATGGGGCACATCAGGCAATGTATTGGCGGGATACCCATGCGTTTCCTGATTTAAGCCTTGTGCTCAGCAGTTCGCAAAATGAGTTGCAATGGACCGACCAATTTTTGGCGGAGTGCAGACCGTCAATAGGTCAGGTCCGGCGATATGCAAATGCTGATTCAGCTTACTTTACTAGAGGTCACATAGCTAGTTATCAATAGACAGCAATATCATAGATACTATGACCAGAACAGGACGACGTAGTTGTTGTACATCAAAATCATATCTATCTATGGCCCGGCCACCCGCCTCTCCTACACAAAGAAGAAAGGTACCTACAGCTCTGGTAATCTCATAGACTGAAGTCATTCTCTCCTACAGATGGTGATAAATGGCAACAGTAGGCCAGCTAAGTTTGATGCAGTATCGATCTCTTCATTTTATCAGCCAATATAACAGCTTTCCCTTATTATAGCTGTATACACCTACCATGGAGAGGGTCCTTATAGTAGAAAAGAAATTATAGTACGAATCAGGCAATAAGATAGAACGCATCATTTTCTATACGCTTTGCGTGTGCATATATGATTCGTTGCAATTGTGTGGATTTGCTTCATTCGAGAGTGCCATGATATATTATATATATGTGTGTGTGTGTGCATGGGAGGCTGGTCCAACCTTAGATATATTGCGTCAAGGAAGGTAGCACGCCTGTATACGCTGTTCCCGAGGGCGGTTCCATTCCATAGATGTAAGTTCCCCACCACTGTATCGGCAGTTAGCTTGGATAGAATCTACCTACTTGTGGCAGAGATGTGCAGAGAGAGTATGAGAGGGACTTGGAATATGATGGGTGGTTGAATGAATGAACGAATGAATGAATATCAATGATGAAACGGGTGTGCCTACAGGTCCGGCCCCCCACCACAGCCACCCGGTCCAGACATCCGAGTTGTCCGCCATGTATCCCAGCATGCCCTGCAGCGCGGCGATGCACTGCGCGTTGGAACCGCCGGCCGTCTCGCCCAGGATGGCCTTCTTGCCGTTGGCCTTAAGCCATGCCGTCGCGGCCTGCAGACGCTCCTTGCCGATGGTCGAGGACACGCATGTTGCGGAGGTGCCGGAGCCGTCGGAGTCGAGATACTGGTGCATCTCGTAGATGATCTTGTTGGACGGGTCGGTGAGCTTGCCCATGCCGTCTGCGGTCCCGCTTGATGTCTAGACCGGCACTTGTTAGTTTACGGTCACACGCTTGGAGTGGTGCTTCGTGATGGGCCCTATAAAAGATCCATCGTGTACAGCATTGGAAAGGGGGGCAAAAAAGTTCATGAAATTCCCTGCTTACCCAGTGCCACGCGCCGGTCCACGAGTTTCCTTCGACGAAGATATACTGCGAAGTGGCACCGGCCGCTCGAATGGCGTCGATAGCCTTTTGGTTCAGGTTCGCGACGAGTGTGTTGTCTTCGTCGTGGAACTCGTTGTTCGTGTCGAATATGACCTTGGCGTTGGATGCGTAGCGCTTCGCCATCGTCGACCACCATGATCCGAATCCGCTCACGTCTGTGATGATGTTGCTGTAGTATCGCCCGAAGTTGTGCGGGTCGATGATGGCGTATGCACCTCTGTGTAGTCCAGTCAGTCTAATTGTCTCTTTTATTCCACCAAGGTTGTGAATCTGCTATTTCGAAAGACTGACTTGTCCGTGATGAATTTCACGATCTATACATACGGTATTGTTAGTAAATAAGCTTCAAGTCAGGATTCAGGGGAGAATCTACGTTGTCGAGCCCCTGAGCATAGGTGGCGTTTACGGTCCCGGTCATTTGATTTGGGATGAAGCGTTCCCTACTATCACTTTAGCACTCGAAATGGTCCCCAGTCCGGAAGAAACAGGAGCTACTGACATCATAATAGGGATTCTGAACGAGTTCATGCCTTTGCCAATCATTGTCTAGACGAATAGGAACAATCAGTGCTGGTGTTTTTACCGGTAGACAGAAACGTGTATAATGATACGCACAGTGATAGCATTCTGGTCAGGCCATGTGTAGTCTTTGTTCAATCTCCCAGGCAAAGCGGTATTGCCGAACTCGGCACCAGACTCGTTGACACCGACGAACTGGAACTTGCTCGCTCGCTTCCTGCTAGGCGCAGCGACGGCGCTGGCGAGCGTAGCCGCTGCGATGAAAATCTCGACGAACTTCATGATTGTCTAACCGCTGGTTATTTACAAGCCTTTCAGTTGGGTCTCTGGTAAAGATACCTGGCCATCGTTTGGGCGAGCGAGGTCATGATATATAACACAACCCCATGGAGCCAGCTGTGCTGATATATGTCTTACTAGTCCACAGCTGAGAAAGTGTGGTTGACGCGGAGGCCATAGCTCCGCCGTTCATAAGGACATGGGATGCCTGTACTAGCTACGAGACACCATTTCCAGGCGCTGAATAGGTCATTGTAAATCTAATTTTCCATCTATGGCCGTGCCGACGAGCCTCACTCATGTAGGAATCCTGCGGCTCTTCGTCATTGTTCACGGAGACTAAGACCTTGTCGATGAGGATAAGTGAGATGGTCTCAGACGGCCCCATGGCGCCCAGCTGAGAATTAGGAGCGTTAGCTTGTAGTTACACATTTTAAAAAACCTGATATTTGGGATGCATGTATCACGAATGCTGAGTGTTGGTTTCACGTCAGACAAAATACCACCGCAACAAGTTCCGAAGGCACAGTTAACTTCAAATGGCTTCTTTCTAGACAACTATGGTCATAAGCATTCTAATACTAGAGTAGTAAGGAATAGCGAGATAGGGCTTAGATGCAGGCGTATCCAGGTGGTCTGGCCGACGCCAGCGGCGTTCAATATTAGCCTCCTGTGCCAACATGACATGACTCCTTTGAGGAGGGGCGGGGATTTGCGCTCCGCGCCATTGGTAGCACGAAAAGTCCGCATTCTCCAGACCCAAATCCACGTACATGAACTCGCTGATGTGAAGCCATAACTGGACAAATATAGGCAAATGCATAGGCCATTGGGGATAAACGGGAAATCACATGGCTTGATGGGTGGTTGCACTCTCGTTCTCCGTTGCACGGAATAATGGGGCCGCGCCGAGTAGGTATGGATCCAAGGGCTCCGCGACAGCTGTCAACGCGCCGTCAATACTTTCATATCGGGCCGTTGGCCAAGAGTGAGAAAGGGATATCCGATAATGTGATAACATCGAAGTGGATTGAATCAAAGGTGCGACTTCCGTCACAGACGTCCAACCAATCCATACCACGGCGTCGCTGTCGCATAGTCCAACAAGATGCAGCCCACGCGGTGTCTGCTGAAGGGCCGATCCGTGTGGAAAGGTGAGCGCTCTCCTCATCCCCAAGCTCTGAAGCTGGATCATGCTAATATACCTTAGGCCCGCATATCGTCCCGTAAGACGAACTCCCAATCCTCCAATTCCTCGTAAAGAGTAGCGATGCACGAACACACAGAATACCAAGCTTTCTAACGTAATCTCGCTTCGTCGCCTTATTAGTCTCCCCATCACACGACCCAAGCCGGGCGAGAAGATACGCCCCATCAGGACACAAGCGCGCGCCGCCACCATCCTGCCCAACTTCGTCGGGCTGAAGTTCCAGGTGTACAACGGGAAGGTGTACAACGATGTGACCATCACCGAGGACATGGTCGGGCACAAGCTGGGCGAGTTCTCTCCGTGCGTAGAACCTTCGTTCTCTATCCGTTTAAATTCTAGGTCTGCTGGGAACTAGCTAACTGGATTGATTTGTCTATGATACAGGACGCGGAAACCCTTCATGTGGACTCGCGCGAAGTAGAAGGGCTGATATAGCGATATGATACGACACGATGCTATGAGCGCAGATAGACAGGCCCGGAGAGGAAATGAGAAGAGGAGGAGGAGGATGTACAGCATACCCAACGGCGTTTATTGTATGGGGACACTAGAAAAAGCGATGATACGGCAGGATTATTGTTTATATCTGTCTATTCGCGACTTCCCCAATGTACACTACAACAAATCTAAAACGTAAAAAAAAGTGTGACGCAATGAAGAAGTGCGGAATCAGTAGGTTCTTCATGATAAATCATTTCTTGGCCCTTTTTAACTCGTAAATGACGTTCACGAAAGGATAAAAAAAGGCTTTCATCCTATCTATGATTTTATACACGGAAATATTCGTGGAGGAGGTAGGTAATCCCCGCCTTCCAGAACAAAAAGGAGAACGGGCCCCGACTAATCATGCTAGCCAGCCCGCTTTGAAAACTGAAGTGATGCTCATTATAAAGTCCTGAACGCCGTACGCCCCCATTTCTAATTCGCGTCTGAGCATGCATGCCCTCTATAAATAACTAAATGCTGCGCTTCGGGTTTTGCAAAAGCGGCAAGTTCCCTGGGGCTTGATATATGAAAAACTCCCGGTATAGAACCCAGTAATACAAGGCATGGTAGACCCGGTTTCTCCTACCGGTAGAACTCGCTGCGCTTGACGTTGACGCCGTACTCGCCGACCGCCATGCCGAGATCCTCCATGGTGAGGACGGTGCGGTTCTGGCTGCCGCCTTGGCCGCCGCCACCGTAACCCGCCCTCTGGATACCTAGTGGCCCTCCTCGGCCCTGGTCTTTCCCGCCCGCGGGAGCCTGGCCTGGGACTGCGATGCCGGCGGCTGCGCCGAGGTTACCCATGGGGTTGTTGGCGCTTGTGTTCGAGGCCCGGATCCTGCTGTACTGGTAGGCGTCGGCGGCGACATCGGCGACGAACTTTTGTACCGCGAGTGCGATTAGGCGCGCGAGACGCGGGTCCGTGTGCGGTGGTGGTGGGAGCCCGGCCTTTGTCATGTAGTAGTTTGTTACGGCATCTGGGATCTTTGGGGTAGGCACGTGGTTAGTTGGATTACATGTGCCAAGAATGAAGGGTAGGGAGGAGAGAGGGATGGATCGAGAGGTGGCTTACAATGGGCGCGTAGTCATCCATCTTGGCCAGGAATTCTTTTAGCGATGTGTCTTTCTTGCTCGGTAACTTGGCCTCCACCGGTATGGGATGTTGCTCTGGCTCGTTCTGGGGGGCGCTGCCCGATGGGAGCTGCTCGTTCTCGGTGGGTGCGCTTGCCATTGTGCAGTCAGGTTGGTTTGGTGTATGTGGGGTCTAGAGAAGAGAAGCGCGATGCAAGGCCGAGGACTCTGGTTGTATGGAGAGAGGCTGTAATGGTGGAGAATATATGGTGATGGATAGCTGGAAGTATTGCAAGGGGGTTGATGCGGGTTCCCGCGGTGTAAGTCGCGATAATTCACTTGTGCCAATGCGCGGAAACTCGAACTACCAGGAGAGCAGAAGGAAAGTCCAAATATAGATAGTCGCGATTGCCTCGAAATCTTGTTTTTGCGGCTTGATATGGACTATCCTGATTGATGTATATTTCCGGCTCCTGATGCAGAAAATATGGTTGCCCGAAAGATGGTTGAAGGATAGGTAGTTGATGATGAAGTTGAAAGGCGATGACCAGCCAGCGAATTAGCAAGTCGCCCTAGAGCGGTGTGGGGAATGATTGGCTGGGGTGGTGCCATTTAAGCTGTGGTCTGTGCGTTTGAAATGGTTCAAGCCAAGGGTCGTCGAAATTCCGAGTTTCTATTGGACAGAAACTTCAGAGCATGCCGGCATTTGGCTTCCAGTGCGTCTTGAATGTACAATCCACTTTCACATGCCTTTATAAAAATAAGTAAAAAAGAAGAAAACAACCTTGTCGACACATTTTGTTGATTGTGTCTAATCAGATACTCCAAATCATCAGTCAGTATTATCTACTCAGTTTATAAGACTGCTATGCTAGTAATCTTTGCATTGCCAGATTCACCCAAACCTACCTATAGGTTGAACCTCAGCAGAATGTGTCAGTAATGTTCCTGTCCGGGCTCTTCGAGTATTGGACGAGCTGTAGCTGGATTATTCGCGGACTTTACCCCAGACATTATCGCGGGCTCTTGGACGTTTGGGGGTGGTCATGCAAGAGAGAACAATGCTTAAGAGGGTATTTGCGCTTTGAATGCCCAGGTATATACCAAATGGTGTTTCTGAGAAAATAGGTACATGACAAATAAATTAGGTATAGTAATTATTCAAACGGATAGATCCTGGACGATTGTGTCTTCAGCGGCGTGTTTTCGAGATCGTGTGTAACATGTGGCCATATGGTGTATCCAGTATCTCTAGTCCGATGTGACACATGTATAACATACTACAATGCCTACACCATGGAACTCTGTACGGAGCAATCGTTTCCTTGCTATAAATATATAAGCAGTAGTGGCTTGGCTGCAATTTCTGTGTATCATTCCCTGCCTCCTAATGTTCTCTTGAAGTGGCGGTCGAGTGAGAGTTCGGATGAATACTTTGTGTATTGTGCAAAGTCTAGATGTTACCTTCCTGTAACAGAGAGAGGCGAGAGAGGGTGACTGACTGTGACCGCTAGCTACATCCTTTTTCCCCCGTCTTTTCCCCTGCTATTTCTTTGTCTAACCGAATTCGGCTTGCTTTGGCAGACTAGCGTACGAAGTAAAACCCAAGTTCACATGCACAGGCAGGCCAAAACCTTTCCCCGCGCATCTACATAACTATTACACCCTCAGACATGTCTACTTCAATGATAGGGTACTTGCTAAGGCACCTGCTGAATATTTGATGTTTCGACTAGCAGTATCACGGAATTCAATCTATCTACATTCAATTGAACATTGAATAGCATTGTATGAGGCTGGTACACGACGTGATGCAGCTTCACAAGGTGTTACAAGTGCGGTGGTATATTCCTCAGCGGAAGTACATTAGGTAGATAAATACTTATGTAGATATGTGCCTATTTACAGTAGCAGATGTACCTGCTAGTGGTACAAGACCCATTCGTGCTCATCCGCTGCCCCATGGCCCGGCCGCTTCAAGTTCAAAGCTTGAATGGGGGACTAGGTATCGGCCGGCTCTTTATTTTTATTTTTGCTTTTTTTCGGTCGTTGTGCTGCATCAACCTCTCAGCTTCAAGTGTCACCGTCCATCTTTGCCCTCTCGCGACGCTGCCTGAGCAACTGCTGCTGACGGTGCTTGTTCCCTTGCGCCAACCCACGGTCGTCAGTGTCGCAATCCAATCTAAGTGCACCCCGCGGTTCACCACCGATTCGAGCCGATTGGATCGCCGCCCACGTGTAGTCGCTGAGACAGCTCACTTTTTTTTTTTTTCCTTCGCTGATTCTTTCTCCCCCAGCCAACTAGGTTTCAGCACGGTAGCACTCTCTGCGCCAGCTGAAGTCTGCTTTTGGCTTTTGGCTCTTGGGCTTTATATAACTGCGTCGATTCCGATCCTCTTTGCACGGCTTCCCCTCCTTCTTTTGGTCAAGATGGGCGACATGGCGAACGAGATCAAATTGCTCTCGGGAAATAGTCACCCGGTGCTGGCGAGCCTGGTGGCCGACCGGTAAGCTCCTCGATTATTGGGTTAATTCGTTGATTGATTGATTGATTGCTTGCTTTTTCTTATCTCCAATTTTCTTTATCAACATTCTACAAACCCCTTCCGTTGTTCTGTTTCGGCAAATCGCACCTCTTCGCTTGTGTGACGCCATGCACGGCTATTCATGGCTTTTACAGCATAATGCCCAGCACTCGCTTGCTCTGCGCAACGTGCCGCACATTGCAGAGATCGCAACACAGCTAACTGGAGTCATACGAATAGGCTGGGCGTTGAAATTGCGAAGACGCTTAGTCTCAATTACTCTAACCAAGAGACGAGCGTCACGATTGGTGAATCGGTTCGCGACGAAGATGGTACGGCATGCTCTACCACGTCTGCGCATCAACCATACCTTTGTACACAGCGCACCATGCTGACGGAACGTTGCTTTTTCTAGTCTTCATTCTCCAATCCACTGCGCCGGGCGACATCAACGATGGCCTGATGGAACTTTTGATTATGATCCACGCTTGTCGAACCGCCTCTGCACGACGAATTACTGCCGTTATCCCTAACTTCCCGTACGCACGACAGGACAAGAAGGACAAGAGCCGTGCACCCATATCCGCCAAGCTCATTGCGAACATGTTGCAAACCGCCGGTTGCAACCATGTCATCACCATGGATTTGCATGCTTCTCAGATCCAAGGCTTCTTCAACGTTCCTGTAGATAACCTCTACGCTGAGCCTAGCGTCCTGCGTTGGATTCGCGAGAACCGAGGCACCGAGGATGTCGTCATAGTCAGTCCGGATGCCGGTGGCGCCAAACGGTGAGTGAACTCTACTGAGTGAAGTGAACAATCATGAAGGCGCAGAGCTAATATTGCTCTTCCTCCATTAGAGCTACTGCTATCGCTGATCGCTTGGACCGAGGCTTCGCTCTCATCCACAAGGAGCGCCCTCGACCCAACGTTGTCGGACGCATGGTTCTCGTTGGAGATGTCGTGGACAAGGTCGCGATCCTAGTCGATGATATGGCAGATACCTGCGGCACCCTAGCCAAGGCTGCTAAGACGGTCAAGGACCACGGCGCCGCCGAAGTCATCGCCATTGTCACCCACGGTATCTTGAGCGGCGATGCCATCAACATTCTTAATGAGAGCTGTTTGAGTCAAATCGTCGTCACCAACACCGTCCCCCTCGGTGACAAGGTAGACCGCTGCAGCAAGTTACGCGTTATTGACGTAAGCCCTACACTGGCTGAGGCGATCCGCCGAACTCACAACGGAGAGAGCGTCAGGTAATATCCGCCCATCTCTTCTTCTTGCATCCATCCCCGATTCCGTTCAACGACATTTTACTAACGCAATTCCAGTTTCTTGTTTAACCATGCTCCCGCTTGATTGGGTCTGGGGGGACTCGGTGAACGGGATACATTGCTGTGTTAGAAGGGAAGGATGTTTTGTGATGGGAGATTGCCTGAAGCGTAATCTAGGTTTTAATTGGCGTTAATGGTACAGGGAACACGATGCGCACGTGGGGGGCATCATTGCATATAAAAATACCTCTAAACGACTGAGTTTCGAGGCGCCGTGATAAATCTGTCTGAAAACATATAAAGATTGTATGTATTTATCTATGCGAGGATATAGGAGGGTTATGCTGCATGATTTGGAGTGAGCGACAATTTGCATAGGTTGGCGAAATCTAGAATAGATCGATAAAAATCGTGGCGTTTGGCGGTCCTTTTGGATATTTTAGAAATACCTTGGATAGATAAGTGGCCAGACAATTGCACAATCATACGAAGGTGTCACGCAAGTAAACTGAATAGTGATAATTTTGTTGTTTGAAACAGTTGAAATATTATGTTGGGAATCTTGATCTCATTTCATTTTTTGGTAGCCTCCGGGGATATACTAAAGCCAATACTTGGCCTATCTAAAGCCACTCGCCGTGGCTATCCCGCAATGCCCTACCGTAGCCATGATTTTCATGCCGAAATGCAACAACCAGAATACACCGACCGAACGCCTGGAAGCATCTACTTGCGCATGGAGCTTGCCCTTCTCTTGCGGGCATCAGCCTTGGATGACTTCGCCTCTGAGACACGCTTGGCGAGAATCTGAGCATACTCGGCCTGCAGAAAATGATTCGTCAGTGATATGCAAATACAAATGGTTTGGGGAGCTGGAAAACGTACGGCCTCGTCCTTGACCTTCTCGGCCTGGCGGCGCTTGAGCGCAATGCGGTGGCGCTTGTGCTGGAGACGCTGGGGAGTGACCAGTCTCTGGATACGGGGAGCCTTGGTGTAAGGCTGCTTGCCCTCGCCCTTAGGCTGGACCTCACGTCGAATAACGTACTTTCGGACCTATTCAGTAGAGTGGGGAAAATCCCAGCATATTAGCCAACCTGCATTCCCATATCTCGTGTGGATTGTCCTCTCAGACTCTACTTCGATGGTTACACTGCTAAGGATTCTTCTCTCTCATCCCGCAGAAGCAACGATCGAGTAGGTGATGACGAGTGTTGTAGTCCTACTTACATCGTCATCCTTGCTGAGGCCGAAGAAGCGGCGGATCTTGGTGGCACGCTTGGGACCGAGACGCTTGGGGTGGACAACGTCGGTCAGGCCGGGGAGCTCCTGCTCGCCCTGCTTGACGATGGAGAGGGCAAGGACAGCCAGGTCCATGCCGACAATGCAACCACGGACGGACTTTCGCTTGCGCTCACCGGTACGGCGGGGTCGGTAGCAGGAGTGGCCTTCGGAAAGGAGAAGTCGGACACGGGTAGGGTGGAGGACACCCTGCTTCATGGGGAAACCTTGCTTGTCGTTTCCACCGGTGATGCGGAAGATGTATCCCTTGAATTCATCACCAAGGTTGTCACCGGGGACTTCCTGGCCCATCTGATAACACCATCACGTTAGCAACCCAATTCACATTCATTTGATGATGCAGTATGTTGTAATTCGACGTCGAGATAGTGGCGCAAGGTCTACTGGCAAACAGCTCTTCATGTTTGCAGGTGACCGTGGGTCTTCTCTCGGCTCGTAAAACTCCTCGCTACTATCGCTTCTATCTCATATCGAAAAAAACCGGGCGAGGCTGAAAGACGGAAAACGCAGGATAACGTACTCGCTTCTCCATGAAGTCGCGGAGCTTTCGCTCATCTTCGATCTCGATGAGCTTCTGGCTGCCATTGGCAGGGTAGGAGATGTTCAGCTTCATCTCGGCGGTGGGTGTTGGCGATCGACTTTGGGTGACGGGGATTGAGAGAGGGAAGTCAAATCGTGACCGAGAATTGCTAGAGATAATCGATGGGTTGGTTGTGATTTGGTTTTCTCGCTAACCCTGATTTTTCACTGGGTCCAGCACAAAAAAGGTGGGATAACGCTAGGGCAAGCGAGTGCGCATGGACCACATGTTATCTTATCGGATACAGACACTTGATAGGCTGCTTTATGACCCACTATCGTGTCTTGGGGTACGTACCTAAGGGAGTACATACATATGTAGCTTAATAGCTAGCTGCTGGGCACCTCTTCAATATGGCAGTTTACATTGTGATAAACTTTCCTACAGCAATTGCAGCATGAGTTGACAAGGTATCATTGGCCTGGCCCTTTTCTTGCTGCTGCACCATCTCGACTGTCATCGAAGCTGAAGTCAAGATGGCTTCATCTGTAACTCTTCACCTGCGAACCCCTACTGATCAAGCTCCTTCCTCCAATCCCTTCCCTCAGCTCATACACACACCATCCGGACTGGCTATTCTTGAGCTACAAGGCACCATCAACTTGCCTCAGTCAGACCAACAGGACAGCGAAGGAGGTTGTCCTGAGCTAGAAATTGGCCGCATCTCATTTCCAGATTATCATCCAGAGACACAAGACGCGTCGAGCACCGCGTGGATGAAGCGGGTTCACTTGTACGTGGGACAGCACCAAAGACTCACTGGAGAAGTAAAGAAGCTGCCTAGAGCTATGGCTATCATTCGCAAAAGACAAACGTCTAACCTAGACGTGGAAACGGCCGGCCCATCCTCTGAAGATGCGAGGGAGGATTTAGAGGTCGTTGAAATTGTTAAGTATAAGCTGATGTTTTCGCATCGCCCTGAGCCTGTTGGGCGCGTATGAGACAGGGATAGGCCATTGGTACCTACCTAGTTAAGGTGCAGGAAACAATGCAACGCCCATTGCCGCTCAACTTTCATGCGCCTCACTTTGGCACAAGTAAATATCCTCGGAAAGCCTGAGGAAACCAATCCGTTATTGTTTACGGAAGGACTAAATTCAAAACTTCATGGGGCGAGGTTTGTCAGCTCAGTGTACAGTCGACACTATTATCACCAAAACCCGACTTTGCAGGGGCCAACGACAAAGCATAAAAAGCCTCACTGATGATATTTCTCTTTCCCGACACCAGTACCATGGTTTACCATTCCAATATGAAACATAGCAACTCTCGAGACTGAGAATAGTTGTCTGGCTGAGCCAGCTGCCGATAAGCGATCCCCGAAGCGACTTCTATCCCGATCATGGTTCCATTCGATCGTCTTTGCACGTGGTGCTAATTATTCAGCTAAGCCATGATACTGTGAGGCAATTTACCTTGACTAAAACTTTTTACTTAATCAGTTTTTGTCACTACTGTAGTCGGCAATCGGTGTTGTGGCTGCTATCATACGGGGTCATAGGAAAAGTGGACCTGTATGTTTTATAGTGTTTCGAACTTCGAGACCCCTCCGAGTAGCCGACAGGCTATATCAACGATTCGGTAACTGCTGTTATCGGAAGGATGACCGGGCGGCTTTCTTTCGGATCAGGTGGCTTCAAAGCTGTCGAGTCGTTTCATGCTTATCGAGGGACCACACAATGCCGAAACGACACCCAGAGAAGCAAGTCCTAGTCCTCATATCGACCTCACTCGCCTCGTCGCAGCGGTAATGCCCTCGAAAACGATTCCAACTAGCCAACTATAGGCCTACTTTTGACGCGGTCAAATGATGTGCCTATAGCCCCACAAGTCTTCAACTTTGGGGTTTACAGACTTCCCGCGCAATGGCGATGCAGAATCTGAGATTCAGGGGATCTTACACCCTGCCTCAGCTCGGTCACGAATGCTACGCTCTACACCAGCCAGGCCAACCATATTCATGTTCTGAACCAGGTTTATCCGACCCCACCTCTTGGGACTAGAACAAGTGATGCCACCCTCGTCATTGAAGCGATGTGTAAGCGCTGCTCCCCATGTTCCAAAAGAGTTTGAGGACCGATACTGCTGTAGACAGTGAGGAATCAAAAGATCAGACGATTCCTTCGTGTGTAACATTTCCCTCATTCCGCCAGCTTTCCTCGGCAGTCGACTAAATGATGTGTGTGTGGTGGCGGTGTTACTGCACTAGATGTAGAAGGTGCAGTTAGCTATGTCGACACAATCCGATGAACATATTCAAAGACGCTCTGTGCTTTGCCGTGTGAAGCTCGATTCTGGCTTTACACCTAGGCTTTCTCCTCAACTCTGCGGTGATGTACTTTTCGCAAGCTTAGAGCTCGTGCAATGACGACAAAGTCCGTGTACCGCAAATGCAGCAAAGTCAACCATTATTCCTTATTGGCTATCCCGCAAGTTCTCTGGATATATTAGCACATTCATGGCAGACTGAGCAGACGCATCGGTACAAGACGCAGAATGATCATCACCAAACGGGTCCTCCCTTTAGTCTTGGTGGCAATTCCAGTTCTAAGCCTGAATTCTAGCTTCAAACTTCACGCTGTCATTGAGGATACTAAGGTACATAACGGCATGAAGGGCGTTGGCCACAATCAATTTATGGGAAAGGCCGCGGTTACGACAAATTCATTGCCTCCTTTGATAACACCAGAACCTACTCTGAAAATCACAAAATTAGCCCAGCATAATCGTATCCGAGAGGCTTTGCCACCTCCTCCCCCTCCACCGGGCGGCAACAACGGGTTTTCAGCCAGCTTGTCGTCTCAAATATCATCTAGTTTGTCGACCCAATTGTCTTCCAGCTTATCGACTCAATTATCGTCCAGCCTATCAGCTCAATCCTCATCTAGCTTGTCGGCTGCGATATCAAGCGCTTCGCAAAGTGCCCAAAGTGCGATTGATGCCGCCAAGTCCAGTGCTTCGCAAAGCGCGCAGAGTGCCATTGAATCCGCACAGGCCAGTGCTTCTTCTGTGGTGAGTAGTGTTCTATCTGCTACGACAGGTACGTCTCTTACGACAAGTACGTCTCTCACGGCAAGTACGACTACTACGGAAAGTTCGACTGCTACGAGAAGTACGACCTCTACCCTGGCGAGCACTTTATCCACCGTAAGGAGTACATCACAAGTCGCAGAGTATACCTCTCCTATTGGCGTAAGTCCGATAATTCCTTCTGGGCAAGCAATACTCAGTCTAATGAGCCAAAGTATACCTTGAGTCCAGAGTCTGGCGGCTTAAATCTTAGTGGGGGTCAGTTGGCAGGCATCATAGTAGGCGTGTTTCTGGTGTCGTCTTTTTCGTCTATCTTGGCTACATACTTTTTGCTTCGTTATAGACGAAAACGAGCCGTGATCAATAGTACTCCTGGCCCGTCAGATAAGGCCAGAAGACAGTGGCCGTGGCCATCATTTCGCAGGATCCGAGGTGATGCAGGCTCAACAAATCATCCCGCAAATTTATCACTTGGCCACTATCAGTTCCGCAACGGATTTCGTTCCATGTTGAGACCAGAGATACGGTGCCCAACCCGCGAGAAGTCTCCCGTCAGCGAAGTTCCCTTACCGTCTCCATTGGGTCCTGGTTCACCAAACGACCAAATTCTTCCCGTCTCTCCTATGTCAGAGAGACAGCTCGGTGGCTCCAGTCGCGAGCGGCCGCTCAGTGTACGGTTTCCATTTCTCGGAAACAGCACGCGCAGACGCTCTAGCTCTGAAATTAGTGATGAAACGCCCATCAAATTCATGATTTCAAGAAATAGGACTCAATCTGGGACTCAGCAGATGCACCTTGTCCGTGTAGGCAGAAAAGAAATCGCCGCTAGGCAGTTGCCCAACTTGCGGACAACAGCTATGCTCCCATCGCAAAATAGAGCACCGGATCGTGCAATATCGAGCCTACCATCTCCTCCCAGTATCCCGTTGCGTTTCAGCAGTCTGAATGCTTACAACGCTCCTGGCCCGCAAGGTCCAGCCAGCTCTGTTGGCGACGATGCGACTTTCCTTCTTACCACAGACGATGAGTCGGCAGACCCCATCCCTGAGCCCGCGCATAGCCTAGCCAGGTCCGGGTCTTCACAATTCAGCATAATCAATCAAGATCTCACCCAATTTGACCCAGGTGGCGGTCTCGGCCAGCAGCAGCAGCAGCAGCCTATATCTCGGTTCTCAGTGTCAACCGTGCCGCCACCATCCTTGGATCACTCGGGCTCATCGAGCTCACCTGTCGCAGATCAACAACAGCACCCAGAATTGATGACAGCGCTGCGCCCAGTGCCCCCGAGCCCCTCACAGCTACGGGCTCCCGTCCCGAGGCGACTTCACCTGGTGCCCAACATCGGCCTCGCTACGTCGTTTTACGGGGGCGAGTCTTCAGACCCTGAGACACATAGTTCAGAAAATGGACGATGATAAAGAGGGATATTTTAAATGTATATAGTTATGCAGATTGTATAGCATGAAGGTCGCATTCGTTTATGATACCAATCTTCAATATACCCACTATGAATCAAAGCCCGTTTCCATACTTTGTGTAACACAGCTCACGAGCTTTTCACTCTCGCGCATACGATAATCAGCCCATATGGGCAGACAGAATATCTTAGGTAGGTCAATAAAGCCACTTCGTGTTAGCTGACATTTATATCTAACTTTGGAAAAGCCCAGGCTTTCAAAGATACAGAGCACGCATGCTGAAAAGCGTAGTATGCTTAAGAGACGACCAAACGTTCCATTACACGGACGACAATACATCTCTATGTACAAACATTACAAATGGTCTACTAGTGAATTTTTTTTTCGAACCATGATCGCCTTCCTAGCTGTCCTAAATATTTCCCTTTCAATTTCAACGCACCCGTGTTTTTAAAAACCCCCCAATTTGATGATTAGACGACCTTTTCCCCCCACCTAAAGTTTACTTTCTTACATGGACCCAACTCCCCAATTCGCACCCGCCCAAAACGCCAGTCATGCTCCTTTTAGAAAAAGCCGTGACTTTGATAGTAAAATCAGTATTCAATTGATTTTGAACACGGTTGTCCGCATAACATATTTTGTATAGTTATGGACGTTGTGTGGTGAAGTGGGAGGGAGCTTTTTATCTATTTCCCCCCTGGAAATCGAGCCTGGATATATTTAGTTATACACGTTGTGGTCTTGCTAAAGGCTGTCCTGTCTCTTGGGAAACTGAGGATATCAGGATTTCCCGTCTCATACAGGCAGCTTGAACTTCTTGCCCTTCATGACCTTGGTGTAGTAGATCCAGAAGAAATCCGAGTACAGAACGGTTTGGATTATACCGGCGATGATGGCAATCCAATCCATCTTGTGATTGACCTCGGTGAAGTAGCGGTAGATCCAGTTGGGGATGTAGAGCCCGCGGTAGATTCCTAGAGCGAATAGGTAGTGCGTCGTGATGGTCTCGGCCTCGCCCGTGCGCTGCAGCATGAATAGCTGCGGCAGGATTGCTACTGACTCCAGCCAGATGGAGAAGGCCCATAGGATCTCGGAGACTGTGTAGCGGTAGGGTATTAGGATGGCCAGCACCGCAGCGCCACCCAGCAGGTATTGCACGCGGAAGGTGTCAAGGTTCGGGTCGTGGGTTGGCTTGTACTTGGTCGTCATCAGATACACGATGTAGCCTTGTGAGCTGATGAACAAGATCTTGAAGATGATATTATAGTAGCTTTCGGTGCTAAAAAGGTCTGTGCGTGGTCGCGGCTAGTTAGTCTACCAGTGTCCGTGTGGAATCTTGCACAGGGAGGGGAGGGACATGTTGAAGAAGCAACGCACCGAGATATCGAGTTACGTAGACGATGAGGTACAAAGCTTGCGATTTGAAGGATATACCGGAGCAGCCCTGGTGTTGATGTTAGTTGCTGTGCTGGGGCCGGGTTGTTCCGATAAAACTGACATTGAGCTCCGTCATCTTGTGAAGTAGGATGAAGATTGACGTCAAATGCGAGAAGTCCGCTAGAGGATGGGACAATTGATTAGTCGGTGATCTACGCTGCACCCAAGGAATCAGATATCACACACCTAGGACTCGAAACACGTTGAGCGACATGATGTGCGGTTAGGAGGGGAGCCTAGCTCCTGAAAATAGCTGTTTTGACACGATGCGCAGAAGACGAGCTATCGCGAGAATGAGGATTACAGGGGGGGACGGGAAGTCTGAGATGGCAAGGCGCCCGTCACGAAAGTAGTCGCTTGTGCGGCGGAATCGTGTACACTCAGAGGGTGATGGTCGACTTGGATGTTGAGAAAGGTTCAAACGAGAAAATAGGCAGGGCTAAAAGACGTGAGAAATGCGTCTCCGGTAGGTTTGAAAGGACACAATACACCTAGACACGCGATGGACCTATGATTGGATCCCGGCATGGTAGCTCCAGCTATTGGTTTTGGGCGTTGGAGAGTTCAGAGAAGTGGTCCCACGCACCACTAGTCGCATACTATGGCTTATAGACATAGGTACATGATGTCACTCCGTCCACATTTAGACTGGCCTAGACTGACTGGGATGGGCAGCACTAGACGGGGACCAGGGGTAGGTTTTCGAACAAGCTAATGAGACACCAGGAAAGTGTTGCAGATCTAACCATGGGAGATGTACAAGTTATAGTTCAAGTCATTGACCAGCTTGATTTGTTAATAGCAATGTGCCCTGTACAGTCAAGTTCTCGATTTGATTGTATGAGTGGATTAGGTATATAGGCACCTGGCAGTTGCGGGTATTTAATACCCACCGAGTCGCTCGTTCCCAAACATTAACAAATCATGAATCATAGTCCTTTTGGTTACTGCGTATGGATCATTTCTGTATAGCCCCAAGGTGTAGCCTTTGCCGATTTGACTTCGCGAAGAATGAAGAAATTATTATACGTAGGTGTAAAAGGAATTTCCTTTTCTTCTTTTCGGAGGCATTGTGGGTTTAAACTAATAGAGCAACGAAACAGTGAGGCCTGATGGTTGTTCTGTTACCATCCCATTTAACACGTTCGAAGACGATACCTACACTTACGAGCCATGCTATCCTGGATGTCAACATTGGGACGAAAGGCTTACCGGCTATCATGCTGACTGTATCTGGCATGAAGACTGTCAATCGGTCCCCAATCTGTTCGATGCTACCTCTTATTCCTACGATCCCTGGCCCGGTGAAAACGTGAGACGCCTTCGCTGGATGCGCTCTCACTTAGCCCATATGATTTACCCTTCGCTCGCTTTCCGACTACCCTATGAAGTTTGCAATATCGTTGCACAATATTGCGTCCGCGAATATGCATTACAAATAAGCACAAAGTTTTGTCAAGATAATTTAGCGGCTAATTTCCGCATTAAGTTGTCGAAACTGGTATGGGCTCGCTATGCTTCTCTCGATGGCGTCCCATACATCGTATCCCTAGCGAACGAGCCGTCTTTGGGCGACGTCGTACTCCCATCGCAGTTGGACGCCCCTATACAGACGGTTCATGTGGCCGAGGATCATTTAGGTGTCAGAGAGGTGCATATTGCTGGTCCGTCAGATAAGATACGGGATCGCTCGCAGCCAGGCTTGTGGTGGAGAACGGTTCAGGTACAAGGGCCTGAGCTTGAAGGTCGGACTGATGTAAGTTATGTTCACTTACTGCTCGTCGAGTTTTGCTTATACAGGCAGGGTTCCAAATTGCGCCGCTTGATTTGCCCAGCTATAGGCTATACGCCCGACGCGAGCGTGCTTTGGGACACGCCTCAACCCCATCCGGAACGACTTCGATTTACAATATTGATGAAACCATCTGATCCGCTTAGAATGACCGCCCTTAGGCTTGACGAAAAGGTTACTGGTTACTCATTTTGTTAGAATAAACATGTTGTCGCGCTCAAGGCACATTTTCCCGGGGAAGATCTTTCATATTATAAGTATGTCACGTCGAACTACCCGTATGCCCTTTGGCTTTACATTCCGTTTTATCCTGGTGAAAGGATCACGGAAATATGGCAACGCCGTCGCAAACACGGCAGGGAAGTTGCTTTTATTGTATGTAACTCCTTTTTCTTTTCAATATATTTCTAATAATGAACAGGCCATTACAAATATAGATCGCATCCATTTGATGGGAGCATACCCAAAATCTTGCTGGCATCCGTGCAGCTACGAGCTTCTACACAAAGCCGACCTTAATGATAGCCCCTTTTTCGTCGATGAATCTCCCGCAGGGATTCATGCTGTTGCGTCTAGACCTATAGTCGGAAACATAGCAAAACGCTATTTCCCAATAGTGTCAACCCCATATCCTAAGTCTATGTCCTACGAAGATTATCTCTATACTACGGCCCGCGTTGATAATGTTGCTCGCGTTAGACTGTGCCGGACTGAGTGTAGTTCGATTATTACCGGATTGGTCTTCGACTACACCGATGGCCACCAGGAGAGTGTTGGGCAAACTCGCCTTGATTGTCTTGAAGATCCTATTGCAGTAGACGTCTCTCAGAAGATGTGGTTAAGGATGTCTAGGTCCGCTTGGGGTTTTCCTCAAGTTGTTGACGCAGGTTTTCTACCTATTTCAAAGTCCCAGGGGGAGAGTGAGGGTGAGTATCTCTATATAATGTGGCATGGGGTTCTGGAATGGTGGTTCTCCATGAACCAATGCCAGCTATTTCATAACGGCCAAGCAAGTTTTACCACAAGGCGGTAGGTGTACTTGAGTGGCAGCATGTTAACGTTCTATACGCTACTGGCAAAGAGCATGTGCATGCATAGGCCATCTAATTACTAGGTATGTACTGTAAGCCAACCCTGCATAGGTTGGATAATATTTAGATCGAGAATTTATTAGATAGTTTTTGTATTATTGGTTACCTAACCTGAGCTGAATTATTGAAGACGCAATTGCACTTGCAAGCTCATTCGCCAAATTAACATAGGCGGGTTGCTCCTTACCCCATGTCGCCCCTTTAAACACACCCTTCGACTTCCTCTTACCATTAACCACACCGCACATGACTACCTTCGCCGAGAATCTAGCGGGGCTAATACGCGGAAGTGAGTTACTACCCCCACCAAGGAATCCCACCGACCTGCAGGACAATAACCCCCAACGAGATCGTGCAGATATTACACTTTTGTGCGGCGCACCTTCCAAGTAACAGGTTCTTGACGTCGTCCTTAATCATCCATACCTTGGTCTTCACAGCCCTCTGGGTTCGCCACAAGGTGGTCTTAGTTTGGGCGGCCGACCAGAGGCCCTTGAGGGTGCGATCATGTGAAAATTAGGTACCGTAATCGAGCGAGCCTTGGTAAGTGTTATACGGGACAACATTACGACCTTAGTTTACTCCATAACTGCATACCATACCCGTATTTAGTAGCATCCCAGGCTGCGTGTATATGCCAACATATCTAAAGGCAATATGGCCTACGGTATATAACTTTACGAAGATAGAAAGGGCGTGGTTACTCAATATCACACCCCCAACACTGAAGGTGCTGCGCCGCTGTGACGCGTCTACTCCGCAAACCGCTAACATTTCACCAGCGCTTCATCACGGTATTGCGCTTCGCGGAATAGACGACGACATGGCGGACGCCGCGAATGTCTTAGAAAAGGCCTTAGCAGCCATCCGGAATGCTGGTCTTCAGTACCCAGACGAACAACTCCTCGAATGCTTCCTGCAAGATTCGGTAGACTCTGGAGCTGCCGCTCGCTACATGCTTCAAAGATGCTCCCCTGGAAGAGGTGACCCCGATTTAATACCGCTACTGTCCGATTGGAAACAGTTAATCGCTTCTAGTAAGTGCCATCATATTTAAACCCACAGAGGCGCTATGCTCATAACAAAAGTCACGCACGAATTGCCGCCTTACCGAAGGCCTGACAGAGACGTTGTCGCCAATGTTAAGAGAAGGGATGGCAACAAGTGTTGCATCACTGGCCTGAAAAGCTCCTTTATTGATCCGCTGGTCGTTGCTCCTATACTTCCAATGGCCAAGGCAGTCGATCAAGTAAGTATAGCTCTCTTTGTTCTTGTCTTTTCTTGATGTATTTCCAACTAACCAGATACTTGTTTAGTCTTTGCATAAAATGCTTGGCATCTTCATCGGTCCCGGAATGCAGCAGCGAATACTCAATGACGCTTCTCTGAATGATCACCGGAATCATTGGCTTGTCCGCAAATCTGCGGCGATAGCGTTGTCGCAAGGGTTTTTTCAGTTCATATTCAGCAAAAGCTCCGAGGTAAGTGCCTAACTGCCTGTCTGCGGCAAGCATAGTCTCAAGCTAAAAGATTGTCAAGCCATTTCCGCTTACAAAGATCCAGTATCGTGTAGCTACAGTTAGAATTGGAGGTCCACTATGGCCTTCCATTCTAGACAAGACGCCACTGCTTCGGCGTGGCTTTTTCACAGACCACTCAGCTTCTAACATAGATACTCCGGATATTTCATTATTGCAAATCGTATCGCAATTTGCAAAACCCGTACGGTGGACCTTGGTTGCTCGAGAGATCTCGGGTAAACAGCCACAACCAGCTAGCAATATGCTATCCTCCACAATTTGGCGACTTCTCTCAGAGTATGCCGCTATGCTTTTCATAACGGTGCGCTACCTGGTACCAGCCAACCTCCGCATACAAGTCCACCGCTGCTTGGGGTTCATAGGAGCACACCTGTACGGGTCATCCTCCAGCTTGAAGGTTCAAAAACTTCCGTTCGGCATATATCTTAAAACAGCGAGCGCAGAAGAGCACAATGGGTTAGCTAATGAGTACGGCGCTTTGCAGCTCGTGCGACGCCGTAGCCGTATACCTGTCCCCCGCCCATTAGACTTTGTATCAAGCACAGACATGTCTTACCTACTAACTTTCCGAGTTCTAGGCCTCCCTCTAGGGATGTGCATTGATACACTCAGTGAGGATGAGGTACATACGCTGGTTTATGACTTGCGGGGATGTCTGGGGGAGCTGCGGGCAATACCAAAGGAAGTCACCCCAAATTATGCCATCTGTAATTCCCTCGGTGAGCCGTGTTATGATTACCGAATTATCGCGGGTTTAGACTATGACGAGCAGCGGGGAGATTTCATTGGACCATTTATGGACGAAGAGGAGTTTAACAGGACCCTCCAGGTTGGCGCATTGCCTGGTGTTTCTCACTGCAGCGGGCATAAAATTGTCTTCACACACGCAGATTTGAATATGCGAAACGTCCTTATGCATAACGGCAGGCTTTCAGGGATTGTGGACTGGGAGAACTCTGGGTGGTTTCCGGAGTATTGGGATTATACCAAGGCGCATTATATCACGAAGCTCCAGAAGCGGTGGTTGAAGATCATCGACGAAGTCTTTAAACAGTTTGGGGATTTTCAGAATGAACTAGCAACCGAACGCCAGCTCTGGGAGTACTGTTTCTAGGTTCTTATGGCTAATGCTCTTATATTTTAGGCTTTTAATATCCTTCAGATAAAGGTATAGCTGAAAACAGAGCAGGTTTGTCACTTGAGTATATGGACGGTAGTTTTCTCGCGATCAGGGTGCCAAGTTCCATAACCTTGACCCGATATCCTTGGAATAGCACCTTCCGTTGTATTTTGTCACACGGACAGTCCTATGAGACCTAGGGACCCGAAGATAACCAACGCTACCCCTGGCAGAAAGTGAGGCTATAAGCGATTGGATAAGAGCAATCTGTTAGCTGCAAGAAGACCAACAGTTAAGGCATAAATGCCTAATAGAAGGAAGGGAATCATAGATTATATAAGGCCAGAATAAGCATAAATAGCTAAGGAATCTTCCACTTTAAGAAAGAGAAAAAGGAAGATTAAGGCTTTAAAAACCCCTAATAGATTATTAATAAATATAATTAAGTTTTAAGCCCTTTATAAAAGCCCTTATTATAAATAATTTATTATCCCCCTTTAGGATATTCCAATATAGCTTAAACCTTTATTTAATGGATAAACTTTAATAAATCCCCTATATATATAATATTATTTTAAACTTAAGCTCTTATAAATATAGGATTACTTTAATAAAATACTTTCTTTACCTTTATTAAATAAAGGTATTTTAGGAAAGTTTATACCTTATATTTAATAATTTAAATATTATATATTATAATCTTAATATTCCTATTTAAAAAGTAAAAAGTAGTTAATAACTTTATTAACCTAAAGCTTTAAACTTTTTTAAAATTATAAATATATTTTAATTATAGGATTTTAATTCTAATTTTTACTATTTTAATAAAAATAGCTTAAACTTTAATTCTTTAAAATTTTTTTTATTATATAAAAATTATTTTAAAAATAAACAGTAGTTAAATTATTTACCTTTATTACCTTTTTAAACCTTAAAGCTTAAAATTAAAAACATTTTACCCTTTAATAACTTATAAGTAAAATTAAAACATATAAAAGTATTAAATAAATATTCCGCTAGCCCTAATTAAAATTTAACTTTAACCTTTAAATAAGCTATATCCTTTTTATTATTACCTATTATATTTAAACCTACCTATTTTAATTAGGTTATATCCCTTTTTTTTAAAGAACTACCTTTTTTTAAAAAACCTATTTAAATTTATTAATTAATTAGCTTTATAATAAAATCCTTCTATTATAACCCTTAAATTAATATTTAAAGCTATAAAGCTTAACTTTTATAACTTAACTATTTATAAAAATATTAAAAATATAAAAATAAAATATATAAATATAATAATCCAAAACCCCTTATAATAGGTTATAAATATTTATAACTATATAGGTAAAACCTTTTAAATAATTTAATTTTTATAAAAATATAAGTAAAAAATGCCCCTTAAATAAAAAAAAGTATTTTAAAATATATATATTACTATTTATAATATATATAATACCTTAATTAATTTATATAAAATAAATATATAAATAACTTAAAAGTAAATAAAATATTTTTAATAAAAAATTATATAAAGAAGTATTACTTTCTTTTAAAATATATAGGGAACTATTATATATATTATATAAAATGCTTAATTTTAAGCTAATATTATTAATTAATTTAAAAAGGTAGCGGATTATTATTATTAGGCCTTCCGGACTTTTTAAAGTAAGCTTATTAAATAAAAAGCTAGCTATTAAAAGACTTAAAGGATTATAGATAATTAAGCTATTATAATTAAAAAATAAATTAATTAATTTATAAATTAATAAATTATAAATTTATATTTAAATAATAATTTAAAAGATTTAAAAATAATTAAATAAATAAATTATACTTAATATAAATTAAATTATTAATAAATTAAAGAAGTATAATATTATAACCAGCTTTATTAACTATCCTATTATAAAGTATTTATTATTAAAAGCTATTTTATAATAGTAAATTAATAATAAAGCATTATAAATAATAAAGGCTTAATTAATTACCTAGGCCTTTTAAACTTAATATATAGCAATAAGAATTTCCCCGGAAGTCCTTACCAGAATTACCCCATTACTAAAAGGCAACCTAAAAAGAAACCCTAATAGTTCTAACAATAATAATAACCCCTTTAAGGGACAACCCCCCTACGGTTTACCTAAAGGACTACTTTAAAACCCTAATGGAGGACCTAGAAAAAATTTAGATAATAACAATCCCCTTAACCCTCCTACTAATAAACTAACATATGCCTTCTCAGCTACACTTAAAAGTATTAATTCCATAACTATAATACTAAATCCCATTCAACTTAATAAGCCCTATACTTATAATAAAAAGGATACCTTTAAATTTTTTTATAATAGATTAAAGTTAAAGATTATATATTTATATATATAAAAAGTTTTCCCTTTAATAAGCATTATATTAATTAAATTAGTTTTTTTATAATAAATAAAGCTTTATAATAATATTAATTTTATTAAAAATAAATCCGTTATATTAATATTATTAATACTTAAGTAGTTTATTAAATAGCTTTAAAAGCTTAGTTTAAGGATCCCTTAATAATGTATTAAAATACTAACGCTTTAATAAAGGTAAAGTACTTTAATAATATTGCTTAATTCCTTATTAAGATCTTTAACTATAATAATTTAATAAAATGGTCTAGCTTAATATTTTAAACCTTTATTATTAAACGCTTATTATTTAAACTTATAAAAATAGTTTATTATAATTAAAGCTATATCTTTAAAAATAATAATAAGTTTTTTAATATAATTTAAAAAGCTAACATTACTTATAAAAATATATTAATATATCTTAAGCTATTTTTAAAAGGTATATTTAATTTAATAAAGGAATAATTAAAATTAAGCTATTAAAATTAAAATAAAAAGAATTACTTTAATTTAAGCTAAAATTAATCTTTAAAAAAGAATAAAAAAAAGAAAACTATTAATAAAAAATTAAATAAACCTAAGGTTAACTTTAAAAATAATTATTAGTTAAATATTATAACTGCCTTAAAGGGAATCGATTAAACTTTTATTAATAAATAAAAATAAAATAAAGTTAACTATTAATAATATAATAAAAATAACTATTATACCCTTATTTATTATATTAAAAAGGATATTAATAGGAAAGAGCTTCCTTTAATACTTAAAAAAACCTCTTTTATTAAAAGAAAGCTTAATAAAGGAATTAAACCACCTTTTATAGTAAAGCAAGCTAAAATTAATATTATTATTATAAATATAGCTAATCTTATATAATATATAGAATTAAAAGAATTAAATTTAAATTTTTAATTAGGCTCTATAAAGTATTATATAAGAATTTAAGCCCTTAAAAAGGTAACTTCTCCTATATTAATATAATTAAATAAATAAAAGATAAACTTTTTAAATTAGCTTAAAAGAAGACTAATTTAAAGCTTAAAATAAATTATAGGCCTATTATCCCTATAACCCTATTATATAATAATTAAAAACATTTAATTAAAGTGCTTTTAAATATAAGTAATATTATTTTTATAATATCTTTTTTAAAGGTTAAATAATAAAAGCTGCTTCTTATTAAAAAAGTATATTTTAAACCTATATTAACCTTTAATACAACATATATATAAAAAGCAAAACAATATTATATAAAATAAATTATTTTCCAATATTAAAAAAATTACTTTATAAAGTTTAGCTTCGAATTAAATACCTTTAATAGGGATTATAATATTATCCTACCCTAATAGTAAATAAAAAAACATTAGCTTACCTATTTCTTTAAAAAGGTAGGAAAAATTATATTTACATTTAAGTACTATTGTAAAAATTATACTAGTTAAGCCATTTTTAAGCTAAGGACCGCCAGGGTTATAATAATTACGCTTTAAATAGTAGCTAAAGCAATAATAGAATAAATCCTTAAAAAATTTAAAGAATTCCTTTTAATTATAATTAAAGTAATAATATAATAGTTATTTAACTATTAACCTTAAGATTATACAATTAACTTTATAAATAGGAAGATTTTACTTTAGGAACCCCTTTATACTATAAGTAATTATAAATTAAATATATTTAAACTATAGTTAAATAAGATATTTAAAATTAATTATATTTATAAATTTATTATATTATATAGGGTACCCTTTATATTTATAAAAAAGAAAGACCTAAATAATTTATTATACCTTATTATAAATTATTAAAGCTTTAATGCTATTATAATATTAATAAGGTATTTTATTCCTTTTATTATAAAACTTTAAGCTAGATTTTAAAAAGCTAAATAGTTTATTAAGATTAATTTAAAGTCCAGATTTTATTTAATTAAAATTAAAAAGGGTTATAAATGGAAAATAGCATTTTATTATAAATATAAACTTTTTAAATATATAATAATGCTTATAGGATTTATTAATATTTTTATAATATTTTAATTTATAATAAACTATATCTTTTAAAACCTTATTAATATAAAGCTATTAATATACTTTAATAACCTTTTAATTTATATAAAAATAAAAAAGGAATATAATAAAATAGTTAAAAAAGTATTATAATGCTTTAATAAATATAATTTAATAATAGTACTTTAAAAATATAAATAATATATATATAAAGTTAAATTCTTTAAATATATTATTAATGTTAATAGCATTTTAATAGTTTAAAATAAAATTAACTATATTATTAAATGGGAAGTATTAATTACCTTATATAAATTATAATAATTTATTAAATTTATAAACTTTTATTAAAGATTTATTAAAAAGTTTTTATTAATTATAAAATTATTAATGGATATAAATAAAATAAATTAATAATAATAAAAATAAATAAAAGTTATAAATAAAGCTTTTCTTAAGTTTAAATACTATTTTATTATAGCTCCTATATTTATTTATTTTAACCCTTTTAAAGTAGCTTATATTAAAATTAATGCCTTTAACTTTACCTTTAAAGCTATACTATTATAAAAGGATAATAATAGTAAACTCCACCCTATTGCCTTTCATTTCCGGAAGTTAATACTAATAGAAATGAATTATAAGATATATAATAAAGAACTATTTATAATAGTAAACAGATTTAACCAATAGCATTAATACTTAAAAGGTATTTAATACCGGATTAAAATCTATTTAAACTATTAAAACCTGTTATATTTTATAATAGCTAAAGTTTTAAATAAATAATAAGCTTATTAGGCGTAATAATTATTAACGTACTGGTTTATAATAAATTATTAACCTGGTAAATTAAACAAAAAGGTTAATATTATATTAAAATTAGCTTAATATTGCTTTAAAAAATGGGGGAGTAAAAATTAACCGGTTAAATTAATTTTATAGGATAAATATTTTTTATATTTTAAAGGATTAATGTTTAATTTAGTAGCATTTATACTATTAATTTCCGAATAACTTTATAACCTTTTTATATTTAAGTAGCTATTAAAGTTTATTAAATTTATTAAGGAAGTAGTAAAGGATAACCTGGAGTACTATTTATAAAAGGATAAACCCTTTAAGGATATAAAACTTATAAATAACTTATTATATAGGAAGGGATATTTATAGGTACTTATAGCAATGTAATAAAAAGTAATAAGGATAAAATATAATATATAAATAGTTAAATATATAAGAATAAATAAAATATTAAAATTTATTATAAAAAACTTTTAATAGCTTAATATTAAAGCAACTGTAAAAGACTTTATATAAAGCTACTATATATATTAATAAAATAAAGCCTTATAATATACCCCTTATAAATTACTTTAACCTATAAAGTTATATTATACTTTATAGCAATTGGTTATAATAAACTTTATTATTAACCTACCTTTATTTAATAGCTATAATTTTATTTAAGTAATAATAAATCCCTTTATAAAAATAGAATACTTTATATCTTTAAAAGTTAAGGAAAAGAAAATTAAAGATTTTATTAAAATCTTTATTAAGTATTATTAGAAATTATATAATATACCCCTTAATATAATTTTTAATAAAAATTCCAGGTTTATAAGCTATTTATAAAAGGACTTTTTAAAGCTTATTAATATTAAACTTTATATAAATATAGCCTTTTATCCTTAAACTAATAAATAAATAAAATAATTTAACTAAATCTTTAAAATTTATTTATAAGTATTTATTAACTATAAAATGTCCAATTAGGAAAACCTTCTATTAATTATTAAGTTTATATATAATAATATAATATTAGCTTTAATATATATATCTTCTTTTTATATAAATTATAGTTACTATTTAATTATATATAACCCTTTTATAGTATAACCCTATAACCCGTTTAATAGGCTATATATTTATTAAATAACGTAGGTATATAAGGAAATTAAAGAATAGTTAAAAAAGGTTTAACAATATATAAAGGAATAGGCGGATAAAAAATAAGGGGCCCTACCCTAATATATTAAAGATTAATTAATAATGCTAAATGTAAAGAATATTAAAATAAAAAGACCTATTAAAAAGTTAAATAAAAAGATACTTAATCCCTTTAAAATTTATAAAGTAATTTTACCTATTACTATTAAACTTATATTATTTAAAGGATGGAAAATTTATAATTTATTTTATATTTTACTTATTAAGCTTTATTATATTAGCAATTAAGTATTATTTAACCTTAATTAGGTTTTATAGGAAGCGCCTTTAATAGAATTTAAAGATTATTAAATGGAAGAAATTAAGAATTCCTTAAAAACCTAAAGGAATATAAAGTACTTAATTAAGTGGGAAGGTTAATTAGCTAAAAGGCATTAGATTTAGGAACCCTATAAGTATATGGACGGCGTTGGTATAAAAGCTCTTATTAAATAGTTCTATTAATAAAATCCTAATAAACTAACGGACCCCCAAACTATTAAGACCCCTTAAAGGAATCAGTTATGCTTAAAGTTGAGCATTAAAAGGAGGGAAATAGTATTATACGGATAGTCCTATAAGACTTAAGGACCTAAAGATAATTAACGCTACCCCTAGTAGAAAGTAAAGCTATAAACAATTAAATAAAAATAATCTATTAACTATAAGAAGACTAATAATTAAAGTATAAATACCTAATAGAAGGAAGGGAGTTATAGATTGTATAAAGCTAAAATAAATATAAATAGTTAAGGAATCTCCCATTCCAGGAAAAAAAGAAAGGGAGATCAAGGCCCTAAAGACCCCTAGTAGATTATTAATAAATATAACTAAGTTCCAAGCCCTTTATAAAAGCCCTTATCACATATTTCCTTAAGCCTTAATTAAATTACTAATTGTTTATTTATTATATATTGATAAACTCTCTTAGGTAAAAATTTATACGACACACTTATTATAGCTATATTATACATAGTTCCTTTTATAGGGTTTATAAGATAGTTTAGACCTCCTTTACTTATAATATATTTACCTTTAATCTTTTTAAGGTAGGTTATAGCAATAATGGTATAATAGTAGTTTACTTATTTACTATCTTTATTATGATGATATACCTTTATACTCTATATAATTACGTTTTGCTAGCTACTAAATAGCATCCTATTTGATAAGCCTTTTTGCTTATGTTAAGAAGTTGCTGTTTTGTTTTTACTTTAGTTTCGTCCCTCGGAAGCTATTAGGGTATACATGAAGATACCTTATCGAGAGTTTACCGCAGAAAGTATCTTGCGGAAGGTGTGGCAAAGCATAAAGCAAACTCCTCTATTTTTAAGGTGGATACGTATAAATATGTTTCGAGGCCTTCGCAAAAACTAATTGTTTTTCCCTACTCACACATGGTTCTTGATAGATATCGCCTTGACGACAGAGCCAGTCCTGAAGACATACAGGAAATCCTTGTATCTGCTGCTCACTGGTGCCTTTAGTGGTCCCATTAATCTCACTACTGCTAATGTCGAGGTTCGTGCCAACAGGTTGCTGCACCCTCGGACGAAGTCATGAGACGGTGTTAGATATTAGACGCCGTCCACTGCCTTGTCTCCTGGAACCTCTATGAATAGATCATGCTTATAGCAGTTGGCAGTTTTTTTTTTTTTTTTATATAGTCACGTAGTTCCCTAGGAAGAAGGCGCGGGACTCTTCACGTAATGATAAATATTATTGCACACCTATAACTACCCAATCCTTGACAACGGCTTTTATTACTTCTGTTTTATAACCAAAGAGAGTGTAATTCATAGTTTAATTTTTTTTTTCCCCTTTGCGCATTATTAGAGCAGAGTAAACGGACTCATCATCTGTGTTATCTATGCTCCTCCTGAATAAATTGACGGCTAATATCGGCATGGATAACGCCAAGATTTAGCTCAGGACGGGAATTTAGTTGCGTGTATTGGAAGGATTCGAGGCATGCTTAAGTGCCTTGTGAAAGAAAGAGGTAGCACTGACACCTACGTGCTTTAATAGGGACATGTGACTAGATAGATGGTAGGGCGTAGCACCCGTTACGCGCCATCTCTGGCGCTGCATGTAAGAGCCTGTTCTTGATAAACTGGAAAAAGCAGTGGTTTCATTGGCCAGTCGTGGGGACTTGGTACTTGCAGTACGCCAAGATCGGCCGTCGGGGATAATATTAACGTGCCTACTGTTAAGGTAATCGTCACTGCCAGTTGCGGCGCATCTTTCGTATTACAAAGCTGCCTAGAGATACATATACTAAAATAAAAGGTAAGGCGAACAACTAGACAGATTGTAGAACCTTCGATCAAATCTGAAAGACCTCCTTATAATATCCAATCCCTCCAGCGTTTGAAAGGTAGGGAGACCATTGCCTCGTTCTCATAGATTTATATAGTCGCCTGCCGGTACCATCTCGAATTGAAGTGCCCCTCATTACCATCCTCGGCCTTACAGCTCATATCCAACCAAATAGCAGACGGCCTCATCAAAGAATAATCAAATGGTTTCTATTCCTGTAGTCCACCATGGCGAAACGCATACATTTGAATTGCAACCAGACGCCACCGTGGCCGACCTCGCCAGCGAGATAGAAGATGTCCTACACATACCCATCGACAACCAAAAGCTCATGGTGGCGAAGCTGGGGATGCTCAAAGCCCCCTTCAGCGACCGCCCCATCGCTGACCTCGAGAACAAGAAAATCACTCTCCTCGGGACCTCGAGCGCCGAGATCGCCTCGCTGAAATCCGCCTCCGAGAAAGCCGCAGCCCGCCAAGCGCACCTCGCATCCGCGCGCAAGAACGCTCCCAAAGCATACTCCTCGCGGCGCGACCCCTTGCGCGCGCAAGAAGACAGCCAATACACCTTCCTGACGCTCCGGCCACTTCCCAATCTCCCCCGACCAGAGCGCTCGCTGCAATTCCTCGAGCGGCTGAAGTCCGACCCGGGGATCCGCGCCGCCATGCGCGCGCACAAGTTCAGCGTGGGCCTGCTCACGGAGATGGACCCGCTGTCGTACACGGAGTCCAGCCACGAGGGCACCACGCGCATCCTGGGGCTGAACCGGAACCAAGGCGAGGTCATCGAGCTGCGGCTGCGCACGGATGCGTACGACGGGTACAGGGATTACAAGACGATTCGGAATACCCTGTGCCACGAGCTCGCGCACAATGTCCACGGCCCGCACGATCGGAAGTTCTGGGATTTGTGCCATCGTATCGAGAGGGAGGTTGCGAGGGCGGATTGGAAGAGCGGTGGGCATAGTGTGGGCGATGGAGAGGAGTTCTACGAGCCGGCGAGTGAGGAAATTGCGTATGATCATGGCGGGTGGACGGGTGGTGAGTTCGTGTTGGGTGGTGGTGGGCCGCCGTCGTCGAGTAGGACTGCGGATGCTTCCGCTGCTGGTGCGACGCTTAGTAGGCGGGAGATCATGGCCAAGGCTGCTGAGGAGCGGCTCAAGAAGCAGAGGCAGGCCCCGGACGGAGACTCGTCTGGTCCTAGTGGTTCTTGATGAATTGGTAATTGGCTTCATTGCGTCGTTGATAGCGTGCTTCGGTTGCATATATGCTTTGACTCTTGCAGCGTATACCCCCCCTTTTGCTGCTTATATATAATAAAGATTTATATATGTCTCAAAATTGAAGATTACATTCTAGCATCAAATGTTGCTTTTTTCACGTATAGTGCTGGATATGCTTGCTTATCAGTTGGTTATGAATCTGATAATAAGAATGCAAAAATGTAAGAGGGGGAAAAATTCGCTATGATACCCTATGGTTCATATCAAAAGTACAATTTTGCTTCCTAGGGGTATCTTAACACCATGCGCCAACGGATGTATAGCCCCCTTTTGAGTAAGTAGACTAAAAGAATGCAATGCTCGTCATGTTTTCATTAGTCGTAAGCAGGTATAACCTCCCCCCAATAATTGGCACATAGGCACTTTCATTGTGCCGCGCGTCTTCTCGTAGGCGTGCCGTTATATTGCTCCCTATTCCTTAGCCTCTTCTGTCTCTGTGCGGAGTATTCCCTCTGCCATGCACTGATACTCTCACTGAGCTCCTGGTCGACGCCTTGAGGTACGTAGCTCATGCACTGCACTTCAATGGCTTTCAGCTGAATCTGCATGTTTAGTAGTTCTGTATCGCTTTCCTTTCGCTCTCGTTCACTGCCACGAACTAGTTAGTGTGAATTTTTGAAAGTCAATATAGAGAAAGGTTGCACTGACAGGTTTTTCAGCTGTTCCTCCAACTGGATAATGCGCTGTGCAGCGCGCTCTAGCCTGGCAATGAGAAGGCCATGAATGTGCTGGCGAGAGTTAGTGGTTTCCGTGACGGTAAGGGGAAAGTAAACTTGCCTCGGTCTCTTCTTGTCGATCGCGGAGATTTGACATGAAGATCTCCAAGCTGTTATGCAGATCCTGTGCTTCTGCCGCTATTCGCTCAGCTTGTTCCCTTGTCATCTTTGAAGCTCGGGGTCCCGTCTTCTTGCTAGCTTTGGCTGACGGTGACGGACGTTGGGGTGAGACAAGACTTGACGCGTCAGAGGGCAAGAGAGTATCCGGGTGAGGCGGCTCCCATGAGAGATCGCTTTGGTCTTGGCCGTCATATCTAATGTTAGACGATTTGTCACGGAGCCGCAAGACACTTTCTAACTCATCAACCTTGGCGTGCAGAGCGTAAATACTTTCATCCTCTACATGGCCTTGGCTAACTCTGGTGACAAGGTCACTCAGGCGTTGTACGAGGACATCTCTACTATCTTGGGTAGTGTCCTCGTGGCTTCCGTGATCCGGACTCGGATGGTATGAATCTGAATGCGGATATAACGGTGAAGACGGAGCCCGAGAAGGGGGACGAAACTGACGGCGGAACGGCGAAAGTGGGGACATTCCCAGCGAGTAAGGGCTCATGGACGGAGAACCCGGCGGAGACGGATGAGTCGTTGACATATCACCATGATGGATATCGTCTCGGCGATACGGACGATAGCACACCGGGCGAGCTTGCCGTAGCGGCGGCGTGCTCGGCATCGGGCTACCGTGCTCGTCATCAGGGTCCTCTGGTGCGTCAGCCATGACAGTGAACAATATCTAACCCGAAATCACATGAAAGGTATGGGACGATGTGAAGACTGCACAGAATACAAGATGTCTAACTGGATGGGCTGCGTGTACAGTAAGTGTGTGCTGTACTTAGTCTAGGTACCTATCTGCGGCAACCTTCCTTGCACTGCGACCTGTCTGGAGTAGGTACCTAGCTTCATATTCCCTTTTGCGGGGTAGCAGCCTCTTACTTCCCCTTTTGGCTTAAATACTTGATACTATCCAAGTCTATTTTACTCTGTAAGAATTTCACATTAGATTGCAGGCCACCTTCGATGCCTTTTCTACCCAGTGATAAAACGACGATCTGTGAAACTGCCTACTAGGTACTACACTTAAACAGCAGTCTAATTTGTTTGCCTAGCTTGCCCAGCTGCTTAGGTACTTACTTATGTTACATCGAGCTTTATAGTATTGCGTAGGAGCTGTACGGTACTCTTTGTCGCAGGCCGCCAAGGGCGGGTACGTAAATCCAGCACCGATATGGCGCTTGGCCAGCCAGCTGGCATCCATCGATCGCCCAGAATTCAAGTCACTTACATACTACATAGTATGTAGTTAGGTACTTGCCTTTTGCCCGTCTACAAGCCACAGGTTGTGATACGCATGTTCATCCTTATATGCCGCATCCATGAGCTATTATTTGAATATCTACACGAATAGGCACCGATCTCCAGCTGTGATGAAAATAACGCAGTCAGCCATCCTCCTACTACTAAGTAGGTATGTATGAGCTACTTAACAACAGCAGCAACTTACAAGGGCTGCAGACGGTAGGAAGACGTCAGATGACCAACTGACCATGCAACAGCCGTCAAGGTACTTGGTGCGTTCCAGGTCACGAAAGACCGACCAACTAACCATCGAATAGTACAAGGTACCCGGGCACTAAAGATGCAACTCTGAGTTGAGTGCAACTTAGGGTAGTACCTAGCATACTCAGAGCATCACGAGATCCAGTCCTGGGTCTGGTCTAAGGGGTACCCGTTGGGACTCCACTTTCGTCGCCAATCTTCTGACTTCCAGTAGAAGCGTTGGGGTCTTTGATTTACAAATGACCAGTCGATTTGCAAAAACTTAGGTACTTAATTTTATATAGAAACCCTACTAAAATAAAAGTAGCTCTGCTTTAACTAATTCTACTTTATATAACGATTGAAAAAGTTGAATATAGCTATAAGATTTAATTAGGTAACTACCTTCTAGCCCACTTACCCCACCACCTTTAACACCTTTACCTTTAACTTTAATACCTTTAATGCCTTTACCTTTAATACCTTCAACGCCTTCACCTTTAACTTCAATACCTTTAACACCTTCTTTTTTAATCGTTAACATCGTTTAATGCTATAAATATATTAATAATTAATTTAGAATTATCGAAATCCTCCTATATACTTTTAACCTTGTTAAAATTGTTAAAAATAGCTTAAAAAGCCTTCTTTTAAAGGCGTCGCTTTACTATAGCCCTTTAAAACCTTTTTATATCTGCTGCTATTATTTATTTAATATAAATTTTAGCTATTTTAACTATTTTAGCTAAATTAAATAGTAATATAGGTATATAAAAAGCAAAGCCTTTAAAATTAGTTATATTTTTTACCTTTACCTTACTATTTAGCTATTTTTTATACTATAAGTAATTATAGATCTTATATTAATATTAATACTATTTTTTTAAAGCTATACTATTTTTAAATAATTTATAATAGTATTTAAAAGTTATTAAATTACCTTTTATAACCTTTAAATTTAATTATTTTTATATTTTTATAATTTATTTTTATATATAAGTTAACTTATCTTTAAAGGCTTTATGTTATATTTAAAGCTTTTCCGCTTTAATTAATGCTTTTTGTTAGCTATTATTATTTATTATATAAAGTTATATATTTTTAATTTTTATAAGGCTATATTTATTAATAACTTAAATCTTTTTATATTAAGTTTTATAAATTAATATTACTTTATAAAATTAATGATTTTTCTTTTTTTCCTTTAAATTATTAATTATAAAAGTAATAACTATATTAAAATAATATTAAATTATTTATAAAATAAAAGGTATAAAAGGTATTTAATTAATTTAATAAACTTTTAAATAAATTTAAATATATTTATATACCTTTTTAAATGTTAATATATTTATAATTATTTAGCTTTTTATTAATTTATTTAAATTTACCTCTACCTTTTTATTATTAATTTTAATATAACGCATCTCCCACTTGACCTGGCCACCCAATTGACCTGGCCACCCCCCCAGCCCATACAAAAAACGTCGGTGCGTTAATCACGTGATAATTTAATAACTTTACGAATATTAGTCGTATAAAATAGTAAAATATACCGTTAGATTCGTAATGAAAAGAGCTATTTAACGGTACCCTTTACTAACTTTTACGATCTATATTCGCGGAGTTATTAAGCTATACGCTAAAGTAAGCGCTAAAGTAATCCCTGCTTAGCGCCCCTTTAGCGTATTGTTTAATATCTCGCTTAATAAAATTTGTAGAAAATAGTAAAAAATACCGCTGGATTCCTCATTAAATAACGGATCTAATGGTACTAATTATAGAATCGTAGGACTAATATTGGTTAAGTTATTACAAATTAAAACATTGGATTTTTATATAGGTTAAGGGGGTGGCCAGCTCAATTGGGTGGCCAGGTCAAGTGGGAGATGCGTTACCTAGGTTTATTTTATAAGAATAATAAATTAATAATTAAAGATATTGGATTAGTTATTATATTTAATACTTTTTTAGGGTTTTAAGGGGAAAGATTAATTTTTTCCTATATATTTAATATTGTTAAACATTTAAACGTTTTTTTATAGATTATTTAAAGGCTAGCTAGAAAATTATCCTTATTATAATTACTTATATTATTTTATATTATTAAAAATACTTTATAGCTTTAATAGTTTTTATATACTTAAAAGATTTTAACGTTTAATAGTTAAAGCTTATTAAAAATATATTTTAATAATAAAAATATAATTATTTTAATAGCTTTTATTTATTAAATAAATTTAACAATTATATAGCTTTTATAATTATTTAACATTAATAGCTATTTTTACTTTAAATTATTAAACTTAATAATTAAATTAAAATGTTTAAATTAATTAAAGGTTATAAGGTTATTACTTTAACTATTTTTTAAAGGATATATAATAATATTATCTTTTAAGTTATTTATATTAAATTTAATAGGAATTTTAATAATTAAAAGAATAATTTAAATAGTAATAATATTATTACTTGTAACGAATGTATTAAATATGTACTGTGCTGGAACATTGTGCGCACTGTGGAGGAATACCGTAGAGATATGCAAAATATGTGCTAATAAGGTTATGTGACCTATAATAGCCATTAGTACGCGTATATTTTTACGTACGCTTATATTTTAGTTTTATCCTTCCTTCCTTTTTTCTTTAATTTAAAATCTTTATTTATAGTATTAATATAATTATACCTTAAACCCTTAATTATAATACTATTTTAAGCTCCTTCTTTTTATTAATAAGTGTTATATAAGTATATTACTTATATTTAATTATTATTATTTACGATTTATAAATTAAACCTTTCCCCCTTTATTATTATATTCCGTATTTAACGATAAATAAATGTAACTTTATAATAAACCTAACTAATAAAATTAAACCTTATACCCTTTAGAATTAAAAAAACCTTATTTAAAATAAATAACCCAAAATGATTTTAATGACTATTATTATATATTATACCTAATGTTCCTATAGTTGGTAAATAATTAACTTAAAACCTTATCCTTTTTATTAAGGAAAAAGAAATTAATATTAAATTTAAAAATAGCTTTTAAAACTTTTTAAACTTTAAATTAAAAGATATAACGCTTTTATTATTAAACTTTAATTTAAATAAAGGATTAATAGAACTACCTTAATTAATAAATAAAATAAGTGTTATTAATTAAGTTATTTTAATTTAGCAATTATAAAAATAGATTATTGCTTTTTAAGCTTAAATAGAAAAAGGTAGCTTAACTTTAATGTTATAAAAAAGTATAGTTAAAAGTGCCTTTGGTAAAGTTAACTTTAAGTTAGTTAATATAGCTATATAAGCTATTTTTAAGATAATTAGCCTAATGGGTAACCTTGCTAGCCTAAAATTAAAATATATGGAAAAGGTTAAAATTTATAAAGCTAATCCGGATATCTTTTCTAGAAATAAAGATTTATTTAATAATTAGTTAAAAAAGTTAATTAATAAATTTAAAAAAGATATAATAATATATTATATTAAAAAAAGCTAAATATATTATATTATATCCCTTTTAAAGGAAAATATTAAAAAAGTAGTTAAGATTTATTTCTATTTTATTATTTAACTATATAATAGTTTAGCTAAAATGGTATAAATGTTAAAAATGGTTTATTATAATCCAAATTAAATTGCTCGGGTATAAAACGCTTTAAATAAATTTTACTTTAAGCTAGGTTTTAATATTTATTAGTTTATTTTTCGATTTAATAACTTAATATTAAAGTTAAAGTTATTTAAATTTAAATGGTTTTAGTTTTTATAGAAATATATTAGCTTTAACTTTGGAATTAAGGTATTTAAAGTTAGTATTAATCTATTAATGCTATATAAATGCTTTTATAATAAAGTAGTAAAGGTAATATATAACTATAATTATTATTATAATTATTAAAAGAAGAGATAAACTATTAGTTCTATTAATTATAACTTTAATAATAAGAAGAATATAAATAAAGGGAATATTATAATAAAGCTTAAGGGGATAAAGCTTTTAAAGGAAGAGAAGAAAACCTATTAGGAAAATAATACCTACTTTAATTATAGTAAAATAGGATATTATATTATGGATTGCTTTAAAAAGAATAAAAATGTAGCTTAAGTATAAAATAAGGAAAGTAAAGAAAAGCTTACTAATTCCTTTTTTATTAAATTTAAGTTGAAAAATTAATTAAACTGTTAAAAGATTCCTTAATAGTTTATAAACTATCCTTAACCTATATAAAAAGTAATCGAAATACTATTTAATTTATATACCCTATTTAAATATAAATAAATAATCTTAAAATAAAAGCTATTATATTATATAATATTAAAGCTTAAGTATATTTAATAATTAATTATAAATTAGCTTATTATATTAATTATTAATTAAAGATTAGGTTAATTACCTTAAAATAATTATAACAATTAAATAATTATTAAAAATAACTTATTAGTATAATTAATTAATACTTTACTATTATTTTAAAAATAAATAAATAAAGGTTTAAGGATTAAACCTTTTAGGTTATTAATATTAAATATAATATTATAATTAGTTTAAAATAATTAATTAAAAATAAAGTTATTTTAGATTATACCTGTTAGATATTATATTGGTTAAAAGATTTATTCCCTTTTACCCTATTTTTACCTACGATTGAGATTATGTAGAAGTTTCCTAACGATCGATAAGTCAACCCCGCTATCCAATAAGATGCTAACCGGAGGGATACCGCTTTGGAAAAGAAATATACTATCCTAAAGCAACCAGCTATATGTTTTTAAAAAAACATTTAACCGGAAAGCTTAAAGATAAAGCAATTTTAAAATAAAAGGATTATTTAACAATTTATTAAGAAAATTAAATTAAACCTTAAATAGAAATAATAGAAGAAAAGGGTATTCCTAAATAAGTTAATATTTATTAAATTTATTAAAGCGGTCTTAAAAGTAGTTATAATAGTATTAAAAAAGATTTAAAAAACCTTTAATAGTAAGTATATTCCTTTTTTATAAAATGAAGACCTTAAATATATTAAGCTAATCTGTTATTTAATTCTTAAGGAGCTAACCTATTTAAAAGGATTTTTTTTAAAAGTAAAAGTTAATAAGTTATTCCTATTATAACTAGGATATAATATAGTTCTTAAGATTATTATTAATAACCCTTTAAATAGCTTCCCTTAATATTAAATTTTAATTTAATACCTGCTATTAAAGAAAGAAATAATAGATAAACTGTTAATTTATAGCTTTATTAAACCTTATATAAAAGCAAATGCTTTCCTTATCCTTTTTATTTTTAAACCAAATTTAATTAAAAAATAGTTTTATATAGATTATTAATGAAAAAATAAATATTTAAAAGATTATATTGTTTTAATGCTAGATTTAAATAGTATTATATATAATAGTTAAAGGGTTAAACGTTATGCTAAGTTTAATATTATTAAAGCTTTTTATAAATTAAGGATAGCTTTAGAATTTTAATATTTAATAGTATTCCGGACCCAATAAAGAGTATTTTAATAGTTAGTTTTACCTTTTGGATTAAAGATTAAGCCCGTTTAATAATAAAACTTTATTAATTTTTAGCTATATAAACTATTTAACCTTTTTATTAATGCTTATATTAATAATATTTTAATATTTATAAATAATAAAAGAGAGTATTAAGAATAATATAAAAAGGTAATATATTGCTTTTATAATGCTGGGCTTTAGGAAGATATAAAAAAATCCCGCTTTAATATAACCTTTATAAATTATTTAGGTATAATCCTAAAGGCTAAATAAGGTATTTAAATAGACCTTAAGAAGATAAATACTATTATTAATTAAAATTTCAAAGATTTAATTAATATTTAAGTTATTTATTTATTTTTAAAGCTATATAACTTTATTTGGATATTTATATATTATATTAATAATATAGCTAAACCTTTAAACTGTTTATTTAAAAAGGGCGTATTATTTAAAATAGGCGAAAAATAATAAAGAGCTTTCGAATTAATGAAGAAGCTAGCTTATAAAGTATTAATGTTAGCTTTCTTTTAATTTAGCTAGCCTATTAGAATTAAAACTAACGCCTTCCAAAATGTTATTAATAAAGCTATTTAATAATAATAAAAAGATAGTATATAAAAGTTTATAAGGTACTTTTTAAAGATTATATTATTAATTAAATAAATTTATCCTATATAGGATAAAGAACTATTAGTTATAATTTAAATTATAAAATATAATTATTTAAAGCTATTAGGTATAAAGTTTTTTATAATAATTAATTATTAAGCTTTATTATATTTTATTATTAAAAGAGTCCTTTTTATAAAATAAGTAAAATAGGTAAACTTTTTATTTAATTTTAATATTACCTTTTAATATTAATTTAATTAAAAAATGTAATAGTAAATATGTTATCCTATAAAATAATTAATCTATTAATTATTAAAGCTTATAAAGTTAAAGAATATAATATAGCCTTAATTTTACTTAAAGCTTTAGGAGGGCTAGTGGCTGTTATGGAAAAAAAGGCAATAATACTACATAGCTCCGATTTAATAAATTTAATTTAATAAAAAAATAAAAAATAAGGTCTAAGATATAAAGACTATTAATTAATTATTTTAAAATAAACCTTTAATTTAAAGGTTTATTTTTAAATAGCTTTAATTAAAGAAGTTTATTATTTAATAATTGCTGCTTACCTTAAGTAAAATAAATATATTAAAATAATTAAATAGGATTACTATTAACCTTTATTAAAACGAAATATTTAAATATACATTTATAATTATTATAATTATTAGCGGAATAAGATCCTTTAAAATAAAACGCTTAGACTATTATATTTATTATTAATCCCTATAGCTATTTAACGCTATATTATAATTAATAGGAAGGATATACCTTTAAATAAGTATAGTTATAATTATATATAGGCATTTATTAATAAGTTTAACTATTTATTAATTATAATATTTAATAAAAAAAAACGATATAACGGAAGATATAATATACCGATATTATAAGTATATTTATTATTTCTTAGGTTTCCTAAAGGTATAGATTTTAAATAATGTAGGACCCTTTATTTTATACTTTTTAGCGAAGATTAATAAATTAACCTATATTAAATATTAATATAGGAGTACCCTTTACCTTTAAATATAAGGGGCTATAAAGTTTATAAATTAAAAGTTAAATTAATAGTTATACTTTTATATTAATAAGTATTAGGATAATTAAAGCTTTTATTTACCTATATTAGATTTTATATATAATACTTTTTAGTATTTAGCTATTAATATAGTATTATTAAAGGTCTTAATGGGAATTAATGTAAGGAACCCTTTATTACTACTTTTATTAAATATTGTTAAAAAGATAACACCTAAAAAGCTGGCCTAACAATTAGTATAATAAACCTATAAGGTATAAAAGGTAATTTATAAAATAGTAAAAGCTATATAAAAAAGGTAAAAAATATAGGTAAATAAGAAGTAACGCCTAATAAACTTTTATATAGAAGATAAGGTTTTTTTAAAAAAGAAAGGCTTTATAATTAATAGACCAACTACTCAATTGGATTTCCAATAGATCGAACCCTTTAAAATATTTAAAAAGAGGGGATATAGCTATATATTAAACCTTTTAAAGTTAATAAAAATAATTAACCTTTTTTATATAGATTAATTATATAAAGCGAACGAAAACTTATTACTTTAATAAACCTAATTGCTATTAAAACTTAAAGATATTAAAGGAGAATCGGAATAGGAAATTAAATAGTTGTTTAAGTTATAAATAATAGGGTATAATAAGACATTATAATATTAAGTTGTTTAAAAAGGTTATAACCTTAATAATATTTAATACCCGGTAAAGAATTTTAAAAATTTATTAATTAAAATATAAAAGTTCTATAAAAAATAGCTTAACGTATTAAAACCGTTTAAACAGTTAAATAAATGGATAAAAGCTATAGCAATTAATAAATTTACTATTAATTATTTTAACAATAATATTACTATATAAAATAGTAGTATAATTAAAACTAAATGCTATAAATAATTCCTTAACCTATTTTACGCCTATATTTTAATTTTAATAAGGGGAAGTATAACGAACGTATTAAATATATATTATATTAAAATATTATACGCATTATAAAGGGATACCGTAAAAATATATAAAATATATATTAATAAGGTTACGTAACCTATAATAGCTATTAATACGCATATATTTCTACGTACGTTTATATTTTAGTTTTATCCTTCCTTCCTTTTTTCCTTAGCTTAAAATCTTTATCTATAGCATCAATATAGCTATACCCTAAACCCCCAATTATAATATTACTTATAGATATATATTTAATAATAGTAATAGGAATTTATATTTTTAAATTTATAAGCCTTAAATCTTTAATTTTATAATAGGTTTAAATAGTAATACCTTTAATAATATTAATTTAAAAGTTAGTTTTATTTATATTATATAAAAAATTAATTATAATACTATTATCTTTATAATAAATATAAAAGGCTTTAAACTATACTTTTAAGTTATTATAATTATTAATTAACCTTTTTTATAATAATTAAAGCCTTACTTTTATTTTATAAAATAATTTACAATTATAAGCAAAATAATAATAAACTTAATAATGTTAAATTTAATAAAGTTTTTAACCTTTTTTAATATTAATTTTTAATAGTTCATTAATTATATATTATAATTAATAGAAACTTATATATATACTTTAAAAGATTAATTGTTATAATATGGAATATAAAGCTATCTTTAAAGCTTTATTTAACACTTTATTATTACCGCCATTTTTTTAACACAAATGGTTACCTTAATATTAACGATATATATAATAATAGGGGGCTTTAAAAGCTTTTACTATAGCCTTAATAATCTTAAACTAATCTAATTTATATACGTTAACTATTAATTAAACCCTTGCTTTAACTATTTTTAAGCTATCCGTTAAAGTTAATTATACTTAGTTTACTATTTATAAAGCTATTGGTATAGATATCTTTAAAGCAATTTAAGGGTATTTCTTTTAATAAAAGGTTAGGTATATTTAATAGCTTTAAATTAGTTTAATAAAAAAAAGAATTATTTAATTTATATAAAAGTAGAATTGTTAATAAAATATATATAAAGTTGTTTACTTTAAGAGATACGAACTTAAAGAATTAGCTACCTTAATAGTTTCAACAGGGGTGGTAATATTCTTAGCATTTAGGTAAGAAGTATAAATGTAGCGTATATGTGTATAAAACAGGAACTACTTTTATTTTGGTGGGGATTGTACCTATTTGGAAGTACCCCTGGATTTTTGCAAATCGACTGGTTATTTGCAAATCAAAGACCCCAACGCTTCTACTGGAAGTCAGAAGATTGGCGACGAAAGTGGAGTCCCAACGGGTAGCAGAGTACCTAGCGAGAGTAGGTAGGTACCTACCGAGCTGTGGCTAGTGAATTGAACGGCCTCGTGTAGTCCGGAGGCTCCAAGCTTTCAAGCTTTCGAGCTCCAAATCCTTCCGGTGGTCCAGTGGCGTCGTCACCCATTCGAAATAGTCCTCGGCTATGATGGCACGCATTCGGCATGGCCTTGAACATCCCGGCGGAAGCTCCTGCTGCGCCGGTGTAGACTGCACAGTATCCAGGACCATCATGAACAAAACCAAGGCAGGCCAAACCAACCGTTGCTGGCACCAGCGACACGACAGAGAGCCAATCCCACACACCTGGATTAACTTTCCGATCCAAACTCATCGTGGAAGAGGGTGCTGCACCAGAACTGCACAAGAACTGCACCACTAGACTCCAGCCCAGCCGAGTAAAAGTCGGGGTACCGCACCAGGCGGGCAAAGCGCAGAGTGAGCAGGCGTCCACCCGTCCGCTAGCTCGCTCTAGCCCCCGTCACACGATCTCGAGTCATAGTCGTAGTCATACTCGGTTCATACATACCTACCTACTCCAGTATGCGCTTGAACGCTTTCAACTCCTTCTTTCCAATGCTCACGTGAATCCCATTGTCCATTGGCAATTTCCTCTTCTTTGGTTGTTTTCTTGTTGTTCTTTTTTGCTTCACTTGCCCCGTGTTGTTCGCCCTTGTTCCTTGTACCAATACCTAGCTGCTATAGCTTATCTTATCCACAGAAGCTCCATTGTTTCAATACCTCGGGCGTCATCGTCTCGACCGCGGGGTTCCGCTTCCGTGGGTGGTTGGCCAGCAACGCCAGCACTATCACCGCCACCAGCCGCGTCCTCCATTCCACGTCCATGGCCTGTAGAATTATTTGTGGGAGTTGTTAATATCCGCCGCAAGCACCGGCTCGGGACGGCCAATTCGTTTCAATAACCAGCTGTACTGCTACTACCTTGCCCATCATGTCGTGGAAGGCCTCCGAAAGGCTGATGGACACCATCCGCCATTATGCTAACTTCCCGGCCACTGGGGTTAGCTTAAGGCAAATGGTACAATTCGGCGAGAGGCCATCAGTCGGTATGATTAAGTTCTCGATTGATTGTTTTCTTGATTTCCCTAGCATGTCAACGTATATTGTGAAATCCGGTCTAACTAAGCGTCTCTTTTGTCATGAACAGGGACCTTGTTCCGCGCCTCCCAATTCCTTGCCGAAGAGCTGCCCATTCGCCTCGCGCACCGAGTAGAAGAGCTTACAAGCCTGCCCGATGGGCTTAACGAGATGCCGTCGGTCAAGAAGGTCCAAGAATGGTATGCGCAGTCATTCGAGGTCCGTGGATTAGCTACCCCGAGATAATTGCCTATGGCTCGCACTGACTCGCGCGCGTTGGCAGGAGATTACCGGCTTACCGCGCCCCAAACTTGAGCGAGACGTACGAGAGCGACTTTTGAATCCTGGCAAGTTTCAGAATGGCAAAGGATCAATGCTGTCCGAAGCGATACCAAACCCCAGTATTCGCGAAGGCCAATATGCTTCTGCACCCATAGGTCACAATGGGCTGAATGGCAACAAGAAGCATCAAGGAGCGAGGCGGTATTTCGCTATGGTCGATGATACGGGCGACTGGCCTCCTGAACTCCAGGCCTACAATCGCAACTTCGCTCAGTGCTTACATAAAATCAAGAGGCGGCACGACGGTGTAGTCACAACTATGGCGCAGGGTATACTAGAGTATAAACGCAAGCGACAAAGAATGCAGATCGACAATAATATTCAGTCGTTTCTGGATCGCTTCTATATGTCGCGCATCGGAATACGTATGCTTATTGGACAGCATATTGCGCTGACCGACCAGAGCCACCATCGAGATCCTACTTATGTTGGTATCATTTGCACCAAGACCAACGTGCGTGACCTAGCTCAAGAGGCCATTGAGAATGCCCGTTTCGTTTGCGAGGACCACTATGGGCTTTTTGAAGCCCCGAAAATACAGTTAGTATGCAACCCTGACTTGAACTTTATGTATGTGCCGGGGCATTTATCACATATGTTGTTCGAGACATTGAAGAATTCGTTAAGAGCCGTGGTCGAGACACATGGACAAGATAAACAAGAATTTCCGGTCACAAAGGTCATAGTTGCGGAAGGTCGAGAAGACATTACGATCAAAATTTCTGACGAGGGTGGTGGTATTCCACGGAGTGCTATACCATTGGTTTGGACATACATGTATACCACTGTCGATCGGACACCGAGTCTTGATCCAGATTTCGACAAGAGTGATTTCAAAGCTCCCATGGCCGGGTTCGGGTATGGCTTGCCTATATCCAGACTTTATGCTCGATATTTCGGTGGTGATTTGAAACTTATTAGCATGGAAGGGTGAGTTTGATTATTCAAGCATTTCCCTATCTAAAACAAGAGCTCTAACCTTTTTTTCTCATTAGATACGGAACCGATGTTTACCTTCACTTAAATCGCCTATCAAGTTCATCGGAGCCATTGCAGTAGCAATTAGCAGCCAGGAGAGACGAATCATCATCTCGAGGATTGGCTATACCCTTGAGGATGATGCAGAAACGGCTCAAGCCGTTCGAGGTATCGGAACGCAAGCAAGTCGGCGACGCCGAATCTATGATGTCGCAGGAACAGAGCAGCAGATTTATATGGGATAATACCGGCGGAGAGCTCTGATATTTGTAAAATTCAAACATTGGTTAAAAGGATACACACACACACACACACATTTCGCACAATATCACATTGATGATACTCCGCAGTATATATCTCGCTGCGCCACAGGAGCGAGGGAGAGGAAAAGAAGGGGTACAAATATCAGCGGGAGTAAAAGAGGATCGATCAGGGACACTGAAATATCCTCTTCTAAAATGTCTTATGAAGAAAGACTAGGCCTATACCAACACATATATCCTCCCTTTTGGTTTGGGCATCGGCCCCCTTTTGTCATCCTTTTTGGGGGGGTTGGGTTTGGAAGGAGGAATAGCGCAAATGCTAGCTAGCAATTTCCTCCCCGGCGCAGAAAGGAAAGAAAAGGAGGAAAATATTATGTATTACTGGATGAGGGAGATAGGGCAAGGAAGCGCAAAAGGGGTCACGAAACGAGGTGTTCGGAAGGGAAAGGTGAAGCTTTTTTTTTTTTTTTTCACGGTGGAGATTTGAACTGAATTGAAACGAAAGAAGGAACGAGAGAAAGCGTTATCGTATTCCCGTTGTAGCGCCTAGATAGTTACCTTACCTACCTACCTAGGTAGTGAATGAGATGAATATGTGGAATACCGAATTTATGGGATCATATCGTTTCCGTGGCCCATTCTGAGTATTGTGTGTGTTGTGCGTACTTTGACCCAACATACTACCTAGGTACAGTACAGGAATACCTATTCGATCGTGGGTCCTAGCCGAGTATCGCAGGAATTGTTTCTATGATAAAGTATACACTGCCTAAGTATTAACTCGGCTTAACCGAGGAGTGCGAAGATGGTTGCAATGGATTAGGTATATAGGTAGTTTATATTGGAATTGTCAATTTACAATAGGTATACATGCGACACCACTCACTCCTTACGCTATGCATGTATGTATATGTGTAGGTAGGTATGTATGTATGGATATCTCCACCGCTAACTCGTACATTTCATTTCCACAGCCTGGCTTTTCCACCACCACCACCACCACCACCACCACCAAAAGAACAAAGTACACGGCAAAAATATCAAATGCAGGAGTTATTTATGCCTTATACATGAGATCTAAGAAACCCGTCGCCAGATCGACGACAACGGCCTTATTCGGCAGGGATCCCGCCACGCCGTACAGCGCCGCCGTGTCGCCCGTGGCTTTGCCCCTGGGGCCTTTACCCTCGACGGCGCGGACGCGCTCTTTCTCGCGCTCGGCCTCGATGACGGTCTCGAGGTCCGCGACGAGGCGCTCCCAGACTTTGGTGATGGGCATGGTGACGGCGATGTGCATCGCGGGCGGGTTCTGCAGGGCGTTGAGATGCCAGCCCTTGGTGGACATGCCGTCGGCGATGTCGTAGATGTTGAGGTTGCGCGCGGTGAAGGCGACGACGGAGACGAGGGGTCGGCCGACGAGGTCGAGCTCTGCGGCTAGTGACGGGGATTGCGCGACGTGCTCTGCGATCTTCTTCGCGCACCCGACGATCTTGACGCAGGCGTCTACGTATCCCGTCTCCCCGACTTTCATCATGCTTGCCCAGCACCCTGCGATCAGGGCGCCGGGGCGAGAGCCGGCGATGCCTACGGATGCGTAGACGCCGCCGGACCAGTCGGGCGAGACGAAGTACTGGTATGTGCGCAGCTCCTGCGTGCGGTATAGCACGGTTGAGTTACCCTTGGGTGCGAAGCCGTATTTGTGCGTGTCGCATGAGATAGATGTCACGCCCTTGAGGCGGAAGTCGAACGGCTCGGTTTCAAAGCCGGCTTTTTCGAGGAAGGGAACGAGGAAAGATCCCAGACAGCAGTCTACGTGTAAAGGTAGACGGCGCTTGAGGGCTAGCTTGGATAAGGCTGAGATATCGTCCATGATACCATGGGGGAAGTTAGGCGCTGACCCTACGAGTAAGATTGTGTTGGAGTTGATGAGCCGTGATACACGGTGGACGTCTACTTGATGTGTAGGTGCCGGGCATGGCACCAGGTGGACCTTGATCTTGAAGTAATCGCCTGCCTTACGGAATGCTGTGTGTGCGGTTTCTGGTAGGATCCTAGACCACGTATTAGTATAATTGCCGTGTTGACAAAAAAGGGGGTAATGTATGAATAACATACATCTCTGGTTCTGTTACGCCTCGCTCAACATAGGCTTTCTGTCGTGCGCTATAGCAGGCCATGAGGATGCTCTCGGTACCACCGCTTGTGGACACGCCGGCGCCTGTGGGTGGCGCATGGAACATGGAGAGGACCATGGCAACGACTTCAGCTTCCATTTTGCGGACGCCGGGGAAGACATCTGGATGTATGGGGTTTGCTACGGTGAATTTGCCATACGCCTCAGTCTGTAGCTTCAGCAAGTCTTCTTCGCCATGGTAAACGGCGCCAGACACGAATCCGTCCTCCCACCTCGTGTGATCCATGTTGGCGAGCGTCTCGAGCTCCTTGTGTAGCGCCTCATCTGCCCACCCTTCTTTCGGCAATGCTAAGTACCGTGACCCTGTCGTGGGGATCATCTTGGCCTGAACCTTTGCCAGCGAGTCGTTGATCTGCTTGCGCACCTGGGTCCGGACGCCCGGGGCGCGGAGGAAGTAGCCGTATAATATGCGACGGGCATCGGTGTATAGCTCGACGATAGTACCAATTATACCCCGGCCCTTGAGCTTCCAGAAGGTGCGGCGGATTATGCGGAGGACGAAGAAAAAGAAAACGATGTTACGAAACCTGTGACACCGTAGCATTAGCGGCCATCCTTTCGCCACGAGAATATCGTTTCTTGCACTCTCCAAGCTTAGACGTATGGTTAGACACTAGACAGGTACACTCACAAATCGAGATTGATAAATTGTAGGGACTGCAGTGTATTCGTCGGGCGCGCACGCTTGACCTTCTCTAAGCTCTCCCGCAAGCTGACGGGCATCCGCGACGAGCCGGGCATCTCGGCGTGTCTGCGTGTCTGCGTGACTTGACGTACGACGAGTGGTGTGTGGGAGGTGTTGGTTGTTCAGCTAATTATACCAAGTCATGAATTTGGGCCTCGGCTTCCATACAACTAGGTGGAATATGGGTATCTATCGGTCAATCGCAGGTGGGAAGAACAAGTAAAGTTGAATCAATCCATCTGGTCTGATGTCGGTGGAACCACTTGCCGTTTTGTATTGCAAAAGTGTTTTAAACACCTCGTATTCAAAAGTCAGGACGAAGAAAGAAAAGGCACTCGCAACAACTGACTAAGTATCTATCTACCTACGGTACTACCTAAGAAATGGTGTACCTACCGATTGGGTCGCAGATGACCGAGACCAAGGAAAGAGAACGGAAGCTTTCCCTGCTTTGACCCGCGGCTCACAGGGGCCCCCGCAGCAGTGGACTGGGGGCCGCCGGGGCATGCTCGGCATGGCGCCGTAGCGCCTATACTCAGCACTGTAGCCCACTATCACCCACTGTCAGTATATAAGTAGTAGGTACTATCGTTGGCGGCGCCGTCACAGTATCGTCACATGCAAAGCGAGGTCGCTTGATGTACATTAAGCCACTGCAAGGATCGTCGGCGTGGCTCCATATCCTTGCTCACGATGGCACCCCGGCTCGCCCAGCTAAGGAGCGCCAAGCATGCGAATGCGAGCTTCTCTTTCTTCTTATCTGATCGGAAGAGGCGCCCGATGACAAACCCCTTGAAGCTCACTGGTCGAACCCCGTTGGATATAACCAGGTATCGGTAGACGGATGCGAGAGCTTTTTTGCCTCTCGCTTATTCAAGCCGTGATGATTATACACCCCTATGCACTTGCGTATGTCTACCTAGAGAACCACGTGCAGACACGTGGCACTTGATACGCTTTCAGCATACCAAATGTTTAATTATTTGACGTTATATGGCTCGCTCAAAGTAGCCGCATTTAAACTAAACTCTACGTTATCATTAAAGTACCAAGGTCTCCGCTGTTGAAGTACGACTTCTAAACAGCGGGTGCTCTACTATGTTGGCGTGTATTGAAGAGATTCTTTAAATACCTACCTACGTAGTAGACCTACTAAGATCATTCCTTGCTTGCATGTAAATAGAATTAACAAATGACAGTCAATTGGGCCACTGAAATCAGATTCGACGAATTGTCTATATCTCCAGCCCCAGAAACAGATGACATGCCTGTAAACAAGGACATAATACTAACAGGTAACTACACAAAAACACCAGTGTAAATGCTTCAGCTCCTATCTATGTGACGCAGCCATGAAACCGGCAGGTGCGGGTATGCAGTAATATCCATAAAACGCCAACCTCATCAACATAGCAATTCCCTTGCTCGACTTTTTCCCTTCGCTTCATGATGACACAAACAGATATCATTAGATATTAAGGACCGTGGCGGCTTGGCGCCTCGCTTGCAAGTTGCTTGCGCTAATGGCCCGCACCAAAAGATGCCCGCCAGTGCTGCGAGTATTTTTCAGCCTCGTTGGCGCAGCTCGTGGCTCCTGTGCCAGAGCACTCGGCGAATACGACGGCAATATCCCCGTCTCTGTATTGGGCGCCGTGTTCCACCGTCGAATATGCATTGATGGCCCGTTGTGGGACAATCGCGAGCTTCGAAAGGATGGTGGGATGCCACTGAACGATGTGTTCCTTCAAATTGGTCAGTATAGCTGCACAGTGGAAGGGAAATAGTCACGGGACGTACCAAGGCATGCGTTTCTGCTTTCTGAAAGTTGTAACTTCGATACATGGGATCGAACCAAGTGTCGAGAAAAAATTTGGCCCATTCGCCATTCCTGAGGACCACGCTGGTTGTCGCGAGTCCATCTTTGTCCTGCGTGATGGCTAGGTCGACATCGCTAGCTTTGAGGTGCGAAAACGTTTTAATGATGCTCTCTGGCGGCACCACTGGATGGTCCCTCAACATCATTTCTTCGAGCCTCTGGGCGCCCATGACATGTTCTTCTACTCTAGAGTTGGGGCTCATAATGAGCGCATGCTGATCGAGGTACCACACATATTTGCAGTCGGGGAATTTGGTGATAGCATGCCTCATGGCCACGACTTTCGACCAAGAATCGGGTGCTCCCGCCAGGTCGTAGTCGCTGGCTCTAGCAATGAATGTGCCATATCCTAAAACATGTTAACAAGGCTGACTTGTTTAGGTACAGGAAGGAGCTAGTTTACCATGTTTCTCGGCGTACTGTATCCGATTGTCTTTGATGTGTTGCGAGTATGCGGTATTGTCATACTTGTCGTCAAAAACGGTGACCACGACCACTGGCGGCTTGCCTGTTATGCGACGGGGCCCCGAAGGTTTGGGACTAGAAAATAGCCATATCAAGCCGAGAATGGCTAATGCAAACAACACTATCGTCTTCAGTTGACTTCTTCGTATTACTGGGAAACGCGATCTTCGATAGGGTGCGGGATGGGAGTCTTTCCGTGGCGGGTACGCGAGGTGCATTGTGCCCTTACGGCTCGTTACCCCGTCGTAGGGGGGGGAAGAATGCTCGGATCAAAAGGGGCCACCGATCGAATCAAGATGCGCGTTGCTGCGATACTGGAAACCCGTCGCAATATAGCACGTTCCTAGCCCCAGGGGACTTCCACGCAAGCACCGAAGTGAAGAATATCGCTCGTCGTGTACGCGGCTCTATTTGTCGAGTAGGTAAATATATATCCCCATAAGCGGGTAAGACAAGGCCGAGAGCGATCAGCGTAGGTGAAGTGCCAATTTCGGGATTGTCGTCGGAGAACTGCGAGAATAGTGATGTGTAGAGGGGGACCAGAATCGTGTAAGTGGTAAGGAGCGCTGTCGAACGAATGCACGCTACAGATGAGCTAGATCGTAGTAATAGAAATAATGGATGGGATATACGTGTAGATGGTCGTATGTTTCTCGACACAAAGACAGGTAATGATAGTTGGAAGAGATGTTTGTACACGTATTGCTGCACTGGTTCAAGCGACTTAGCTGTTGATATCTACCGAATGGCAGGTACCTAATCTAGAGAAGTCTAGATTTCAGGAAATTGAAGGGCCGTATCTTGATTAGGCATTGATAGACGGACCGGGGGCGCCCCTTGTCAGTCGTTAACTGCACTATATCCCTGTCAAATTTACCGCAAGTAGATTAGCGCTGTGAATAGCCCAGATTGATATGCCTTTACGGAGATCTACAGTGTTCTCTAATATGTAATACACGGGGTTATGGACTTTGGGGATCATCTCAAGTGACGCAGGTAGCCGTCTTTGTTCGGCAGTCCAAGTAGGTAACATTTCACGAGAGCTTGGCTCGTGGCAGTGCCCCTACCTCTGACAATCTTGCTACGCGCCAACAGCTTCGGTAACAACATGTCTATGATAAAATAAACCTGGGTAACTTGTTTCTTTATGATTCTTTGAGTGCAGAAAATGGCAGTTACTAAAAACTGCCAATAACCAGTAACGATAAGGATAACTAGGTGACAACTTAGGTACTACCGTTGCTTCTCTATATCTAATGTCCCTATCTTATAATTCGAAGAGCTTTCTCAAAAGGCCATAAGTGTCTAATAGTTGGTTACAGATTGGAAATTAAATTATTCAGTCCCAGCCAGCATTCTGCCAGTGTGGTCGAGACGATGCATAGTAGAAACTTGTGTTGACATCTAATTCTTGCATTTATGCTACCATTAGCAACAATTCAAATACATGAATAATCAAAGTGGTTGGGTTTGAAAGTGTAACTAAGTTGGCCTGGCACTTTAGATAGATATGGGCGATCTTTGGTCACGAGATAAACTGCATAACTCCCTGGAGAGGGAGAGATAGCGCTTCCTGTATTCCTAAGACAACGCCCTCGTTCAAGAGACGGCATTAGATGGTGCACGGCCAGGCTTTAACTGCAAACAGCAGGAGGAGTAGATGCACACATGTAATACCATTAAATATACAGAGGTAGAATGTATCAAGCTCTTCCAGAGCAAGCCTCCACTCAGATAGATGCCTAGAACAGCGAGGGCTAGCTGGATCCATGCGAACAGTCCCGAGGGACTGACGCGGATGCTGGTAGTATGCTTGACATCCCAAATTCACTGTTTTGAAGTATATGCAAGACGCTTACACTTCGCAGCTCAATTCAGGGTGTCACTCTTTGCACACAGACTAGTTGACAAGGCATGGAAGAGCAGCTTCTAGGCAACTTAAGAGTGTGCAAGTGGACGAATATAGTATACATGGGGAATATGGATCAGGGGGGCAAAACAAACGACTCATTCATCATCTTCATCATCACTATCTTCTTCAGCCTGGACATTCAGGATCTTCTGGCTAGCCCTATCAAGCGTTCGCTGCGTATATTTCCTGGTCGCTTTCCAGACGGTCTATATCACGTGTTAGTAAATGGTAGAGCGAAAGGGGTATGAACTTACATATAGAAAGGTTAAGACGCCGATAAGAACCAGCGTTAAGTTGATGTTTTCCATACGTTGACGTCCTGTTCCTGCTCGGCGGGCGCCTCCGCTCACAATGCCGCTCGTGCGCAAATTCCACCACTGCCATGGACTCATGGCAAGAAAGGCTTTGACAAAGCCTAGAAGACCTAGTGAGAAAACACCTTTGAGCAAATGTTCAAACCAGCCATCAGCTTCGCCAATGTCCAGAATATCTTCATCTGCAAATCTAGCACCAGGAATGACGGAGTCTGTGATAGTCCCGACTGGGTCAAGCCAAAGACCAAGGATAGGGTCAGCGACAAAGCCAAGTAGGAAGATGGTGACGAAAAGAATCGTCAGCGTCATCATGAGAGAGATGACGGGGCTTCGGAGTCGCTGGGCCCAGGATAGCCGCTCCATTCGGTATTGGTATTTGCAAATGTCACACTTGTATCCCTTCGAAGGGTTCTCGTTCATCCAGAGCTTCAAACATCCTTCGTGCATGTATTTGATCGAGCCCTTGCATAAACACGGGCTGATTAGTCGATCTCCATCTTCGGAAATGTACTGTCTCCTCGGGCGTCGCCCACGCATTCCGTCTAACACCCCAGTATCTTCGTAAGTGGGAGGCACCCACTCCAGACATATCCGGCATTTCCGACTATGCTTCGGTTCACCTTCTGCGTTTGTCTCGGAAGACGTTGTACGTTGCCTAGTATTGTCGCTCTCATTCGGATTGGTGGAGGAAGATTGGGCATTTGTGCTCTCGTGCACGTCGGCGTTTTCGGAAGATGGAGGAGCTGAGGGGATGTCTCCCCAATTCCAAGTTGATGATGAGGCTTGCATCGTTGATGTAAGCTAGAATATCCGCCCAAAGACGGTAGGTTAAGGAAGCAGTTTGGGACGTATCGATGCTTATCAGATTAAAATCGGGAGTATTCGATCAAGAAAGCTAGTACGTGTTAAGACAGGATGGTAGTGTAGACTCCATACTACTACTTATGATGCAAGGCTGAAGAAGCTAGCCCAAGTACAAACCATTGTTCGCGTAACCCGAACTCAAAGGACACGTGCCACTTAGGCTTGGCGAAAATGAGGGAAGCTGAAGACCTTTGGGGCAAATGATAGAATATCTCCTGAAAGAAGCTCAATATCTTTCTGAGTAGTACGAGTGTAGTCAACAATGCTCTTCGTAACGAGTTTGAGTCGTCTGAGCCCGTTTCTTACTGTGAAATGACAAAGGGATACAAGGAGAAGAATCCGCCCAATGAGAGAATTGAACGAGAATCGTTCATACTCAGGTTGCTCTTGAGTGTGTTTTCCACCAAAAGTCCAAGGATCTATGAGTCCAAAGAACAGTCAAGCTTTCGGTTTGTGGTGAATGAGACTCGAAAATTGCTGTAGGTAAGTGAGCTTGGGTGAGGCAGAAAAGTCCCTAAAGCGGTCCTGGCCTACTAGTAGCCACTTGATTATGTAATTTTCAGCTACTTGAAGGTACGTACACCCGAAGAGGCCGGGAGATACTTAGGTACTTAGTTATGAAGTAAGTGCCATCTTAGCGCCAGCATTATAGGGAGCTGTACCTGTGCTGGAGCTTTGACGCGCACTGGCGATGCCTAGAGTTGGAAGCTCAACACCAGCTTGACTACAGCAAGGCTTCACAGCCGCGTATACCTCCATTCTTGACTTAAAATCCTCACCAAACCGTCCCATACGATACTTACAACTGCCTCGATAATCTTAGAATCACTGGTGTCTCTACAACGTAGCCATGGCCGACCGCTACTCGTTCTCACTTACCACCTTTTCCCCAAGGTAGACTCTCCGCCCCTCCTCAAGATTGTACCATTTGCTCCAGCGCAGCTAACACTCCGACAGCGGGAAGCTCGTACAGATCGGTACGTCTCTCTTTAGCATCGTAAAGAAGTATCTACCTATCTTACTCATGCTAACGGCGTGGGATTCCTGCAGAGTATGCCCTCAACGCAGTTAACCAGGGTGTAACAGCCCTTGGTATCAAAGGTCAGCCTAAGAGCCGCTTCCCACCGTCTCAGCTTCATAATGATATTGACTCTATCAGCCACCAATGGTATCGTCTTAGCGACCGAGAAGAAGTCGTCATCCCCGCTCACCGACCCCGCCTCTCTATCCAAGATCAGCCTCATCACTCCCAACATCGGCATGGTATACGCTGGTATGGGTCCAGATTACCGAGTCTTGGTCGACAAAGCCCGCAAGGTCTCTCACACCAACTACAAACGGGTCTACAACGAGTACCCTCCCACCCGGATATTAGTACAAGACGTCGCACGAGTGATGCAAGAAGCTACACAGTCCGGTGGTGTTCGACCTTATGGCGTCAGCCTTCTAATTGCTGGATGGGATGAGGGCATCCTGCCAGATGAGCAAGCTGCGGTGGAAGGTGAGACGACTGAGGACGAGAAGAAGCCAACGGGCAAAACTGGTGGCATACTTAAAGGAGGACCCATGCTCTACCAAGTTGACCCGTCCGGAGCTTACTATCCCTGGAAAGCTACCGCCATCGGCAAGAGTGCTACCTCAGCCAAGACGTTTTTAGAGAAGAGATACACTGAGGGTCTCGAGCTAGAAGACGCTGTGCACATCGCTCTACTAACACTGAAGGAGACTATTGAGGGAGAGATGAATGGACAGACTATCGAAATAGGTAAGCTCATTTTGGCCTTTGAATATTGTCCATTTACTAACAACTATCAGGTATTGTTGGACCGCCTGCGGATCATCTCCTCGGCGTTGAGGGTGTTGAGGGAGCAACAGGACCCCGCTTCCGGAAGTTAACGCCGCAAGAGATTGAGGATTACTTGACAAACATGTAATGTGGAACGTTCTAAACTTCACGCAGCCTCACATGTACCATAGACCAACATCATAGAGGACGAAGACGGCCTTGTTAGGCATGATGAGCATTATTTGTCACGATAAACGAGCTTCGCGGCCCTGCTTTGACTCCCACAATAGCCTCTCCCCAAAAAGACCGGGGGACTTTGCTCCACTTCGTGGTCTTTTGCAATGACAATCCCAGTTGGCCATTGGTGTTGTCGCCAATAGTATACACGTCGCCCTTTACAGTTAGCACAATGATGTGCGTGTCACCAACCGAGAAATCTGATATGTCATTCTCCTCCACATCCACTGGTTCAGGACTACCTGACAGAGTTTCAAGCAATGGTTGGTGGGCTAGGTGACTGCCCCAGGCATATAGATCATGACCCTCCGTCAGAGCGAGAACCATGTAACCAGCAGCTGCAATCTTGATGATCTTGCCTGAAGGTAAGTCCTCTAAGTCCTCTACGAGGCCTGGACTTTCTGCAGGGCTAATAAGCGTTAGCACTTTATGTCGCAACATGACCATATGCCCACCTCAAGCGCACTCACCTGGACGCAGTAACCTCCCTGCCTAGGGTAGCTGCATATCGCTCGTCTCCCCACGTCCAGACCTTGCCATCAAGGGAGAGAGCTACGAACCCCGTTTCGTAGGCTACAATTTGGATGACATCGTACATGTCGGAGAATACTTTCATGTCTGACGCGGTAAACTTAAGTTGTAAAGTGCGCTGGGTGACTGTACTATGCCCATCATATGCTTTACTCTAGTCAATGACTATGATTATTCAATATATAGAGTAAGGAGACCGACTAGCAAGGAATCCATTTCCAGCGACGGCAGCGGTACAGGATAGGACCTGCTGCTGAGGTCCGGACTCAGTAGGCTCGTCATAATAACCAGCATATTTCGATCCGGTAGAGGTGTTTACTTTTACAAGATTGATCAGGAGTACGGCTAGACCAGGAGGGGAATTTCCCGCTCACCTATAGTGTAAGTCAAAGATGCATATTGCACGTCTATGAAGCTGTCTGATAGCACTCTTGTAAAGGACGTGACATCGTCGGGCTCCTCGGTCGAACTTTTCAGAGGTGAGAATTCTAGCTGCTTCCACGCATTGCAGCCAGCCGCGTACAAGTGCATATTATAGGCCTGACGTGTTTGTGTTATGGATTGATTGGGTTGGACAAAGGCAGAAATGTGCTTGCCAGGCTGGGTTCTATTTGCACATACGCACAGTACGGACTATGGAGTTGGGCGCTGATTCTACTATTGATACTGTGTAGACGCCCGCCCTTGCGAACCACCACTCGTTACAGAACTGCAGCTTTTCACTTCTCTTCCTCTCGCAGCGATGACCGCTCTGCTTTTTAAAGATAGCATCTGAGAATATTGATTAGATTCAAAATTTCTTAATAGTACCTAGAAACCCTCACCAACGCTTCGAAATAATCGGCAATGCACAGCGCTCTCAGCCACCGGCAACTTGGTATCTATCTGGCTTACATTGTCATCCTCTTATGACCGTGGACCTCTATCAGCTAGTTCCATGTCTTTTTTGGTCACCTTGCTGCTAAAACCGTCGTACATGCATAGCTGGTTTACGATCCCAGGCTCACTTTTCAGCGGTGATGGATCATCCGAATAAAAGAATCAAAACTGGCCATGGTGAATGCATGCCAGATGTCAAGATGGATTCACCTACTCAGTGCCTCGCGTCACCCCTAGCTGAGATTGGTAGCTCTTCAGAGGATGAAGACTCGAGCTCTCTTAGGAGTCATCGCACCCTAGACGACACATCGAACGAAACCCCTGCCTACGAAGATGCAGCACCTGTAACATCCGTTTGTGTTGATACTCCTGTTCAAGAAACAACCAGCACCAACTCTATAAACGACGAGGCAGTTATACACGCCCGTGCGTACCAGGTTGAGATGTTTGAGAAAAGCCTCAAGGAGAATATTATTGTTACAGTACGTCAAGTCAGTTGAATCTTCGAGCTCCAGGTACTCATTGCAATCTACAGATGGATACAGGAAGTGGCAAGACCCAGGTGTAAGTTGTTCTTTGACAATATCATATGGAGCCTTAACACTCCACCATTTCTCAATGAAAACGCCTATGACTCTCTGAATCCAGCTAAAACAACGAAATAGCGCCGTACTTCGCATTCAGGCCGAGCTTCAGAAGTGCTCAGATAAGGTCTCAGCACATCTCCTGTCTTGCCCAACTCTTCACTAACATGTTGCTGAGATTATCTGGTTTCTTGCACCCACCGTCGCACTTTGTGAGCAGCAGTTCAAAGTCATTGGATCTCAAATTGGCGCTTTTCCTATCAAGATGCTCAATGGCGCTGACAATATCGACGCCTGGTTCGACAAACGCATTTGGAGCGATTACCTGAGTAATGTTCGTGTTGTTGTATCAACTTACCAGATCCTTTCTGATGCTATAACGCATGCATTTGTACAGATAAGTCAGCTTTGTCTGATCGTGTTTGACGAAGGCGAGTATATTGCCTGTTCCCCAGACCTATTCCAGTATTGACAGAAATTCAGCACATCATTGCATTGGAAAACATCCAGGATGTAAGATCATGGCGCTGTATCGCATAAACAAGGACAACGGCATGCCATGTCCAGCAATACTTGGCCTGACTGCTAGTCCTATTGTAAAATCAAACCCCGACAACATCAAGAAAATCGAGCGGAATCTGGATGCAATATGCAAGGCCCCTACCATCCATCGGGAGGAGCTCTTATCCTTCGTGAAGCGACCAGTTTTAACATCCATCACTATCCCGGGTTCTGACATTCCCCGTCACAGTGCTAATATGATCAGTTTCATCGAAGCATTCCGAAGCCTTCAAAGTGTCAATATTTTCGAGGACCCATACGTACTGAATCTACGGAATCAAAACAACGAGAGGAGCTCATCTAAACTTCAAAAAGTATTGACTAAACGCGACACCCCTGTTATAAGACAGATGCAGTCCACATACCGCAAAACCACGGAAATTCACCACGAACTTGGTTCTTGGGCATCTAATTATTTCATTTATGAGGCTATAACACGTTTCCTTAAGTCATTCGACCAGGACCTTGCATGGCTCAACAAATGGGAGGCGACAGAAAAGCAATACTTTGCCAACATACTGCGACGAATCGAAATAAAGCCTCCGGAGCCATTACAAAATGCACCTGCATCCGATTTATCTAACAAGTTCGCCGCTTTGGTTCGGGAGCTACAGTCAACGCCAGATGGTACACGCTGTATTATATTTGTTCTCGAGACTACTACTGTAGCTGTACTAGCTCATATGCTTACCAATACCGCATCGGTCAGCGAGCGTTTTCGGGTCGGCACAATGATCGGAACCAGCAACTACATGGGTAAGAAACGAGATCTAGGAGATCTCAATGAAGTGAAGAGTACCGTTTCTCTTGAGGATTTCCGAATGGGTAAATTAAACCTCCTTGTCGCCACTAGTGTTGCGGAAGAAGGTCTTGATATCCCGGCCTGTAACTTAGTGGTATGTTTCAATGCACCGCCAAACGTCAAATCTTTCATCCAAAGACGAGGAAGGGCCAGAATGGAAAATTCCAGAATCATCATACTATCGGAAGAATCATCGGATCAACACAAAACTTGGGCTGCTTTGGAAGATACGATGAAGAGACTCTACGAAGACAACGACAGAGTCGCTTGTGAGCTAGCTGAGTTCGAAAAGTTGGACAACGATACACATATCCAGCCCTTGCGTATTCCTAGCACCGGTTCTCAACTCGATTTGGATCAAGCAAAATCGCATCTAGAATTCTTCTGTCAAAAGATAACGTCTGGGCAGTACATCGAGCACCGCCCGTACTTCATTGCAGAAGAAAACAATGACCTTCCCGACGGTGTCCCAAAAATCAGCGCAGTAGTACGTCTACCTCCGTCAGTACACAAGTCTCTCCGCCAGATAAGCGGGATTAGGCGATGGTACTCGGAACGAAATGCTTTTAAGGATGCTGCTTTCCAAGCATACAAAGCGTTGTACGAAGCTGGCTTAGTCAACGACCATCTGATGCCACTGACAGACGATATCCTAGAGGGAGTTGAAACTCGTAGCTCAATCAAGGAGGTTAACGGCCCCTGGAATCCGTGGTATAAGGTTGCTCAGCTATGGGGGCAGGAGAACGAACGGACCCGGCGAGGACTTCTTTTGAAAGACGGCGACCGAGTCATGGCCAGGTTTGAAGCATCACTACCTTGCCATTTCCCTGAATTACCATCATTTGACATTTTCTGGGACCCTGATACCACATGGACTGTTGAGTTAAGCAAGCAATCCAGTCATGTCGAGGCGAATGCTCTGGAAGAAGATCAGAGCGCGGCTCTGATACATTTAGCATATGGTCATCGGTGGACAGTAGAGAACTCGCCACATGTTTTACATCTTCAATCTACCGAGGATATCGCATTCCGTGAGCACGTAGGACAGCAAGATGTGGAGAAGGGGTGTCTCAACCACGGGTCAGTCGTTCGAACCACGGGCGGAATACCTCACTTATTCATAGGATGGCTGCCTTCAGAACCGCCGCGAGAGCTCGTGGAAAGAGTCGAAAAACAGTTGCAGGAGGTAATACCGGAAGTTCCGTGGTTGGTACTTAGAAAGTGGCCAAAACGTGAAGACTTCCTTCATCCAGCTACTCGTTCTTCGAAACAAAAGGGACGATATCCCCCCGCATTTCCCGTATCGCATTGCACGGTAGACACCATAGACTCTTCCAAAGCGTACTTTGGTAACATTATCCCCGCCATTGTTCATATGATCGAGGTTCATCTCATAGCGCAGGAGCTGTGTCACACGGTATTAGAAAGAGTCGACTTTTCGGACACAACTCTCGTCGCCACGGCAATCAGTTCGCGTGCCGCAGGAGAACGGACGGATTACGAAAGACTCGAATTTTTAGGAGATTCCGTTCTAAAATTACTAGCGACGGTTTCTGTCATGATAAAATGTAAGCTCCGTAGCTCGTCCCTGTTGAAAATTGTGCTGACTCTGCTTCAGGGCCGCAGTATCCAGAAGGTTATCTTTCCGCGATGAAAGATCGGATTGTATCTAACTCAAGGCTCTGTCGCGCTTCAACCGACAATGGGCTCGATAAATTCATCTTGACGAACAAGTTTACGGGGAAGAAGTGGCGTCCTCTCTATATCAAGGACTTCCAGTCCAATGATGAGAGCCCCACAAGGAGAGATTTGTCCACAAAGACTCTTGCAGACGTTGTCGAGTCCTTGATCGGAGCCGCTTATGTGGATGGAGGTATGAAGAAAGCACTGACTTGCCTGGGAGTCCTCCTGCCGGAAGTGCAGTGGTTCAGCTTGACTGACGCATATGGGATCATTTCCAATGAGAGAGAGATCATGACGCGACCACCTCCTGGCTATGAGAAGGTAGAGGAACTTGTTGGCTACACATTTCAGAACAAAGCACTGCTCATGGAGGCTTTAACGCACGCTTCCTGGGGTGTGAATTCATCTACAGACGCATGCATGGAGAGACTAGAATTCCTCGGCGATTCTATTCTCGACAGCGTCATTGTTTCTGTCCTTTGGGGACAGGAACCGGAACTTACGAATAACCAAATGCATCTTGCGCGAACAGCTTCCGTCAATGCCGACTTGCTTGGCTTCCTGGCCATGGAGTGGTACACTTTACAGGAGGATACTGAAATTTCCAAGATAGATCTCAGCACTATCGTAACGCAGAAGCTCGTTCCATTCTGGAGATACATGAGACACGGGGCCCCCGAAGTCGTCCGGGACCAACAGCTCGCAGAACAGCGACACCATGCAGAGCGACAAGGGATTCTCGATGCTATAGCCCACGGCGCGGAATACCCTTGGGCACAGCTCGCCCATCTCAACCTCCCCAAGTTCTTCTCCGACATGGTCGAGAGTCTGATCGGTGCTGCATGGGTCGACTCGGGCTCTATGGAAGTATGCAAGGAGATTGTAGAGAGAATCGGGATCCTCCCTTACCTTCGCCGCCTACTAAAGGACAAGGTCAACATAAGACACCCCAAGAACAAGCTCGGCGAGCTCGCTGGGAGAGAAAGGAAGAAAGTGAGATATGAGACTGAAGTGCGCGTCGACGCTGGGGTTAAAGACCTCTTCTGCAGGATCTTCATTGATGAGAAGCTTATCTTGGAGGTCGGCGGTGGTGTTACGCCTGAAGAAGTCATGACGAAAGCGGCGGATGAAGCGTATCATATGCTCATGGCTCGAGGGAATGATATAGAGGATACGGCTACGACGGAAACGATTATGTGAGCGAATGATAGCGTTAAGACTGTTTTCAGTCATTGGTTTTCGTAACGCCAGAATGAATACGTGATGACAACGAATAGATTTTTTTTAACTACTGAAATCGCTGTCTGATCTGCATATTTGAAGCAGCTCCAAATTCTATTGTTCTGAACAGCATATATATCCCCATGCTCGTTATGTAACCTCAAGTGTGTGTACCGGTGTTGCCCTGCGTTAGCATGTCAGACCGTGAAGCTCTAACTTGGGATCATGTCTCCAGCAGTCACAGTGGTTGGTCTTCGAGCTCATTTATTTCTAAAATTACTCATAGAGTCGAAGTCTTTTCAGACCTTTGTAATCAATTTGTGCGCCCCGACATGCCACTATATATGAGATACATTTTCCTAGCTTTCTACTACGCTATAGGTATAGCACATATTCGGTATTTGCCGCAAGGAGTGAAATGGATGGCACTAGCGTAGGAGTTTAATGCTGGGCCTTACACTAACAGATGGACGAATTGACTACAACGAAGTGGATGTTAGGCTTGGACTCAACGCGGGCAGAGACGTTGCTCTTGACTACAGACCCTAGTCCTCACGCAGATAGAGTTTCTGGGAGTCGATGACTCTCGGCTTACTAGTGAGAAAATAGTTACTTGGCAGCAGAGCCGCCTGGTAGCTGCAAGGTACTTTTAAACTATATTTCGACATTAACTCGTTAGTCGATCCATGAGGATTGATTCATTGATTGATGGTGTTTAACGTCGTAAGGACTATTTTGCGTTGCAGTTAGTCCAGGCCTCCGCAAGGGCACTGGGACGTGGCAAACTGTTCACTAGCTAGGTATTTGTTCTAAATACATAGTGGCTTCAGGGCCAATTTCTCACTTCCTGAGCGTGTTAGGTCATGACTCCGTGTCCACTCCTTTTAGGACTTCCGTGCCTTGTGCGTTCAGTTCGCTCCCTTCGATTGGAATTTGGTTCGGTGTACCTGTGGGTTGGGTATTGTGGAGGGCGATGATGGACGCGGCTCCTATTTCGGGCGGTGGTCTGGCCAGCCGACGTTGAGCATCCGTAGTCCTGCCTCTTTACTTCACCGCTGGGGTTTGTAGCTAGGCTGGGCTAACGGTCGATCCATGAAGACTACGCATAACTGGCTTTTTAGCCCGTAAGTTAAGTATAAGTAGAAAAAATGATTAAGAAGCATACTATCTAGGCTATGCAAAGACCGACTATTCCATCCACATATCAACCAGGGTTAGGCTGTTATCCTTTCCCAATATACCCGAAATTTGGCCATACTCATAATCGCATTACTCTTGTCCAGCCCAGGTATCACTTCAGAACGACTTATACCATACTTTTATTCGAGTGCTGCGTAGATCCTGTCGACTGCAGCTCGAATTCCTGTTCAACCTTGATCCCGTCCTTTGTTAGCTCTCGCTCGCTATCTCCTGTGTTGCCCCTGGTCGCTGATGATTTCGGGTATCCGGCTGTCTTCTTTGGAGGGCCACCACTGTTATCAACTCGGTCCCATGCTTGAGTACCAGCGGCTTCATATGGGGACAACATTTCTTTGGAGCCGGTACTGGCATCCTTAGAGCCTTTCACCTTGTTTACAAGGCGCTTGAATTGTCGCATTAACTCGCGGTAGATGATGGGGAGGTTTGCGCATAGAATGGCACCACATGGCTCTAGTGCCGACAGAATGCCCAACGGAACCTCTTCCCCTGTGGAAGGACACCACGGTTAGCGAACTACGAAATGTAAACAGGCAATGAACGCGAGGAACCTACAAGTCACATCGCCAGACCCGGCAGAGAAGACAACAGATAAACGGGCAATGCTGAGGCCGCAGACTCCAAGACCGATGGAGAAGAGGAAGCAGAGAGCTATACGTTTAGCCTTGTTCACTTCTAGTTTCATAATAATAGGAATCGGCATAGAGAAGATCCAAAGGTCGAAGATGAGATTCAAAATGTTAGTGGAATACGTAAATGCCACTTTATCGACACATTTCGCATGAGGAGCAGCAAGCCACCAGCCTTGAATAGGTTGGCAGCCTAGACCAAGGACGATCTCCATCTCGATGAGCCAGGCAATCACAAGAGCAGCAGTGATATAGATAGCGACTCTCGCCCGAGTCGTCACGAAGATGCGGTGATAGAGCGCTAGAATCGAGAGCTTGGTGCTAGCAATGGCGAAATCATAGAAGTGGCTGAAGATGTAATCGCCCTTGCACGGTGTCAGAATAAGAAGTGATTAACCGCACAAGCGCAAGAGAACAATATGTTTACCTTGAGATAGGTCGATATATTGAAACCAGTTAGAGCTTGAACATGACGTCCAAGCCCTTGTGGTGGGCCTGAAGCAGTGTTAGTAGTGATAACATATGGGTTGGATGACTGGGTGTTCCCGGACCGTAGACAAGTCCAGCAATACATTCTGCCACAGCAGTGATCTAAGACGCGGCAATTAGCTGCAGGTACTTTCCTCGAGGGAAAAATTAGCATAGCGGTGCTAATTATCAAGAGTTACTTACAGTTGCCCAGACAATTAGGTAATCATCATATCCGAGGTACCCATCGGAATATGGACCTGATTTCACGATGAGTCTGTAGGAAGTACTAAGGATCTCGAGGGGGATAGGCAGTGAGTAGAAGGCGTTCACAACAGCTCTCCGATCCTGAGCCAGGTATTCAGCGCTGTATGTCATCGTGGTGTTCGCCATGTTGGACAGCGATCGTGGCTGGCACGAGGCTAGGGAGCACGATTTGGAATGGGTGGAATCATCGACGTCGAGGAGTCCACAGTTAATGCCTGTCGAACTCGATCGGAATTGGAGTTGGTTATATGCAGAGAGTAGAAAGAGGGCATATTGACGACTCCAACAGGTGTCGAGTCTGGTGGTATGTTTCTGTTCGAGTCGCTTGTCCGCGAGCTGAATGGTGCAGAGTGACACAGCCGATCGGCGAGGCACCTCATTAATTCGGCCGTCCTATGCTACGACCATTTTCTGAGACCTATCCAGGGCCATGCTTACCTACGCATGCAATGGCACCCAATCTCCGTTCCGAATTGGTCGATTGCCCGTCCCAGTGCGCATGCACAGCGCTGGGCCACCGCATGAGAAGGGCTCTCGAACGTCTTCCACACCCCCCACAATGGCGTTCGTGGAGGAATAGTTACCCGTCTTACATACGCCGGTACTTGATCCAGCCAGGCTAAGTGACAGATCATAATTGCTTCGGTCCGCGTGGATCAACTGAATCATAAATACCGCTGCAGCGCCGGCTTGCTTTCGAAAGAACAACTATACCCACAGAGCAGGAAACAGACTAACTTGTCTATAGATGACGTTCAAGTCCTCACCTACCGTAAGGTCCTCATGTACTCGACACGCTGACCGTGTGTACATACCCATAATTCCCTCGTTTATCACTACCATTCTCGGCGTCGCAGTCTTCACATGTGCTACGCTGTGCTGTGTGTGAGCATTGGAGTAGGCATTTAAACTTCCAACTGCCACCCTACAGTAATCCAAGACAGCAACCCAAGACTCTGTCCTGGAAAGCGAAGAGCGAATAACACATGGCATTTAATCAAGGCAAGGCAAGACAAGACAAGGCAACTTATCTATCTCTTCTATTCTAATTATATACAAATGCCAGTGAGACTGTTGTAACATTTCATGGAAAAACCGTCGCATTTCTGCGTGTCACTGCAATGAGACGCAAGTGGACATGTGTAAGAACAATGCTCAATTGTGTATGGCCACGGGGGGAGGGCGTGTTACCGTATAAGTGCAACGTTATGCACACATGGCCCAGAAGCATGCGTCAGCGCCAGTGACAGCCCGCAAGGCACCATTGTTTTTTTGGTTTTCAGCAGAGGCATTTTGGCAGCATTGAGAACTGCAACGCTTGGAGATTGTGGCCTTCCATTAGACGCATTATATAGTCGCATGGCGTAGTATTGAAAACGAGCTGAAAAGCAAAACCCTGGCTTTCCTTGCATGTGCCAGCCCCCCCGAACCGTTACCTACCCTTTTCAGGCGACGATAATCCGTCATGTCTCCCTACATGTAACATACCCAGGAATGTCTGCTCGCCCGACTGTTCCGACTCTGCTGCTCCCCCCGTAACCCCCCCTTCAACCAGACAGCAGTCTCTCTTGGTCCTTTCTCATTGGTGTTGCGACGAGGAAAACAGCGGTGATCTTGTTGTGTTGAGACATTCGCTCTTACGTACGACAAGAAGGGCCGCGCTGCTACCCGTGCGCGACCAACTCTTAGTGTAGGTACGTCCCTGCATGCACGGCTCCTCCAAAAAGGGTCGCCCCGTACCGTCGCATTCTAGGACTCCTCCGCGCGGGAAGTTAATATCTTGTCTGCCTTGGTGTTGAAGCAAATCGTCTCCTTTTTCTGACACCAACCCTGGAACCATGAAGATCGGAGGAGTCTTGCAGCGACTCTCTTGCCTGGTGGTCGCTGTGGCTTGGGCGGCCGCGGGGGGTTCCGCCGAGCTTGTTCTCTCTGCCTCAGGCCCCATCGTCAGTCTCGGATACGCAACCTATGAAGGCTACTATAACGGGACTTACGATCTTAATATCTGGAAAAGGTATGGGTGCTGTCTCATTTTCTCCCGATCCGCCATGGCTGCTTGCATATCTTTGTCTTGTCTGGCCTGTATAAGTCAGGACCGGCTGCATTATCGGCGCCACAGTGTTAAACCGCCAATGCCGATCTCCATGTTAATTGCCAACCCCTCTATAGTATCCGCTATGCTGCACCACCGACTGGGAATCGTCGATGGCAGGCTCCTGAGCCTCCTCTCCACGAGAGCTCTGCTGTCATCCCAGCAGTAGCTCAGCCCCCATTGTGTCCTCAGACCGGTGCCTTTGGCGTGCCCAAGGCATATGGCTTCAACTCAGGTCTCGGGAATGAAGATTGTCTCTATCTTAACGTATATGCCGCGCCTAATGCGACTAATCTGCCAGTTCTGGTGTGGATTCGTATGCAACCCCTGCCTTTTCATTGAGTCTATTGATGCCGTAAATATGCAAAATTGACTGACGGTATGCCTGACTAAGATGGGGGCGGACATTCGGTCTTTGGAGCACAGTATGATCCGAGTGTGTGGATGAACACAAATGACAATGGCTTTATTGTTGTTGAGATGCAGTACCGGCTCGGAGCCTTCGGCTTCCTCGCGTCACCAGATGTCAAGAAGAGCGGTCGCCTTAACACAGGGCTGCTCGACCAGCGGTTTGCCATCGAATGGACTCGCAAGTACATAGCCAAGTTTGGCGGCGACCCGAATCGCATCACTATTGGAGGTGAATCTTCTGGCGCCGCGTCCGTTGTCTTTCACTCTCTGGCTTATGGCGGGAAAGAGACGGGGCTCTTTAACAACGTAGGTCAACTCATATGAAAACAAAATCACGGCATCAACGGCTTACTAAGTCATTCTTAGATGATTGTTGCCAGCCCATACTTGCCGACGGTGTACAAATACTCTGATTCTTTTCCCAAAGCCCGTTATGACAAGTTCGTCGAGCTTGCTGGCTGTAACAAACCAGCCGGGAACAAGACAACATTTGACTGTCTCGTAGCGGCTGACACTACTGTGTTGCAATATGCTAGCGGAAACGTTTCGACAAAGGTGGGATACTTCGGCAGCTTTGGCTTCTTGCCCGTGATCGACGACGACTATATTCGGGAACGGCCGGCCGTGCAGCTAGCAAGCGCAAAATTTAGTGGAAAGCGTGTCCTCGTGGGTGTAAGTCTTTTGAAAAACGCCATCCTAGCTCAGTGACATCATCCACTAACAAACCATATCAGAACAACGGAAATGAGGGTTCCCCCTTATTCAATCCCAACATCTCTACACGAGCCCAGTACGATGACTTCATTACTGAGACATTTCCCTTGTTCACATCGGAGGATATCAACAAATTGAACAAAATCTATGAGATCTCGGATGAGTTACCGCCCGATGACGGCGTAGTCTTCGACACGCTTGGGTATACTGGGCCGACGGCCTTAACACAATCCGGCATAGCGACCGGCATCCAGCAATCAGCCTTCAACCTCGCGGCCGAGACCGTTTTTGACTGTCCGGCGCAGTGGGTCGCCGAGGCCTTCAGCACGGGGTGCACGTCCGCCTGGCGGTACCAGTACTCGGTGACGCCGTCGTACCACGGCGCCGATCTGCGCGCGTACTTCGCCGTCGGGGCGTCTACACCCGCCGCAGACTTCCGCCACGCCATGCAGAAGATATGGGGGAACTTCATCATCAACAACACACCTGTTATCCCAGTGGCGGACGCCATGGGGAATTACGAGAACGCCTCCGTCCCCGTTGTAGGAAACAAAAGCGTCATTGACTGGCCCCGGTTCACGCGCAGCAACCCCGTGCACATGAACCTGAACACCACCGGAGGAGACGTGAAGCTCGTCACGGTCGGCGACACACTGGCCTATTACGTCCGCTCGGGCCCCGGTGTCGTGAACACTTTCAGCCTAGCCGACTCTTTTGCTTGGGAGGGATCTCGCGGCGATCGGTGTAATTTCTGGCGGGCTGTCTCCGCGAGGGTCCCGCAATAGGTTATATATAATAGAGGTTCAACACATATAGATAGAAATGTGAAGGTGTAGACTTTTGGGGTAGTATTATAGTCAAAGCGCGTTTGGGTTTAATAGTGTATACAAATTCAAGACTAGAGCTTCTAGTAACACCCGAATTGCAATTAACCTTCCATACCGTTGTCACTTTACGGTAGAGAGCTTCATATGACATTTGACACACGAACACGAGATAAGACAGGTTAACAAAGTAAGTGCTAGGAGCTATTCTGTACCTATGAATATAAGTCTAAGCTGGAAATGCTTAAGCATCCTCATATCTATCAATAAGGCCATATTCTTCAGAGAGTAGAAGATAACCATATTAGTATAGCTGTTGTAGCATACAGTAGGGCTCACCATAATTCTACTTTAAATATAGCGCTTTCTATAGAGTATGGGGATTGATTGTATATAGCAATTATGAGGGTTGTTATAAGGGTTATTGCAAATAATTATTGGTAATAACAACCTTAATTACACATAGCACCTTTATGATTATAGTAGATAAGGGCTATGTTATAGTAGATCTTGAGACTTGCTTTAATAATTATAGCGGCCAACTATACTGAGATGACTATCTTCTATTATCTATCTTCTACGTTTTGGGATATGTGGCCTCCCTGGCCCATCGTCCCGTCATCCTAGGGCTGCCCTAAGTTCAAGTTCTGGATTAATCGGCAAGTCAACCTTCTGAGAACTTAGCTTTGCCTGCGCCGTCTTGCTCTCGTTGTACAAATGACGTCTTTGCTACTTCGTTAATCTCGTCACGAAACCAACCTAACTCAGCCTTCTGCCGAACCGCTTCTTCGAGACTACAGAATAAGATAGCAAGGTTGGATGACTTCCACGATCTCAGAGCATCTGGGTACGAAAGCCAGGCCCATCGGACCTGAACACAAATCATATCGAGAAAGACTCTTTCCAGCACATAATCGTCTGCTCCATGTGGGCCAGCGTTGCGGATCCTAGCCGTTATAACATCGGAAAGGTTGCGCATGAAAGTATCGACCGTATCAATATTGATAGTCCCGTTTCTCCATATATTCTTTGCTACGATGCTCCCGATGTACGTATTATCGTATTGCTGAATCGGGGCATCGTAAAGATAACGTTGTATCTCGGGCCGTATGGCAAGATAGGGTGACTCCCCAAATGCCCATACACATTCTTCGGGGAACCAGGCACTGGGTGCTTTGCTACCAGAGCTCTGCGGCTCTTGAGGTGCTGCGTCAACATTCGGGGTTGCCACACGAACTAGACCAGCCGTGTTGTTCGTAGGACGCATAGAGCAATCTAACTTCTGTTCTCCATTATGGGATGGTTACTGGTCGCGAGGATATATCTGAGCCCACCAAACTCATCGAATCCCAATGGGGTTTCGGCGGTTACATTCTCTTAGAGAATAGATCTCGTCACGGAAGCTTCATACGTCCTTACACAAGGGTATAGCTGGCACTGAAATGCGTTGGCACTTTTATAAGTAGTAACGTTGAGACTTAGGATTCTGACATCTAGCAGATGTCTGGGGGAAAGGGCAACACTGGTATTCAGGTGGGTGGAGGGCTCAAGCTCTATCTGTGAAATCTAGGTATTCTGTACTGTCATTCCTAGGAAGCGAATAGTTCCAGGGTCCTCGTGCGCGTGTTAGGGTTACAATCTCGACCTCATGCTACAGATGAACAGAGATGAATGCTTTTGGTTTATAGAAAATACACGAGAGTTGCAGATGGTTTGCACGTCTGATTCATCTCATTCTAGACCCTAAGGCAAGCCTCATTTTGGCCCTTCATATGAGAAGCTGAGGGTTTGTTTCTCTTTGATTGGTATCCATAGGTGGCGTACTGTAACAACCCCCATCGCCACGTTCTTGAGTTGACCAAACATCGTCTGGGAAATGGTGGCACAGTCTAATATTGTAAGTTCAATATAGATGAACTGACTCAAAAGATGACGTACAGAAGGAACATCAATAACGGTGCGTATATGTTAATAGTGATCGGAGCCTATAATTAGCACCGAGAAGTCGCCAGTACAACACCACCTGCATGTCTCACGAAATGTTCGTTTATTGGGGGGCGATTTCCGACAAGCCGTTACACGCACTGGATGCATTGAACACCTTGTACGCCTCTTGCACTTGGCTGTACGCGCAATGAAAACAATACCTACCTTCGTGTTCGGAAGAAGTCATATAGCCCTTACTAATAGGAGATATACTGACAAACCTCGGCGGTTAGGAAGGCTTGTTCCACTGTAACTAAGTAGACGTCATAGATCATAGTACGAGATATACAGTGAGACTCTTATTGTTTCTTGAAGTCTAAGAAGGTCAGGAGTGAAGGTGTTCAGACTCCTTCGGACCATATGCTTCCAGTTTCTTTGTACCTGGCCCTAACAGTATACTGGGTGGCATTGAGGGCGAAGGAGGGGGCCAAATTGAACATGTGGATTCTAGCAGCCATAACGGACTAACAATTGCGCATATCTTCAATTCAAGGTCTCGATCCCAGTGCTGGGTCGTGAAAATACACAATCCTGATTTACTGGAAGTTGCGGCATTGAGGCGGAAAAAGACTTTTGACAAGAGGAGAAATCGAACCCTTGGTGCCTGGCGCTGGACGCTAAGCTAAAGGCCTGCCAGTTTCCCATCGTTTTCGAGACACAGGCATAGTGTAGATAGAAATATTGACCAAAGGCTTTGATCTTGGCGTCTAGATTACCTAAGGGATCATTTAGCACCAATTTGGCTATATGAGAAACACCGGCTGTACTACATGGTCTGATCTCTAGACCATGTGCCTACTCTATCTCAAAGATCCCGAGGATAGGCAGACCGAGATACTCCTACAGTATAGCGTGCCTCCCGGGCATGCAACCTCGGTAACTGGGGTGTGCGCATTGGTAACGAAGGATGATGCCATATTTTCCCTCGGAGAGCGAACGCTTGACTAGACAGGCCGTTGAAAAACGAGCCTAGTGGAGATGATATTGAGAAGGGAATTGATCATTTCTGCTTCCCATATCTTGACTGAGGCATAGACACTGTATCATGCATAAAAAAATCCATCTCTAGACACCAGAAAAAACATGATCAAGGTCAAAGTAATGATGAGATGAGGTCTTGTTGCCAGTCACTTCATGTGACCAGCCCCTCCTATTCGGGCTAGCGTGATTTCCTGTCCAGGGAGGGCAGTGCTGTACAGCTGTCGGACGCCCACTCTTCATCCCGACTTACACGAGCTTCAAATCTCAGCATTCCTGGATGGAAAAAATTGTAAAAAATCAGAAAAAGATAGTTGCAATTCCTAGTTAACTAGGAAGCATCAGGAATTGAGCCCGATGCGGGGGTCGAACCTATTTTTTGTTAGACCGGTGAACGAGTTGGGCTCGAATGCTTGACTGTGGGAACTTACCCGCAACCTTGAGATTAAGAGTCTCACGCTCTACCGATTGAGCTAACCGGGCAGCCGAAGCTGCTTGTTGTTGGAGGGTTGAGGCCACAAATACACTTATGTTTGTAGAACTGCTGCTAGGGCTTTTTGCTAGTGTGCTAGTCAAGCTTGGGAAAAATTGAAAAAATTGTGCGAGTGGAAATGAGGCCGGGAGTGGGCCACTGTATTTACCCGATATCTAAGACAACTGGCTGAACTGCACTAGGATAAGACTCATATGGATTGGAAATGCTGCGCAGAATAATACAGCTGCCTCAGTTGATGCCATGAAATGCGCCACTAGCTGTCTACAGTACTTGGTTGTGTTGGCTAATCGAAAACAAGGGTCTACAAGGATAATCAACTCACTTGAGCCTATTCAAGCTACCACTCTCTCTTCTATTACGATATCTCATTCCGTTATCCAAGAAGTTCTCTCTGGTCAAGTTGAAATAAACTAGTTAGCGATTCACCGAGAAACCTACGGCAGAGAGTCTGTACTTAAGTATTATGTTGTGGAGGCTTTATAGAGCGATGGGAGAGGGATTTTAACTGGGTTAATTATCATTCAATATAAGACCATATTGATAGGGAGATCTAACAGAGGTTAGACCTAGTTACCTAGTTACTATACACGTACATGGGATCCTCTTGGTCCTGTGACTTGTGGTCTTCTTCGCTACTTATTTCTTCTTCTTTACAGCTAATGAAACTATGGAAACGTTTTAAATGAGAGCCGCCCGTATGGAAGCTTTTGGGGCCACCTAGGCCGCGAAAGACTTAGATCTGATACCATGACCAAGGTAAAGTTATGGACTTCTTCAATAGCGTGACTGTAGCTTCGCCGTTAGGATTCGCAACCTAGTCTTGTTACCAGCCGTCAGTGCAAAACCAGGGTCGGGGACAGGTAGGAAATAGATATTACATGTAGAGATAGTACTAGCGGGGGTTTTAAGCATTTGATCTTTACTAGGTATGCGCCGGATCTAACGGGAGTTCCCGACGAGCTGTAACCAGTAACTGCTTAGGCAGCCAAACGCGGTTATGCCTACAGTACTTAGAAGCTGAGAGTCCTGGCTGAGCCGAGCAGTCGACAGATGACGCCAAGCCAGCTTAGCCACGGGTTGAGTACCGGCACCGAGCCAACAGCAGACAGTGGCACTATCTTCTCATTGACACATAATGTACCTCAATCGGCGAAGAATTAGCTGAAAAAGGGTGTCCCATGCTCTACCCATACCACAATAGTAATTCACAGAGGTCGCTTGCCGTCAGCCGCGCTAGGGAGCAGTGAAGCTTACACTACCTACCAGTAACAAGCCGCCCTCTGTAAAGGTGGGTGTATGATTTGCAGCAGTATGACTATAACCTTCAAATCCCTTATACATATGTGTGCCGTGCATGTTGGGCGTGCCGCTCCCGGCAACTCTGTAGTCTCTTGGGATTTGCAAGCGACCTGCGTTTTGGGCAGCCTTACTTATATATAGGGGATCTAGTGACGTGGTGTGGTTTTTGACTTCTGACTACAGTAGGGCGCCTTGGTAACTTGGCCTTGCTGACTGTTTCTAGAATAGCTACCCTGTCAAAGGATCGGCTCAGGGGGTGGACTAGTACTAATCATAGCAGCACCGTTGACAAATCATGGCGAACATGTCGTAATGTAGCGCGGACTATGCTGAGAATAACACCGTAATCAGAGAAGATAAATTGTATTAAAAACATGGCGAGCATGGTTGTGAAAAGTGGGAATCGACAGGCCTTGCCCTCTCGCTTTCCTTTGTATGTCGTGATATATCGTGGGATTTTGTTAACTCTCTTTTCCTCTTTTCCCCTCGTCGCGTATCGATCGTCGTTAACTTGGAGGCTACCGTCTATCACAAGATTCACAACTGAATAGAAAAGGAAATAGACGGATCTGGAGTCAACATGCAACGACTACATCCAAACGGGGGACCGGCGCCGCGCCCGGTTAGCTGGAGCGTTGTTCCGGCCGACGACCCAGCTGCGCATGAACAGATGATCAAGTTCATCTCGGAGTCGTTAGTGGACGACATACAGAGCAACATATCGAGCGGGTTCATGCGACAAGTCCATGCCTCCAAAAAGAGTACCATGTCGCCCCATGATAAGGCAGAGCGGATGCGCATAGTCCGCAAGATGCGATCGTCACTGGAACGTCTTACAGAGGAGTTGGGGCAGAAGTTCTTCGAGGAGTTCAAAGTCCGACCGCCCGTTGGCCGATGGTACGATTCTTGGTTGTTTAACGAAACGCCGCAATTCTGGAGCCCAGAACCGGAGTGGTCCATGCCATCTGAACCACATGCGGCAGCTCTGGCGGCTCTAGAGTCTCGTAGTGATGCGCGTAGTGTTGCCAGCAGCAACAACGGCCGTGTTTTCGGTTCTGAAACCACCCCTGAAGTCAAAGTAGACTTCATGGAGGATATCGAAGAGTTCGAAGAAACTCAGGAATTTGCGCCGATCCCCGAGTACAGACCGGATGCGCCAGCGACGGAGGTAAGAAGCCACGGACTCTCATAGCCTGCCTGTAAGATGGCCGAAGATGCAGTTTAATTGACGTGGATTCTAGGAGAAAACAGAGGGTCCGCCACCGGCTACCATGGGCTGTCAATGCGAACATGAGCACGACGGTGCGGAGGGGACACACCTCTGCCAGACATGTGACTGCAGCAACCAGGGTTATGGCTGCATCGCATCTTGTGGTTGCGACGAGACATGCCAGAACAACTTCAACAATATCGCGCTGGACAACATTCTCGGCACCGTTGGCGGCTCTCAGATGAAGCTCGACCCGTGCTTCATCACCTTTTTGCAGAAGCACAAGCTCGAAGGTGCCCCCATCACCCTTGACTATCTATTTGAACACCTCCTGTCCGGTCTAGACTACGTACCGGATGGCAACGACGAGGCGATCGACGCGTGGCGGGCAACATGGGAGACGGGCTACAACGGACCGGACCCCGAAGCACGAACGGAGGATCTCCAACGCCAACTTCTCCGTCTCGGACTCGGCCCCAGCGACAAGGAGGGGGCGTGGTTCTTCTCGTTCTGCTACCTCAACAGCGAGCGCATCGGAAGCTGGCAGCAGCGCGACCAGATCTGGCACTGCAGGGCGTGCGGCAACTGCAGCGAGCGACAGGAATGGCACTGCGGAACATGCAACAAGTGCACGTACGGCAGGGCGATCCCGTGCGGCGGGTGCGGCGGCGTGTCGAGCTCGTACCACTTGGACCACAAATCATGACTGGCGCAGGACTGGGTTCGCAGTTTCATCATCAAGGCAGTGCTGACCTGCCGGGGACTAAGGCGGGTTGGGAAAAAGCTGAGGACCCGGTTCTCTGGCAACCTTCGCATCGGGAATTAATGTGAGTTGGCGGTGATATTATGATCTGGCCAGCTGTGAGAGAGATATATATGCATACATATATATATCTCAGCAACGCCGTCAACTCTCCAACATCACAAGATGGCCATAATGAGACCCCATTGCTCTGAAACGGGCATATGGGAACCAGGCATATATATATGGTTTACGGTCTACACTCCTTCCTTTATTTTATTATTATTTTTATTTTATTTTACAAGCGGTGAAATAGACCGGCGGCATGGTCATGGTCAACGAGGCAGACTGGGATTATATATCAACCCATGTGGTGCTGATCTGTACATAAAGAGGTAGCTAACTGAGTCAGGGGGAGGAGGTCTGTCAGTCATTGTTATATATAAAGTTTTCTATATTGTTTGAATGAAAGTGTAAATACCCATCTACAATGCCGTTATACATATATATCTGTACTATATGGAATCTATCGAATCTTGGTCTTTGTTCTTTGGGCTGAGATCTTTGTTCAAGATGCATCGTGGATGTATCTTACTAGGTATACAATCTGGAGAACCCCCTGGCTGTGCTACCTGGTCTAAAGTACTCCTAGAGCAGCCTAGGTTACACGCTTAGGCAGGTCCCTGCCCACTGAATCCACTGTACTATAGGTCCATAGTAGGTGGCTACAGTGGAGTAATATAGGTAAGGTAGGTACAATTAAGCAGGTAACACCACCTACCTACAGTATGCAGCTCAAATCGCGTGGAAACGGCTCACCAAGACCTCGTCCCCATTGTCATGATCATGATATAAGCATCGCTGCAATTGAATGAATATATACCACCTACCCCGACTATCGACTCTGGACTAAAGCCTTTGCGTGGATACAGTGGCATCTAATCAATGAATTGATACACGGCCGCCTTTCTCATCCAAGAATTTCCAATTGTCTATCGTCTGTCCAAACTTCAAGACATAACGTACGTCACCAAATAGGAGACGGTCATCACATCACGGCTCGAGTCTAAACCCCCCTCCGCTTTCTACCGTGCATACATACATAGTACAGTAGTGACTGACCTCCCGATCCACCACGAGAGATCCACGACCATATCCACGACCATACCCACGACCATACCCACAACCACCATCACAACTACGACGCATCCCCTACTATACCTAACCTCATAGATGCATTGCCAACTGGGCAGCATAATAGTAGCATAATTGTATTTGGAACCTTTACTGCGACTGAACCATCACTGTCGCTACTATCACCACGACTACCATTATCCACACCACACCCATCGTGCTACGAGCGCGAGCCTCGCTCTCCCCCGGGTCGACCACTGACGACAATGAGGTTGCGCTTATGATTCCTCTCCTTCGCTTGAAGGAGTGTCACCATGTCGCCCGAAGCACGCGCCACCAACATCCGCGTCTTCATAAAATGGGATGACCAGACTGTGTTCGCAGGCGAGGAACTCAGGTGTCACATCACCTTCAAGAATGTAGCCCCTGGTCCAGCTTCCGCCTCGAATCAACGTCAATCCTTACAGCCATCCCCAAGGTCCGATCGATCAAGACAGCCTTCGCCATTACTAAGTCCGAGAGCCGGCTCTACGAACGGTTTAACACCTCCCCCCTCCGCTCGTAGTCACCGGTCAACCTTGTCCCTCAACGTGCCCTCTACCGGCTCGCGCCTTAGGAACAGTGTCCAGCAATGGCCTCCTCCCCAGCTGCCGCAGCCGCCGCCACCACAAAGACCGAATCATGCCCATAAACGATCCCTTTCCATTGTGTCTATGGGCTCTAGTGCCACTGTCGACGACCAAGCCTATACCAATGGCACTCAAACGCACCCCCAACGCCCCAGTCGCGGCCATGGTCGCTCCGCCAGTCTCCAAATCGTGCCACGCACCGGTACAACGATGAATGGCCCTCAGTCGGCGGCATTACCGCGCCGACCACCTTTTGGCTCGGAGCCGTCCCCTGTGTTCAACAACCATTCGTTCCCTCCCTCAAAACATGCCCTTGGCCAGCGGTCGGGGGTTACAACGGCTCCTAACACCCCAGGCTTTACCAAATCACCTACAAGGAGAAAAGCCTCAGGCCCGATACCAGACTTCAGGTTTCCCATGGCGTCAGGGCCGCCCTCGGGAAGTGTTGGCAATACTCCTGGTACCTATCTAGACGACTCTACTACAACACCCACGGCAGAAACGGCGCCTCAAGTCTCTTTACCTGTCCGCTCAAAAGAACCGATACCTATAATCTCGGAACATTCGGCACCAATTGCGAGAGTTCTGGCCACTACGAGTATAGCGGAGGGAACTCCTAGAAGTAGTGGGGAGTTCTACTCCATGAGCAACAATTCCTCGGAGACATTGGCCTCAGAATATGTTATTCACCCGTTCCAGGGTGGCCGGAGGCCTGCTCACTTGCGCCGAAGCTCTGGGATATCTGGTATTAGTATGGCAAGAATGCCGGAATCTTTGATGATGGGTTATGCTCAGGTTCAGGGCTCCTTCACGCTAGATGGGTCGCTCGTCAACTTGGGACCTTTTGAGGCTGTTAAACGAAAGGCAGTCCTCGGTGGACAGGGCGGTGGTGTGATTGGAGTCGAGTCGTCAAGAAGAAGTAGTGGATTCTTAAACGGCTTTGGATGGGGCGGTCTCGGAAATTCCATTGGAGAACTCCTCGGAGCAAGCGAATTCAGCAGTATAAAGGATATGCGAGGCGCGGCGAATTCGAAATCTATTCCGTTATTATCCACGCCCCAGTCGATCTTGTTTGTGGATCTACAACTGGGCCCTGGCGAGAGTAAAACATACGAGTACTCCTTTAGATTACCAAAAGGCCTTCCCCCAACCCACCGAGGCAAGGCCATCAAGATCGCTTACAGCTTAGTTGTTGGCACGCAACGGGCCGGTGGTGCCAAGGAGCAGCAGGTGCGGTCTGTTGATACTCCATTCCGAGTACTTGGAAGTGTTAATAGCTACGGCGAGATCCTCGGTCATGACTTGCTTTCTCCATACATCTTACTTCGCGACCAAGCTAAGGTCCAACCACACGAAAAAGGATTCAACACGTCAACATTCAAGAAACGTACCAAGACAGAAGCTCCAGCCTCGACTATCAATGACTTTCTAACCTACGTCGATGAATTACTCGACCGCCCGCGAGATGGCATGAGTCTCCTCTCACCCACAGCTACAGCGGCACCATCACGTCGATCATCTTCGGTGGGGGAGCCAACCAATGCAAAGCAGGCCATTGACCTCGCTATAATCCGCTCCAACTTATCCTCTGATTCTGGCCAAAGCAGCAACCGCTTTGTGATTGCGCGCAATGGTCAGCGCGTAGGCGTCATCATGTTAGCACGCCCCTCGTATCGTCTTGGCGAAACCATAAGTATGGCCATTGACTTCACCGACGCCGAAGTTCCCTGCTATGCTATACACGCTGCTCTCGAAACCAGCGAGCGCATCGACCCATCCCTAGCCTTACGCAGCGACGCAAGCGTACACCGTGTCACGCGCAAGGTACACGCCAGCTCCTCTGAAGCAACCCTCTTCGCGCGCCGTGTCGTCTTCAGTCCCACTATTCCCATCACCGCGACGCCTGAATTCGTTACCAGCGGGTTGAATTTCGAGTGGAAGATCCGCGTCGAATTCGTAGTCCCTTCATCTACTTCTACTTCTGGTATGAATTCCGCAGATGATCCAGATGATCAGGAGAGTCCGAGAGAAGGAGAACAGAGTGGTGGTGGTCACCCGTTACTCGAAGAGATATCCCACAACGACAAAGCCGGGCTCGTCCTCGTAGCCGCTGAGACGCTCGAGTGCGAAAGCTTCGAGGTTGCTGTGCCGCTCCGCGTGTACGGCGCTGTATGCAATGGTCTTGAACGCCTCGAGCGCGACGAGGCACTTGAGGAAGGCCTCGTGGTATAAAAAAAAGCCTGTCCTGATCTGATCTATTTTGGCGAACAAGTACTAAAACGGGTATATTTCATGTAATATCTACAAAGGTTAAGAGGCTGCGATATTAAGAAACTGGGGAGTAATTATAACAAAAATATACATTAGCGATGGGATGCGATGCGACATACATAGCAGATGCAGGACGTGGATCATATTACCTTCACTGATCTGATCTGGATAGAGAGCGGGTGAGCGGGCCGGGTGACACAATCAATCAATCAATCAACTTATTGAACAAACTTTTCAAACGAGACTTTCAAATGAGGAAAGAAAGATGGAAATCAATCAAGCAGTCAGGGTAAAAAAAAGGTGCTGCCATCTGTCTCCATCATGGGTATTATATCCATTACAGGCGGGGTTAGGTTAGGTCAGGCTTTTGTAGATATAATATATTTCTGTAGCTGTAGTCGTAGTCGTAGTCGTAGTAAGTAATGTGAGATATGTAGTATTACCAGGACAAAACCAACCGGTCCAGGAATCCAAGGACGGAGGGAATATCAATCAATACCTGACTAACTCACCAGTTCATCTATGAATACGTGAGCCGCATGTATTGTTTATCTCAGACGAAGATAGTAAACGCAATAAAACCAACACTCCTTGTAATACTCAATATTCAGCGCATCTATCAATAGTAATAGATTATTCCGAGTCTACCATATGATACAGGGGACTGGAATCAAGCCCAAATAAATGCAGAATGCTCGACTAACCATCCATCTAAGGGAATGTGTAGCCTGGTTGGTGTGTGTAAACCCTCTTGAACGCCAGTGTTTCCCTGCCCACTCCGGAAAATAGATGAATGGTATCATATGATTAAAAGTAATCAGTTTTTGCCTGACCCCCCTTTCCCAATCAATGATAAATCAATAACGCCGCCTTTTTGTCTGTTTTCCCCCAGACAGATGCTACCAGTAAGTAAGTAATGATGATAAGAAGATATGTAAGGAAAAGGAGCAGTCCTAGACTCCTGACACGGTTCGCCGATGATGAACCTTGCGATAACCCCCTCTAAACCTATTCCGCTTGATCCCCGTTGACACCACGACCCATAGTTATCTGTACAGTTTTATTCACAGCTCCTTGTCAAATATACAAAAGACAAATATGAAAGTGAAACGATTGTGGGGATCTATGTTGAGGTGCTGCTAGACCCTGTCCCCGATGAGCTAGGACGTTTATCGGTAGAATCCGTCTCCGGATCGGACGGCCGTCGGTATTTTCCGAGACGCAGTTTCTCATCGAGAAGTGACACCAGTCGTTCTGAGTACTGATCCAGCAGACCATTAAGCATGGTGTCACTCATTGCTTTACTTCGTGTTGCTCGATCACCAAGAGCAACTGCCGTAAGTCGAAGTTCTTGATCAAGTTCAGCTAGTGTTTCCTGGCTAATGGGATCAGTCGAAGCCAACTTCTTCCGATAAGCCCGCAAAGTCCGACTAGTTTGTTCAGTGGACTTGTTGAGTGTTCCATATGACCTGAGGCTGCCGTTGCTCTTAGTCTTTGCCGAATTCAATGCCGGCACGGAAGGGCGTCGTTTAGTCCTAGCCCTAGGGCTGACTGGGGGACTACCAGCCGGTGTGCCTGATGGTCGTCGTGAGGGGGTGTCTTCAGCGATGACCGGAGCTGGGCTTGATGGTTGTCCAGCTACAGGGGTTTTCGAAGCTGCCGGAGACATGTAGTTCCCCAAGAATAGGGATCGCCTCTTGGATAGTGTTCTCGGCGGTGATCTACGACCACCGGCTGCGGATGCAGGGCGTTGAAACTCTGCCAGTTCCGTTCTAGACAAAACGCGTCGTAGTGTTGGTTGGTTGATGGGAGTAGTAGCCTCCTTAGCAGGGGAGGAATCGCGACTAGAAGATCCCAGTCCCCGGTCTTGCAGGTCTATTTCCCAAATCATAATAGTCCCATCGGATCCAACACTTACAGCCTTTCGGTTGGCATCGTCCTCCTCGATCATGGCTACACCATGTATCGCCTCTGTATGTCCCCATTCTCGAGCTAGGAATTGGCCTTGTATATCATAAATCCTAATTGATTTATCTGTATTGGAGAGACCGAGGAGAAACGCTGGTTCTTTTTCGGTGCCGGCTCTAGTTGTTAAGGAATCTAGGATCACAGGATCCGCACCACTTTCGTCAAAACATTTGAAAGACTTCAGGAGCTTTCCAGTGATCAGATCGAACATGGATACAGATCGCTCAACCTGAGATACGTAGAGAGTTTTCCCATCAGGCCCCATAGCCATGGATATCGGTGACGCTTTTATAGCGAGTGTTCGAGAAGGGATGGCCGCCATGATGTCTGGGTCGCCTTCTTTCGTTACTAGGTCATGAATCTGCACTGCCCTGTCTAGTGAGCAGGTGATGACTTTATCTGTAGAGGGTATCAAAACTTGGGAGACTCTGGCAGCAAACTCGAGTGTCTGGAAATGTTCGAATTCACCATTGCATAACCGGTGAAATAATTGCGCTGTGCGATCGCGACCGCATGATGCAATGAGAAGGCTAGATTCGTTCTCATATATTGCGATGAATTGACAATCTGAGGAGTGCGCTTTCATAGATGACACGCATTCCTTAGTGGCAAAATCGATTACTTTAACGAATCCTAGTCGATCTCCGGCAATGAAGTATTTACCATCTTTAGTTGCACGAATTGTTGCCATATGATTGACCAATTCGGGCTCGTCTTCAAAACAGGCCTCATCTAGAGGTACTTGGAAAGATGACTTGATTGTGCCGTCGGTAGACCATAGAATCACGTAGCCTGACTGCGACCAGGTATAAAACTGAGCGCCTGTGACATTTGACTGGGAGAGGCTCCCGATCCCCATAGCTGCGTCTCCACATCCTGGTATGGGTACTGATATAGGGTCAGCATTTGACGTTCTTGGTGTGTGATCCTGATTCCAGATGTCAATAGAGCGTTTGCTGTCGATTGTGATGAGTTTATCTTCAACGAATCCTAGCGCAAGAATACCAACACCGGCAAAAGTTTCGGTAGCCGTCTGGAGAGAATCATTGGAACCCTTCAAGAGGGATTCTAAATCAATCGTCGCTAGATTACCCGATTTGCCTCCAATATAAACGAGTCCATTACGGAGAGCCACGCATGTTGTCACAAATCCAGTTTCGAGGAGATGTGTTAACTTTGTTTGCTTGCCAAGATCGTCCAATAGACACACATCTCCAGTCTCGGAGCAGATAATGGCCTTAGTATCGTCGATAGTGGCAGCACACGAGAATGTAGCTTCGATCATACTACCCAGTAAGACGTTTCTGCCAGGCAGCGTTTTCTGCGGTTGCGCATTAGAGGTCATATCCCCAATGAATTTCTGTTTCACGGGAGAAGTTGCCTGCGCTTCATCAATGCGCCAGACCTTCACATGGCGTACACCTAGAGTAATAAGATTGTTACCCATCCAAATCATCCCTTTGATATAGGTTGTACACCTATTTTGCTGGAATAGCCTTGCTGCACCGGTTTTCGGATCTATTTTCCATACATAGAGAAACCCATCATTTGATGATCCGAGGGAAGCGAGAAATTTAGAGTCGGGAGACCATGCAACTGCCTTCACACCATAAGCATGTTCGCTAATGGAAACAAGTGGAGAGTCAGATGAATCATCTTCCAAGCTGTAAATAAGCACACGTGGAGCGTAGCCCGTTTCGCCTACAGCGAGAAATTTCCCTTCTTTGCTAAGGGCAAGGCACGTTGCGGCCTTGATGCGCTCTCGACTAGTCCATGTCTTGGTGGATGGTGATTCTGCCCAATCGTTGGGGGGACTGAAAACAGACTCTCGCAGTGAGATCCTGTTCCGGCTGTCGTTGGCCTTTGGGGTAGACGGTGACGATGTAGAGTAGGTAGGAGATGGAGTGCTGTATACGGGAACTGCTGTTGGGCGGGCCCGGAAGAAGCGCTGTGCGTAGCTATCACCGTTCACATCGACCACCACAACTGCGCCGCCTGCAACGTAGGCAAAAGAAGATTGAACGGCATCGAAACCAGTAGGGCAAAGGCAAGTAGTTCCAATGACCCGCTTCAAAGAGAGTCGAGAGTCGTATAGCTGTTGGGTTCGGCCGCGGTGGGGAGAGCGTGAAGGGCGCGGTAGGAAAGGAGAGTTCGCGGGCGTCAGCCTAAGCCGGTGAGAGGGAGTAGTTGCCATCTTAAGCCATGAATGGGAAGCAGAGAGAGTCGAGCTAGGCCACAGTATTGATATGCGGATCGGGCCAAACGATGCTGGATATCCTAGAACGTTCTGTGATCATCAAATAACGAGGCATGGGTGTAGAACCTCGAGTTTCTGCTATCATGAGCCAGAAGGGATAAAGCCAGGGACCCTAGATGAAGAAGCTGCCCAAGTAAGAGGAATCGTATCCGTTACTTCCTGCTGTTACCGCAAGGAAGACGAGGACTGTGAAACTGCAGAGATGGGAAGGTACGGAGCTCCAAGGTGGAAGGTAAGACCCTGGGCATGTAGAAAGCTATGTAAATGGGGCCTGATCGCGTATGGTTCAAATGCTAAAAGAATTGTCAATGGAATGAAGCGTCCCCTGTCGCAATTGAGTGGTGTGTCTTGACTTACAGTGAAGTGAAGTGAACCTATCTAAAGAGGGAGGGACTAAGAAAGCGTAGGCATACGATCAAAGAAGGGTCAAGCAGCCGAAAGAAGGGCAGCAATGCATATACCCTTGCTGCAAATAAAGACAACTAAAACAGAAATGCGGGTAAGTTATTCAAGTCAGTCTCGACCTCTGGATGGTAGATTCGCCATTGAGGGTCGCGAATTGGGAAAGAGGGAGTTGGAAGTTGTGGAAGACGGCAGAGAGAGGGGGCCCTGTTCCTTCGACAACATCCATGATGCAGATATTGAGAGTGACGAACTAGGGAAACACCCCATGCTTAGTGCTAACCCGGCCCCATCACGGTACGTGTGTGTTCTGTGTGTGTGTATTTTGTTTTTGCAAGGGCTGGCTGAATGGAGAAGGGCAGCTCGCCGACAGGGATCACGACGGGGAGCAACCGAAGCTGGCCGGACATTGGCCGGTACCTGGGCTGCAGTGGGGATCACGATTGACCGCTAAGATAGTCAGCCAGGGTTGAGCGTGATTCTGAGCGTGACCACAGCCAACTCTGGCCTCGGGAACCAATGATGATCCAGTCTCCATCCGCGCTGGCGTCCTATTAGGCGTCGTGAGGGTTGGTTCATCCGTCCTGCAGCTGCAGGATGAGAGGACTATCACACCAGCAACCAGTGATTAATCATCAATGTGCCAATATCTATGGTTCTCTGCACTACGACTCTACATAACGTATATGCATCTAACTTATATCTAACTATATTGTAAAGGTCTTGTTTCAAGGAGACAATTGTAATTGTCAAGGTAGAAAATGTGCACTAATTTCCAAAGGGGATCATCATCACTGACAAAATGGGACAAACCTGCAGAACTATTGCCTGCCGATATCGCACTAACCCATAGCCTCAGGCAGGGATTTTATCTCCCTAGCCTAGTCCAGGAAGTTCGCCGGATGATATCAATCTGTTCAAGCGATTGAGGCTCAATATTTTTTGACGCTTTATTTCATCGCACTTCAATTCTTCTCCTGCTGGGTAGCTCGTTTGCATACCTCCAAACTCTTGTTAGAGAAAGCAATATCCTATGTGCGGAGAGTCCAAAGTACAACCGTTGTTCCCTTCAGGGGTCTGATGTTGACGTTGAAGCAGCTCTATATCGGCAGGTGACAGGCGAGGGATCGTAAACGCGCTGATGTCTTAAGTAGTAGTCTAGAATCTACGTGGCTGAAATAATACTTGAGTTGAAATTGATATTAGCAACGATTTCTAGTCTAATAATAGTAGACTCAGGCCACCTTGCGCTCTTGTTCCGATTAACTGGCGAGGGGTGAACCACTAGTGTGAAACATTTCGTAGAGCATCCAAGAAAGTAAATAACCTGGTATGGTCACCGAAGAAAAACCTGTACATGAGCAGAAATGGTATTATAGGATGTTCAATATGTACTGGTAGTATAGACAGAGCCCATGTATATCTAGCACGATATTTCAGAATAGACAACCTTCAATCGCCTTTTTATACACACACAGCCAGGCAATACAAGTCAAGTGTGTTACAAGAGAGACCCAGACAGCCTCCGATGCGCGCTCTCCGCCGGACGTTCATCCTGAGCCTGGCTCTTCCCTTCAGGCATGTAAGGGTACTCAGTCCTGGGGCCTTTCTTCTCGTTCCAGTGGGGCTTTCGAACGACGCCCTCGCGGCGCCATTTGCGCGGCGGCTTCGTCCCAAGCTCCGCCATCTGGCTCCATATCTCCTTGCCACGGTTGAACCAGCGCTCTTGCCGGCGAGTATCCTCTTCGGCACTCGGCGTCCACCTACCCTTGAGAATGCGCCGGATCGCCTCCGGGGATACCTCGAAATTCTTGGCCAGCACCTCCGTCGTGTACTGTTCTGGAAACTGCGCGTGCAGCGCCCGGATCCCTTCCAGCGCGTCCGGAGATAGTCGCTTCCTAGGCCGCCAGCCCTCTGGAAACTTTTCCTTCAGCGCCTGCTTCTGTATTTGCCAATCTTCGGGCTGCCTTGCCCATGCTTCATCTGGATCGCGCAGCGGTTTATCTTCTTTTATGATCTTGAGTCTTTTGAGCTGACTCTTTTCGACGGGTGGCTTAGATTTCCGTGGTGACTCTGGTTGTGTATCGAGCTGACGATTGTTACGCTGCTCTAACCCATTTTCTTGCCCAGCAATTGATGTTTGATCTAGGTTCGCAATGAGTGCATCGATAGATTCTGGACTAAGGTCGAGAATGGCTCCATTTAACTTCGCGGCTGTGAGTTCATCGCCCGAGGCAGGTAAGGCAGTCGAAGCTGGAGGAGGAGAATCATATTGAAGTGTTTCGGCTGTTGCTCGGATAGGCGTCTCTTTCTCGACTCTGTCCGCCGACAAACTTTCTGCGTTATCTTGATGTTTAAGTCCAGACGAGTAGGCAGCTGCAGAGAAAGTGAACGGTCGAGCCGAGTGACGAATGGGGGCCTGACGAAAGGCAATTGGCGAGCTGAGATGATTAGGTCGAAAAGGTCTTGAAATAATAGGATCAGTAACGCGAAGCTCGGTAAGACTCTGGACAAATATCTTGAGAGAGTTTGTCCGACAAGCGCAGTTCATCTTGGATATCGGTGGCACACGGTTTGGGTCACAGAATGAGGTAGAAGAGCCGACGTGTCGTAGACAGATATTCCTATTTTTTCTGCGCCCGTTTTACGACCCTGCCCTCGCCTGCTTAGATTTTCGCCTTGAAGACTGGGCACACGACCAGGGGCTACTTTCCTTTCCTATTTTGGATTAGGTTCGTGGACTGAGCCACGCCGCTTTAAGCCTGAGCCCAGCCCGAGCAGACCCGAGCAGTACTGCCCGAGTCTGGTCCAGCCTGCGAAAAAGCAGCAAGAGCGCTAAGCCCTGTTTGTTGCATATTTGCAGGAGTCAAATGCCCGGGGTCTTCTTTTCCAGGTTATCTTATCCCAATCCTTGTACAGATTGAGGTAGGTACCTACTAGGTACTGGCCTGTTAGCAAGGACACCAATGCAGCGGCTGAAATCACATGTCAAAAGAATGAAGTTGGTCAATGGCTGATGTCATCCGTAATTATAACAGCCAGTCCGAGCCAAATACTTGAGTAAGTACCTGTCAAGATTATACCTGGCCAGCTCATACAAGAGTAGGTACATCAGTACAGATTGCCGTCACAGGCTAGTCGGAGCCCGCTCACCCACCACCGTAACAGGAAAGACGAACATGGTCGAGAGCGACACTGATACCCCATTCATCTCCATTCCTGGAGTGTTGAACTTCCGCGATATTGGAGGCTACCCCATTCCTTCGCGGCCCGGCAAACAAGTTCGTCGAGGACTTGTCTACCGCTCGGCAGAGCCGTCTGAAGTCACTGATGCGGGCCTCGACAAGATACAACGGCTTGGAATTGCCATTTCCTACGACCTGCGCTCAGAACGTGAACTCGCAAGGGCCAACCAAGACTTCAAGCTGTTCCGTGACGGATACACCGGTATAAAAAAGATACTTGCCCCCGTCTTTCGTGATGAAGATTATTCTCCTGAGGCTATCGCCTTGCGTTTCAAAACTTATAGGGCGAGCCCCGAGGTGAGTTCCCTACGCCATGTCAGATGATATACCGGCGCGGTCCCAAATTTGTTGCAAACTTCAAGCGGTCGGTCTCATATTGCCCCAGGGGTTTGCAGAAGGCTACTTCGCTGTTCTCACTGCTGGCGCTCACCCGGAAAATGGTGCCCGTCCCTATGCAACAATTCTAGAACATCTTACCACGGACACAGCTCCCCAACCAATTCTCATACACTGCCAGGTGGGCAAGGACCGGACAGGCATAATATGCGCCTTGATTCTATCCCTATGTGGCGTCGAAGACGACGTCGTTGCCGATGAATACAGTCTTTCAGATATCGGGCTAGCATCCCTACACGAGCAGCTTGTCGCCAATCTGCTCTTGAAAGCAGAATTTCGAGAAGACCCCGAGTCTGCTAGATTAATGGTTCTAACGCGGTGAGTTTGAACAATTCCACATTTTCACATCGATATACTATCATCAACTCGTAGTTAACGTCTCACGAATTCTATTCTCTAGGAGGGATAATATGCTCCTTTTTCTCAAGAAGATTAAGAAAGAACATGGCTCAGTGAAGCAATGCGTCATCAATCTTAATCTACTCACTGAGGAAGGCATCGAACAACTCAGAACCAATATGATTGTAGATATTACAAATTAGATAGTTAAACTGCGGTAAGCCCTTTAAGCGATATACTAAAACACGTACTAGATTAGAGTGCACTGTGGAGATTATGAGGTGAAGGCATCACTTTACTTTCCCTTAACTTCATATATCCGTCGTAATAGGGGAAATAGTCTAGGGCGAACAATCCCTTGCGTTCGCCTAGCCAATTTTTCGAAATCGAGACCAGCTTAATAAACCTACCTTACTCAAACCTTCAGAGTTGAAATCACTTAGAAACACGGCCATCACAGCCGACGTATTGAGCGATCTATATACAGATTTGTTTCTTACCGGGAACATGCTTCTCGAGGATTTACACAGGGAGCTGAAAACGAGCATACATCATCCCAAGAGCAGATCATCGTGTTTCGGTTGCCCGTTGATTGGGATGGCTGCCTAGCTCATCTCCCAGTGGCCATGAATGCACTCAACCAACAATTCCCTTCCACCATACTCTACTCTACATATATCTCGGTGCATTACCCAGACCACAATCCTCCGTAACTATAAAATACAAACTTTCATCTCACCCCCATCTTTCTGAAAATATCTCTCCAAAGCGCCCAATAATAACAAAATCCCATTCCAATCCCATCATGTCCAACTCCAAACCCCCAACCCCAAAGACCATCGGCACCAAACAAGCAGACATACAATACACACAGCGCCACGCGATCCGCGTAATCGCCCTCAACGCCTCGAACCAAATCGCTCTCCTCCACGCGCAAAAGGACAACTATCACAAGCTCCCCGGCGGCGGCATCGAAGGCACCGAGTCGCACGCGGCGGCAGCAGCGCGCGAAGGCCGCGAAGAAACGGGTTTCGCAATCGCCGTGCGCGCAGGGGGATGCGTGGCCGTTACGGAAGAATACCGCAGCGATTTACATCAATTCTCGCACGCGTACATCGCGGACGTCGTGGACGACGCATCGGGGGATCCGGACCTGACGGCCGAGGAACAGGCAGACGGGCTTTCGCGTCCGGAGTGGTTGGCGCCGGGGGAGGCGCTGGTGAAGATGATGTCTGTGCGGCCGCGGTCGGAGATAGGCTTGTTTATCCAGGAGAGAGACGGGTATTTACTCGGGGAGGCGATTCGAGTGTTGGGGATGTAATGCAGTGGCTAAGTACCTTACCTTACCTGGGTGGAATTCAGGTTATGTAATTAGTTACTTACGCAGGTAGTTGGTACTGAATTGACACCGATGCTGACGAATGATATGAAAAAAGACGCGTGGAATATCAGAGTTTCAAATCAACATGCAAGATTATATTCCCGATTGTGCTTCTATCACTACAATTACCAAAAACAAACACCACGACAACAACGGGGGAGATGAAAACCATCTATTTCTCAGCTTGCCTTCTATAGCTTGGGCTTAATCTTAGATGCCTCCTCGTTGATCTCGGTATACATTCTGTCGATCTCGGCTCTGAACTTCCGGGCGGTCTGAGGCCTCTTGAGCTTCAAGCTATGAAAGCAGTAAGTTAGCGGCCGCTTTTTTCTGGTTTCTGAATATATCACGTGAAAAGGGAATCTACTCGAGGTACTTACGTTGGTGTCAACAACTCATTCTCGATGCTAAATGGCTCTACATCCAAGACGCAATTCCGCACGCGTTCATAGCCGTTGAACTTGTGCTTCTTTCCGATATCATCAAGGTGCTTCAAAACGGCCTTGACTACCCGTGGATCCTTCGCGGCGGTCTTGACAGCAGCGATATCTTCAGGGGCAATGGTTTGCTTGGTAATCTTGCTTGCAAACGGCGCGAAGTTGACTGGATCAACTCCAAAGATAGCAACCAGTGAAGACTGCGTGCCTTCACCGTGCACATAAGCCATGGCGATCAAGTTGGAACTGCCCATATACACGTTCTCAATACGCTCAGGCGAAATGTACTCTCCCTGGGACAACTTTAAGACGTTCTTCTTACGGTCGATGATTCGGATACGTCCCAATTCGTCGAATTCGGCAATATCACCCGTGTGGAACCATCCGTCGGCGTCCAGAGCCTTCGTCGTCTCCTCCGGATTCTTGTAGTATTCACGGAAGATGGATGTTCCTCTTAGAAGAAGTTCACCACGCGGCCGTGGCTTGTCCGTGACCAGGTAATCAAGCTCCGGTTGGGATTCCAGACAAACCTCGGTACTTGGCAATGGGGGGCCATTGTTGCCTGTTGTAAAATCATCATTCGCTTGACAAGCTGTAGAGGCGTATGACTCCGTCAAACCGTAACCCGACGCAAAGTTATTGCCGAAGGCAGCCCGCAAGAACTTCTGTACTTCAGGGTCCAATTGTGCACTCCCACTTATCATGGAGCGACATCTGTCCATACCAACAGCAGCCCGAACCTTGGGGGTCCAAATACGGTCGTACAGGAAGTGCCTGTTGGAAGCCTGGCCAGGGGGAAGCTTCATATTGGCCAACTTCGTGTCGATAACCCGGCGAGAGAGAGCACCTCTGACACCATCGGCCTCAACCGTTTGGGCCCGGATACCCATATTAAAGCGGTTGAACAGGCGCGGAACGGAAGGGAATCCTGTAGGCTTCAGAATCTTCAGGTCATCAACAAGCTCCAACATGTCGCCGTGGAAGTAACCAATCGACGCGCCCTCAGCCAGGGCAGTCTGATCAATGAGCCGTCCATATATATGGGCTACTGGTAAATAGGAAATGTTTGTATCACGTGATGAATAATTGCCAGCGCTCCGTCCGTTTGAAATACCCGCGACACAGTTGGCATGTGTGAGGACAACGCCCTTCGGATCACCGGTTGTTCCTGAAGTATAGTTGATGGTGATGACATCTTCAGGGCGAGGAGGGCGAGGGGGATGGGCAGCCTTGGCGCCCAATGCCTCGACTTCGTCCATGGACCAGACCTGGACTCCATTCTGTTCAGCGATGGCATTCAAGATGGATTTCTTGGATTGGCCCGCCGGTTCACCGGCATCTAGGGGGTCCATGCAGATAATCAGCTTCAGCTGGGGTATTCGTGGCGCAAGAGCCAGGAGAAGGGGGACGTGTGGCAGCGAGGCGACGACACAGGATAGTTCGGCATGCTTAATGATGAACTCGGATGTATCGGGGCCAAGGGTCTCGTAGAGGGAAACTGAGAACATGGATTGGGTGATGAAACCGAGATCTGCATTTATTTAGTTAGTCTCCGGAGAACTTCCAATTCATAGACAATTGGGGCTGAAGAAGGGTTGATACCTACCGGCGATTTGCCATTCTGCACGGTTCGGGCTCCAAAGACCGACGCCATGGTTACCTGGGGGGATGCCAATGCGACGGTGAAGTTCAAAGACGCCAGATCCGAAGTTCTTTGCGCGGGCGGCTACCTCGGCGTAGGTGCTCCAGACATACTTGGGTTCCCAAGATTTAGTGGCAGGATTCCAGGGTCGCGTGCCTAGACACCTGTTGTTCGGATAGTGCTTAAGGGTGTACTCGAAAACATCGTAGAATGTGCGGGTCTCCGGGTCGAAGGTCTCTAGAAGAGGCTTGTCTTGAAACTTCCAGTGACGGTAGATAGGCGTGCGGCCTTCTCGCTCCGTGCCTGGGACGGGGACGGCATAAGGCGAGCCTGGCGGAGGTGGTGTCGCTATCTCCTGGATTTTGCCTGTAATCTGGGCGGGTGTCGTCATAGTTGTTAAGCAAGGCGCCGTCAGCGCGGGAACCAATCACCGAGTTGGGGATTGAGGTGAGACAAGAGGTTTCTACTGCACGTAGCAATTGTTGGGTGTCCTTGCAGATGGCTATCAATCCCAGGCAGGTCAAGAAAGCAAACACGGGTGCCACGATGCACAGGATAAATCCTCGATAGGAAAACAGGGGAGGTTTCACGCGTAGTTCATTCGCGATGGGACCGAGGAGAGAACCTTCCAAGACAAGACAAGACAAGACAGGACAGGACGAGGGAAAGGTGAAATGACGAAGATGGCGCAAATGAGAGATGATAGCAATTAGACCACAAGTAAAGGACGCGATCGTCAGGAATGACGAGGCCAGTGCTTAATCTCCAGTTGTTGGTTGATGATGCTCGTCACTTGGCGACTCCCCCCTACTTGCTGTACTTAGTGTACAGCACTCATCTCACTACGGTACCTCGACTACCTAGGTTAACCTATGTAGGGACTATGAGGCCCACCGAAACCGCTGCGCTAGAGAGCTGAAGCCGAGGCTTATGCCTGAAATGGACCGAGATGACTGACTAGCCTCCCCGGGCTGGTCTGGGCTGGGGAAGCATCGTGACTTCGGCTTCCCTCGGTGCTAACGACTAATGGCATTTGAAAGACCGATGATTGGCTGGAGTTTACCATCCGTTTCCTGGCCGTTTTTTGGCCATTCTTATGGCTCGGTGTCGGCTATCGTTTTCATGACTACGAGGTATCTATCCTTCGACATGCAGGAAATACGATGCAGGTGGTACAATAAATGAATAAGCAATCTATCTGCATGCACACCATGTAGAGTTAATACAGCCTGCTTGTAGGTAGTGAAGGTAGTGACAGGTGAAATTCCCAGAGACCCATGGTGCATATAAGGTTGTATTGTTATATGCACCTCGGCCACGTCAAATATTAGAGTTACGATAGTTAAGATATTTATTATAGTTAAATGTACCGAGAGTCATTCACATGCTTTTTTGTTGCCCCACTTTCCCCGACCCAGTACATAGTACTGGATTGAATCAGGCAAGTAGTCTAAGTGTACGAGAGCTACCATCTGAGGTAAGTTGCGTCATTTAAGACTCCGCGAATCGACAGACGGTCTGTGCCACCTTTTCCTATTTACTGCTACAATCACCGCTATTTCGAATTTACCAAGAAAGGTTTCTTAGATATTGACCTGCGCAACGCAGCTTATACGCCACTATCAAGACATCAGCTTGTGGTTCCAAGTTATCGTTGATCTGCCCCTATCCGTATAGGTCTTGGCTCGACGACAACCTAACACCTGGGGTGTGATGGCAAGGGAATAGAAAGATAGGTATTCACGGATACGGTGCCTGGAAATGCCTTGTATCATGGCATTCTGGGGCCTTCGCGCAGATGATGTGGCCTGAAGTCACAACCGTGATTAAGAAGGGCAATGTTAGTTAGAATCGCATGGCTTCTAGATTTTAGACTTCAGAGCAAAGCTCTGTTCCGAGGCTTATGAAGTCTTGTGTTCGAAGCTGTCTGTGATGAGGACCGTCAATATGATATTCCCGTCACCTCCGTCATCAGCACCTGGTGATTGCGAAAGGGTGACATGGATTGACCCAGATCCTTACTTAGTCATTCATCACTGCTGCAGTCCATGCACACGAGGCATTTCCCCATCCCTCACTCATCGAGATACATATTGGGATGGAATAAACGTGCCCTGAGCTGACTGTCCGACGTTGTGCATTTGTCCCAAAACGGCAATTTCCAAACATGAACCGAGTGTGAGAGGGTCGAGATCGTGACTATCAGTATGTCCACTCCCCATTTCTTGGGGCCCGGTAGGAGCTACTATTACCTAGCCATATTGTTATTGACTTCACCTATCCCAAAACAGAAAGTTATGAGGAATAAAAAATGCACACGGCATAGCCGTTGCGTTGCAAAGTCTGGTTAGGTAATCCCTATTTAGGATATACCTACCTAATGCATGTCAACAATCCCCATGCCCAAAATAGGCAGGATGACATGCATCTATGTTGTAACTGTTGGTTCCCGTGCATCGTATGCATGCTGAGCCTCCCACCATAAACCCTTCCATTGAGGCGTAAGCGAGTCGGTCGAAGCAATCTCTACTCTTGTTCCTAGCTTCAAGAAAGTCCTCTTAGACACTCGAAGTCTCGCCCGCTCCTGAGATCCCGGAGATTCGTAGCCGAGCTCTGATCCTTCAAAAGTAAGGGGATAATGGGGTTTGACCAGAAGATCGTAGGTAGGTATCTCAAACACCTAGACTGGCTCCGTTCTTTGCTCTGACCGAAGCAGGGAGTTCCCGCCCGGGGAATGCCACGACCATGTCGTCTGATGAGGAGATCACCGCAGATGAATGGGATCTAGATGACGCCCAGGAGGAGCTCGTTGAAGTCCAAGGCGCAGAAAGCACCAGTAACAATAACCAGGCGCTGCTGGCAAATGCACTGCAGCCGACTCCGTCGCTACCAACAGCACGCCTTCAGTATCCCGTGATCCTGCCCCAGCGGCGGCCAAAGCGACGTCATCGCGGGTTCATCAGGGCATATGCGCCAGACCTCTTAGCGTGCGGTATTGACCAACAGACGTTCATAGCTTTTCTCGACGAGCTCGACAAGTCGACTGCCTGGTCCCCTCTCGTGGAGGTCATCAATCTGTCGACAATCGCGACAGTTGCAATCCCCGGTGGCATTGGAGCCGCCGTCTCTATACCCATCCAAATCGCTACTGGTATCTACAAAGAACTCCAGGGACGCAAAGGGTGCGTCATCCGCAGCAGTTCATAGAATGCATGAGTTGGCCAGTCCGACTGACGCCCATCACTTTTAGTCAAAATGAATTCTTACACAAGATGAACGCCGAGATGTTCCGCCCACGCGGTCTGTACTGTTTGATAGTTGCTTACAGTCCCTCCGCCAAAGAGCAGGTAACGCAAGAGAACATTGCTGCCGCTGTCGGGACGAGGACTGAGGCGAGTACAGCTACGTTTGGGGATCGATTCAAGAACAACTTCCGAAACTCCGATGGGAGCTTCGGCTCCCTCGAGTTCCCAACCTCTGCAGAGCTCATATTTCCAGGACTTGAAACCGCACCGGGAGACGGGCCCAAGAAGAGCGGATTCGCTCGGGTGATGGAGAGGTATGGTGCCCGTCGCGACCGTAAGCGGACAGCAAAATGGGTACGTATGCATCGAACCTAGGTACCAAGTTCTACTCACTTACATCGTGTGTTTAGATCAGAAAAAACCCCGCCAGCCCCTTGGAAGCTCTTATGGATCCGATGGCGGCGGAATTGGCGAAAGAAAAGGGACTGAAGAAGCCGAAGAAGAGGAGGCTAGCTAGGGTGCGCCACTCTTCCAGACTTGATATTATGCGCGCGGTTTATTTTCGACCCGAGACTAATATCGCGATTGACACTAGAATCTCCTATACATGATGATTGTGAATATGCCATCAGATGACGAAATGGCTGAGGCTCTTCGTGTCACAACGGGGTCAGCCTAGAACCGCCGACCGTCGACAGTCTCAGGAACGAGAAGTGGTATCTCGAATGAAATTGACCGAGCTATCCTTGGGAATATTTCCTCGTGTCTGCCATCGTTGTACCTTGTCAACGAGGCGGGCTGCCACTACTAAGCGGCCGGCTTGGATTGAAGACGAGTCCGAGCACATGGGGCCTCACGGCGAGTCTCACGCATTCAATTGCGTGCGCGACGTCGAGGCTGGTTGGGTCGCGGGGGTTCCAGATGATCAACGGCGAGAGGCGTCATGTGCGGGACGTCATGGCCGCTCATAGCGGCGAGTGTGGGAAGTTGAAGATGGTCTACGATTGCATCTCTGAGTGATATCAGTCGAGATTTGCTATCCGCACTGAGTCTACAATTAAGCCAATAGTGCATCAGATGCTTCGAACGTGTATATGATCCCAGAAACTCCATGCCGAGTGCTGTCGCATACTGGTTCGCCAATGCATGACTCTCCCTGATTCCATATCGGATGGAAGATGCTGACAGAGAGGTTGACAGAAGACCAAGTCTTACGGGTTAAGGCAAGAGAGGAGATAATCATGCCCACGCTGGTAAAGGGGGCTAATATTTATCTATCGAGGGGGTTCGCGCCGAATAGTTGCTACAGGTTTATCATGACAAAATATTACAGGAGAAAAAGGCGCCTAATAGACCTACCTATGTTGTATTTCGTTCTCCCGCTAATAGGTCTAATGATGTAATTCTATATTGTCCTAGTAGTCGTCTCTTTCTCTCGCCAGCTAGCACAATAAATGAATAACCAACCTACATGCAAACGATATACATAGAGCCAATCCAGCCTTCTTATAGTCGGGCATGCATTGTTCGTAGGTAGTGACAGGTACATGTAAGGTTGTATGCACTACGACCACGTCCAACATTGGAGTTGCGATAGGTAAGATACCTATTTATCATAAAATGTAACGAGATTCACATGCTTTTTGTTGTCCCACTTGAGGTAGGTAGTCTGCCACTTTCGCCGACCAAGTACTGGATCGAATCAGGCAAGTAAGTGTACAAGAGCTATCTTATATAAGTTGGGCCACTGGAGTAAACCAAGTGCAAGAAACCGATTATAGTCATCGATTCATGTTCCAAACAGGTTTAATGCTGCACAGGGCGTGAGAAGTTGATAGTTTGGGGACGAGCGAGAGGCAACAAATAAATATCCATTACTGTCGAGCAGGTATCTTGTCAGCGAATAACATGTCATTAAATCATCATAAAAAACACACAGATCGCTTCCGGAAGTGTTAGACGAGATGTTTAGACCGTCCAAATGAAACTGCTGTCACAATCGGCGTTCTTTATTTTTAACCTTGTCTCCGCTGGGGAGCGAGGAGGCAGATCCCGGCCAGTTCCCGGCGATGCGGGCGGGCTCAAGCTTTGGTTGCGGGGATATGTGAGACGACTTGGCTCTCGCAGCCAAGATATTTCAGAGCCCTCTTCTGATACTCCAAACTGTTTCCGACGTTGCTCTAGACTCGCAATTCCCAGCCGAAATACCTCAGCCTCTACTGACTTGTTTCAACACTGCTTCTCGTCGCGGGACGTGGCCTTGGCTGCAAGTAGTTCGTTCCATGGAAGTGCCATGGCTTGGCGGGATATCAGGAAACAGTCTTCGTCGGCCCCATGAAGCAAACATTGAACTTCATGATCGTAATCGTTTAAGGGACCTGTCCAAATAACTCTGTCGCTGGCTTTAAATACCTACTTCACTTAGTACGATTGCTTGAGGAAGAAAAGTATATATCAACATTTCTCTCTTCCTATCAAGGAGGTAATATCATCATGAGAGCGACCTGCATACATACATACATATATACATATATACATACATAATACAGTCTATACAATATAGAACTATCCTATCCTCAAAGTACAAGCTTTTTCTACTCCCTAGTGTTTTATGCATGAGGCGCCGGCACTTGCAACACCCTCGCAGGGGTATAACCCTCATTGGCTCTGTGATGTCGCATCACCATGAATCGCATAGTGCTCACCCATGTCGTGCCTGTTTCAGATGCATCAATCCAACGTATCGCAACGCCAAACTAGGACGACGATCAGAGGCCAAAAGCCAGCATTCTACTTGAGCCTAATAACAGCGATAGTCAACGTCAGCCATGCTCCAAGTTGCATTAATGTAGGTCGCCTCCCCTATCTGCCTGAAATCTCCCCAAACCTCTACTACGCCTGGTGCTCTTCCGTTCTTTCACCAAGAAATATCTTATACTAGTTCTTCGGTGTTTGTTTGTAGAATTTGATCTTTTTTTTAATCCTTCTCTTTTCTCTTTATTCAGGCGCACTGGTTGCAAAACTCCATCCCTCATGACTACCGGAACTCACCAAAACGCTCGTTATCCCCACCGCCTCCCCCGGTTTCTACGATCCCGCGCCAACATGCTCGCCACTAATGTCATCGTCCTCGGGTTGAGGGTTGCCCAATTCACCTTCGCCTTTGTCATGCTCGCGCTGACATCATACAGTATGTGAAAGAGGAGAATAGCTGATGGATGAAGCGTGTCTTTGATGCTAACACGTACATTTTGCAGTCGTAAACTGGTACAATGCTGATGTGATGACTATGGCACCTGCTCAGGTCGGCTGGCTGCTGTTCTCCTCGATATTCACCATTATTTCCGTTGTGCTTCTCGAGGGCATTCCAAAATTCGCGCCCCGATGTAAGTTTCCTTGATGGAAAAGCCTTGTGGAACCCAGGAAGCTGACCCACGATCTTAGTCTTCCATCCCTACGCAGCCCTTTCCATGGAGTTTAGCAATGCCCTATTCTATTTCTCGGGCTTTATTGCCTTGTCAACTTTCATGAGCAAATTGCTATACTGCCGAGGAAGCGTGTGCGGTGCGGCTCGAGCAGATGTCGCATTCGGCATCTTCCAGTTCCTCCTCTGGGGTACCTCGACTGTGATAGCGAGCAAGGATGTCTTCAAGAAGATTATCGTCCGCCGCTCCAAGAATACGCAGGCCCCTTTGGGTGCGCCCCCGATGAAGGAAGCTCCAGCCCCATAAAGGTGACGCAGCTTTCTGTCATCAGTCCTCATTATACCGAAATCCCCTTGTCCCCGTACAGGTCGCTATGGGAGAATAGCCCGCTGTCGCCGGAAGCCGAAACGGGGTGGGAACATGTCTATCTCTACATCCCAAGACGTTGGGCAAGTTGGACAAAGGGGGAGGGGATTCATCTCCAATGACATGCAACGAGATGGGTAATTGGCTCCCAGCGCCACTGAAATAACACCAAAGTTAGGTTGTGAAGATGGTATCGTGGCTTTGTCTAGATGGCAGCCACACGGGGGATGTGTTAGCTAATGACAATGAATTGATTGGAGTTTAGGAGTTGTCATACTTTAGCCTGAAGAAAACATGGATCTATTAGGTAGTAAGTAGTACGTATATGGGTAAAAAAAAAAAAGAATTCGCATATATCTACTCGTCAAATCCCGCACTACGATCATTGACCAGTAGGCATTTGGTATACCTATTTCATACAGAGGGACATTAGTCGCCGTTTGCTCAATAAAGTATCTGATAGCGATAAATGTCCCCTTGGAGAAGCCCCCCATCGACTTCCTATAACCGTGCCACGCCCCAGCAGCTTCATCCAACGAGATATATTACATATTATGTTGCCATATTGACTACAAATGATGCAGTTTGATGGCGTGAACGAACCCCGCCCTGGGCACTTACAATAGTATGCATTAGTGTGTCCCAGAAGGGATCTAAATAGCAGCCGTCGACGGGGCTGGTGATGTATTCTGTCGATTTACCCCGCCATGCATATCACGCTTCCGGTGGAATGGATTATGGATTCCTGTGACGCGGCCGTCGCTAGCAAAGTTCACCACGTAGGTTATCCGACGACCTAGCAGGAGTAGGCTGTAAATGCCCAGATTAGTGCCGATGTCCGGATATACATAAGATGTTGGTCATGGATGAAGAGTAATAGCTACATACTATGTAGTGCTCAGCAGGGCCGGTGAACAATGCGATCTGTGATATATTTGACAGCGCTTGAGCGTTCACGGTGAAAGGCGGGGTACCGCGTCGATCGGGAAATTACCTACAACCTCAACCACGCTCACCTACCAGGGAAGCTCTCGGTGTTCATCACAAAGCCTGGGTTTCCCTAGCAAACGCCGTTTGGACATGCTGACTGCAACCGGCCGATGAAGCGGATGATACAGTCAATGGAAGGGGACGAATTTACTGCAAACCCCTATTGCTGGTGCAACTCATCAAATACCTAATGAACAACACGATCATAATTCTTAACAACTGGTACTTACCGAGGACAAGCTCAAAGGTCGCATCCAAATATGCACCTCCCAAGAGAGAGAGAACTGGTTCCGATGGCGTGCTCCAAACCCCGCCGAAGCTAGGTAAGGCAGCGAATGACGACCATCCGTCGTCCCATCTTCCCCCAACATCCCACGATGACGCCAGAAAATGGCTCCCTGTCGAAATATGCTGCATGTCCAATGCCTACATTACACAGCATACACTAGAGTAGAAAAGCAAAAGAAGACCTGCATGCCCATGACTCGCCCGAATTGGACCCCGAGAGTGCTGAAGGATGTACCGGTAGCTAAGTAGCTGGTCGAGGCCGAACAACGGCGTCTAGGCGTCCATAGAGGTACGAGAGACGAGAATCGGATCTGCATTTCAGTCTAAATCTAGCCATCCCCATCTGCTTCCTTCCCTGTCACTCTACTATATTTAAAACGTATCCTTCCTCTGGCCACGTGCTGTCGCAATAGACTTTCTTTCTAGATCCTGGTTCATATCTAGAAAGGCCCTCGTTGCGATCAACTTACATCTACACAATGGCCGAAGAACTAAGCAAGAACTTCGAGACTCTCCAGCTCCACGCAGGGTATGACTTACTTTCCCCCTCCTCCTTTTGTATGACCGGATATAAGATCTGTGTAGTCGGAGCTGACAAGGCCGAAGTCAGGAGATAGACCCCGCGACCAATGCCAGAGCTGTCCCCATTTACGCATCAACTGTCAGTATTCCCGGCAGCCTTACCCGGTATCCTGCCGGTGATTGACTGATGATATCCAGAGCTTTGCCTTCAATGATTCAGCCCACGGCGCGAGGCTGTTCGGCCTCAAGGAGTTTGGCAACATCTACAGCCGTATTATGAACGTGAGTGGAATCCATCTAGTGAACAGCAAAGGGATGGGAGACTAATATACTATAACAGCCTACCGTCGATGTCTTGGAGAAGCGCATCGCAGCTCTCGAGGGCGGCGTGGCAGCCCTTGCCACCTCGTCCGGGCAGGCTGCGCAATTCATCACCATCGCAGCGCTAGCAGCCGCAGGCGACAACATCGTCTCGACATCGAACCTGTATGGCGGCACCTACAACCAGCTGAAGGTTTTCCTACCGCGTCTTGGCATCAAGACCAAGTTCATCGAGGGAGACAAGCCCGAGGATTTCGCTGCTGCTATAGACGACCGCACCAAGGCGGTCTACATCGAGAGCATTGGCAACCCCCGATACAATGTCCCTGACTTTGAGGCCATTGCGAAGGCCGCGCATGAGAAGGGTGTACCCGTCGTGGTAAGTTATGATCACTTGTATCTATCACCGATACATGTGCAGGAACCCCTGAAGCGTTTCAAGGGAACTCGTGAGAAAGCTAACTCAGAATTGTCGTCGCGCAGGTTGACAACACATTCGGTGCCGGCGGCTTCTACGTGCGGCCCATCGAGCACGGCGCCGACATCGTCGTGCACTCAGCGACCAAGTGGATCGGCGGACACGGCACGACGATCGGCGGCGTCATCGTCGACAGCGGCAAATTCAACTGGGGCGAGAACGCGGCGCGGTTCCCGCACATGATCGAGCCGTCCGACGGCTACCACGGCCTGAAGTTCTGGGAGACCTTCGGCCCCATCACCTTCATCATCCGCGCGCGCGTCGAGATCATGCGCGACCTCGGCGCATGCCTCAGCCCCTTCGCGGCGCAACAGCTGCTCATCGGCATCGAGACGCTGAGCCTGCGCGGCGAGCGGCACGCGCAGAACGCGCTCGCGCTCGCCAAGTACCTCGAGTCGTCGCCGTACGTCAGCTGGGTGTCGTACCCGGGACTAGAGAGCCACGGCAGCCACGCGCTGGCGAAGAGGTACCTGACGCGCGGGTTCGGCGGCGTGCTGAGCTTCGGCGTCAAGGGCGGCGGCGCGGCGGGCAGTCAGATCGTCGACGGCTTCAAGCTCATCTCGAATCTGGCCAATGTCGGCGACTCCAAGACGCTCGCGATCCACCCCTGGACGACGACGCACGAGCAGCTGACGGAGGAGGAGCGCGCGAGCTCCGGCGTCACCGAGGACTTGATCCGCATTTCTGTTGGTACGGAACATATCGACGACATCATTGCCGATTTTGAGCAGTCGTTTAAGAAAGCTGCTGCTGCCTCTCCCGATGCGGCTGATAAGAAGGATACTGTCGGAGCTAAGAAGGATGATGCGCCGACTGTGGTTTGAAGAGCGAATAGGGCTAGACTGGGGAAGTGAAGCGATATACTTCCTGTTTTTGATGAAGTCTCATGGTGAGAGATAGCGGTTGAGAGATATACCCTTTGAATAAAATGAAGCAAAGTATTATTTATGGTGTGTTCATCTGTTGCTGTCGTGAGTGACTTTTGGTGCTATGGTTGGTGTAAGTGGTACCAGATTAGATGGGAGATATAAGAAAAGAATAAAAAGGTGAAAAGAGGTAATTAAAATGCAAAATCATGTAGTAAATAGCTTATACGATTTAGAAGAAATTTGAAATGAATTTCATGAATCTTTTGAAAATCGAATGTGATCGATAGTGGGAGGAGTGGGAAAGGCACTGACGAAACGCTATTGGTCAGAACATCCTAGCTCCTACCTGACAGCACTTTGCATCATCACCATCACCATCACCACCACCACTCAAGCTCTCGACTACTTACCTATGTCTACGACACGAAACACACAACTCTCCCACCATTGACCAAATACCATTCATTCCCATCCCATCTCCATCGCCCCTCAACAAAAGGCGCAGCCTTACCGCCCAACATGCTGCCCTCGATCCCCGCAGCACTGCTCGCCCTCCAGGCTCTATGCCTCCTCACCTCAGCAGCAAGAATAACCCTCTCGATCCCGCCGTCCCCTCAAATTCCCAACCCAGCATCTCTCCCGCCCTCCACACACGCGACCCTGTCAACACTAGGCGCCACATTCCGCGCCCCGCTAAGCGTAGACAACACCTTCGTCTTCCGCAACGTTTCGCCAGGCTCGTATCTCGCGGACATCCACAGTCCCACGCACGGGTTCGCGCCGCTGCGGATCGACATACGTTCTGCGACGGCGGGGGAGAAGAGCGAGGGTGTTAGAGAACCGGATTATAATAGTAATAATGGTGGTGGTGATGGGGGAAATGAGGGTGTGCGTGTCTGGGAGACGTTCCGCGGGAACGACTGGGAGAACAAAGGCGAGGAGATACGTCCTGTCGCGGCTGGCGGCGCGTTCCCTGTTAAAGTCCTCGGGTCCAAGGTTTATTATACTGAGCGCGGAGCTTGTGAGTTTTCACCTTACCTACCTACCTGCCTGTTTTTTGCCGTGAACATTGAAACTAACTTGGCATACAAGTCTCTATTCTAAGCATTCTTAAGAATCCCATGATACTCATGGGTCTGGTCAGTCTGGCTATTTTCATCGGCATGCCAAAACTAGTTGAGAACAGTACGTTTTTCTTTTCCCCCGTTTCCGTCTTAGCATGTTTCTCCTCATTACATTCTGGCGAACCCACACACACACATACATACATACACACATATATATGTCTCACTTATCGCATCCGGGAATATAATGTTCCATACTAACACCCTCACTCAAGTGGATCCGGAAATGCGCGCCGAATTCGAAGAGCAGTCCAAGAAGAACCCCATGAACAGCCTCATGGCAGGCCCCCAGCCCGGCGCCAGTCCCATGGGGAACTTCGACATGGCGGGCTTTCTGGCCGGCCAGGGCAGTGGGAACGGCAACCAGGAGCCGGAGCAGCAGAGTTCGGGAAATGGTGGTAAGAAGGGTGGTAAGAAGTGAAGTAGCGAATAGTAACTTGTAGGTTTCACTTGTACGGTAGAGTGGATAAAACTAGAGGCTCATTCATGTCCAGAGTGTTTTGTTAAGCACGAGGGCAAAAATCTGATTATTATATTTAACTGGAAAGCGTTCATGAAAGATCATCGAGCTGTGATTGTAGTGAATTAATGTAAAGTGTATGTTTTATAAGTACCTAGGTAGTTAAGGCACTGCTCATTGCTATTACTTGCAATTATGAGTCTTTTTTTTATTTTTTATTTTTTTATTTTATTTTATTTTTAAAAAGTTAGCATCCTTTCGAATAAATGATTACAAAGAGCGCATCAAAGTGTTAATTCAAGCATTCCAAAGTTTCAAATTACCATACACACTTAGATACATCCTATGTACTACCATAGCAAGGCCCATAAGTTCGTGAAGCTAAATGGATAGCTAAAATCATACAACATACCGACTACTGACAGAGTTTAATTAGTCCCGTCAAGCACGTCTATTCTCAAACATTGAAGTTAAAACAATACCAAAAATACAAAAACCGAACACGTTAACAGTTGAATGAAGGGGTGAAGAATCGCCATTATTAACTATATACGAATGACGTGGAGGAGGGCTGTATCCCAATATCCTAATCTAGGTTCTGATTCATAAAAAACCAATGTAGAGAACCAATGGATATACCTCATAGATATCATTCAGTCGTTTCGTGTGCATGTGTAAGCCATGAGATCTCGGGTGTGCCTTTTTCGCACCCTACTTGCAGCATGAAGTAATGGCTACCCTACAGTACTTGTTTGGTACTTGGGGCCCCGTCACATCCACAGATAATCGTATTGCTTACTTACACAGCAACCCGTGATCACATCCAATTCGTAACTTTACCCTCCCCTCTTAGAAATCACCATCAAAGTCTCCACCGTCCGCGCCGTCATTGTAGCCATCGGCATACGCTTCCTGTTCGTTGTCATTGATAGCATCAGCAATCAATGCACCACCGAGGAGACCGGCACCGACACCAAGCGCTGCACCACCGGCAGCTCCCAAGCCGCCGCCACCAGATTTTCTAGGGGGCTGACCGTAGCCGCCACCATATCCAGGTTGACCGTATCCACCGCCGTACGGCCCTGGCCCGCCATAGCCACCACCATACTGTCCACCTGGGGGACCATAGCCACCTCCGTACTGTCCCGGTGGAGGACCACCGCCGTAGTACCCTTGCTGCGGCGGGGGACTGCTGTAGTTGTTGTATCCATGCTGCTGAGCAGGATAGCCGCCTTGGCCACCGTATGAATCGCCATGCTTATTCTTGCTGCCGCCGAAGAATTTGCCCAGAAGGCCTTTCGCCTTGTCGGAAGAGCCGCCGCCGGACGAGCGCGGGGGCAACTGATCGGGGAAAGACGATTGACTTCCGCTTGCGCCGGGGTTGCTCATGTATGACGCCGCGGCTCCTCCTGCTCCTCTACTGCGGGAGCGCGCGTTCTCCTCTTCCTGGAGCTGGCGCGCAAGACGGGCGTCGGCATCTTCGTCGTAACGAGAACTCGATCCGCCGGTGGTATCTCGAGCAAAGGGATTTGTTTTGCTGTCTGTTGGCGTGGGACCCGAGCCTGGGGTGTAGCCCGGCGGTGGGCCAGCGGGTGCGTCGGAGTTGGGATCCACGGCGGGAGCTGTGGGCTTCTCCCATTGTGACTTCTTGGTGTATGTGTTGACGTAGAACCTGCAAAGGCGGGGGTGTATTAGCTTGGTAATTATTCGATTCTAGGTTTGTGAGTTGGTGGTGGCGGCCTCAACCGTGGTCTCCATCATGGTGGGCGAATGAAGAGGTGAAGCTGAAGGGGTGGAGGAACTCACCATTCGTTGTACTGAGCGTTCCATCGTGCGACCCAGCCCTCTGGCACTTTTGGCGGCGGGGGGCCGGCGGGGGCGTCGAAGTCTGCCATCTGTGGTGGATGAATGCGCAGGAAATGTAGAGATAGATGACGAGTCCGCGTGGACGTAGAGAACAGACACCTGGTTAAGTACCTCTATATATATATATATAAAGATACCAACGTAGGCGCGTTGACAGGAGTGGTGATGAACAAACACTTAAGGGAGTCGGTAAGAATGGACCAAGGTCGTAGTGTTGCGCTTATGGGATGGAGGAATTGATTGATTGATGGGATGGTGGATTGAGGGACGGTCGAGGGGACGAGGGGACGAATGAAGGAGCGGAGTGGGTGGAGTTATAGTGGGTAGGTTAGTGTCTGGTGGGGAGATTTGGGGTCCGTAGGTACGCTATTGCAGATGCAAGGAGGATGGAGAGGAGGGGTTGTTCCTGTAAGTATATAATAGGTACTATATGTAAGTAAGTAAGTATGTCTGTCTGTATGCAAGTATCTGTCGCTATAAATATCAAGCCAATAGACGTGTCGATCGAATGTCTGTGAGAGTTTGAGACAAAAACGTCTTTGTGAGTGAATTAGAAGCCCCGTTCTTGATGAAAGTGTTGGACTGCGTACCGTAAATTACACTCAAATCCACAGATCAATAATTGCCACAGCTTCTCTCTCGCCAAATAGTTGCCTACGTACTGTATCTACAGTTACCTCGGCTAGGTTACCTAGATCGATATTTGGAAGAATGGCGAAAGCTCTAGACGATGGGAATGGAGGCCAGATGCTTGCTGCTAGTTGAACACAGCCCCCCATTTCCACCCAGCTGTATCTGTCAGTTCGGTAAGTACCTACGTCACCCGCTGCCACAGTTTAAGCATCACTGTGTACAGTAGAGCCCATTAGACGAATTGCTCTGTAAATGTGCCCAATCTTCTGCCCATCTTCTGCCTAATAATTGTGTAATGGAGGCCTCTTACCGTGTCTGTAGCCACAGCTTTTACTGTACAGGTACACGATTCACAAACAGTCACAGGTGAGTTGAGACATCTTGCCACCTGACAAGAGATCTCATTCTCGCAAACACCATTTGGTACAAATCCACGCAAATATCCACGTACATCTCCAGTCCGCTGCCGTGTCACAGGCGGTGGCTGAGTCCTCTTGGGTGCTATCGGGTGGCTCTTTGAATCCCTCCAAATTTGGAATTCCCCAAGCTTCCCTGGCTAACTGATACCTATTGACCAGTATCCAATACCTACAGATGACAGTTATCAATCAATAACCAGACCAGCTTGGCATTTTGCCTCTTACCTAGGCTATGTAGGTCAGGTATTACTGGCAAGTATTGCACACGTATGCTACTGTGACTAAAATGCACCGGGACACCTCCCTTCCGCGAGCTTTGCCACACAACACACGACAATACACTCACTCAGTCTTCTACCGCTTGTATCGGATACGTAACTATATTGAACTTTCTTGCTAAGAGGGATCTGCTAATTCGAAAAGAAACATCGAATACACTACCAACGTACTATAAAATAGACTCTGCCATGGTCAGGCCCATTTGACAGCTGGTACATCCTTATAGGTAACGAACGGTAGGTATTTGCCAATATTAACGCCAAGACTCCTTCTCTCGAACTGTGAGACGCCGACTCCCCGAAACCACCAAGAACAAAATCATATAAATATCATTAATCAACAGGTATTTTGGGAGGTTTTCTGAGTTTTTTCCTTTTTTTTTTTTTTTTTTCGTTTTTTTTTCAGTTGTAATAATAAGTTTTTACCATCAAGGACTTCATAAGGAAAAGTAAATAGACGAGTTTGGGTGGTTGATATTTTACCCACGTTTGGTGGTGGTTCCGTCAATGAAGGCCTGACGATTAGGAGTAGCATCCTCAGTTGGACGACCCCTCCCGAGAATGATCGAGAGCCTGGATCATGCTCTTGCACGAAATGAAGCATGCCTTCCACCGCGAGCTATCGGCGCGGGACGGGGCATTTTCCATGCGTCTTGCATTCAGCATGCCATCTTCTAGAAGCTCTCGTTTCGTCACCTCGCAGTACGTCGGAGAGTTATAGACCCGTTCCATCTCGCTTAGGAACGGCGTGGGCCCTTTCTCGCCGCGACGGACCGCCCCTCGTTCCTGGAAGGACACTTCGTAGTCCTCCATTATGCTGCTGAATGTCTCTCTCGGCTTGGGGGTCGGAGGGTCCGGTTCAACTGTCTTCTTGGCCAACGTTGTCCCAAGAAGCTCTGAAGCCTCGGCTTCGGTTGCCTTAGATGATTGTTTTTTGAGGTGGCGGTTCGAAAGCGCTTCCGAAAGCTCGAGGAAAGCCTTCTCTATCGTCAGTAGTGTCGTCTCCCGAGGTTCGATTGTGTTCTCATTGGAGTCAACCCGTCCTGGCACGGTCGGTGTCTCGGTTATCTGACCATGAGGCCTCATTTTGTTAGGAGGCAGGTGACGATGGGCACTCCTGCCCTCCTTGTTAACGTTGATATCGGTCCAGAGATCAACTGAGTCTTTGACCTCGATTAATTCGTCGCATGTAAACTCGTCGCCGTAGGCAGGCTCGTCGTCGCCGTTGGCATAATAGTCTGCCCCTGTGAAGAACCGAAACAGAGTGTGTTAGTAACTCGCTGGAAGCTCACGCTCGCGGGATATTCATGTACAACGAAAGACACTGACATATCGAAGCAGAATAAAGTAGCGCTGGGGAGAAAACGGAATACCAGCTTGTACAAGGGGGATTAGAACGTACCGAAGTCATCTTTCCAGATTTCACTTCCATCCTGGGATAGCTTGTCCCAGTCATTATCAATATTCTCCGTATTCGAAGCCATGGTCTCCCCTTCTTCACTTTCGTATTCACTTTCGTTCTCACTTTTGTTCTCACTTTTGTTCTCACTTTTGTTCTCACTTTTGTTCTCACTTTCGTTCTCACTCTCGTCCTCACTCTCGCCTTCTGTTTCGCTTTCACTTTCGGGTCCCTCACAAGCAGTACCCTCGTCGGAATCCCAAGGCGTGGCAACCACTTCTTCTTCTTCTTCTTCTTCTTGTCGTTGCTGTTGCTGTTCTGGTTCTTGTGCTCCTCCGCCGGTCGCTGGAGTATAGGTCCTATCCCGACTATTCTGCAGGAAAGTGTCGCACAGAACTACCACAGTAAAGACAGTGACCAGGATACAGGGTAGAATATATAGGCAAATCATGGGCATTCAGTAGTGAGTTGCCGAAGTGGGTGGTGATAATGGTGGGTTGGAAAGAGTTTGGAAAGAGGAGAGGGGGGGGGGGGAGAAACTTGGCGACGATGGGAGTTTATATGTGCCAGAGCGCAACAACTTGGCTGGAAGCTTGTCGCAGGGCACTAGGTATATGCTCGAACTCTATGTACGGAACGTTTTACCATACCACCTTATTATAAAGCGTTAGACTTTGGTGTAGTTGATCTTGAGGCAACTAGAGAGTATAGTTTGCCAAAGTTCCTGTACTTTACAGTACTCCACGTTTCTCTCAGCCAAATCAAGAAAATAAAGTAGTAATAAAATTACGCTGAACGTTATATTGTCATATTGAGCTTCAAAAATGTAACCGGCCTGGTCTACTGTAAAAAACCGATGTATGTCCAATCTCTTAGAACTCCCATTGTTTACCACTGGCATGGGCATGGTTGCTTTCGAAGAGAAGAGAAAGCGCCTGACTCCAGAACTTGAACCCAGCTCCTTGAAATGCTTCATGGTAAAGAGAAAATATCAAACCACATCCCTCTCGTACCTTCTATCCTCGAAGAGCTTCGCAGCTTCGATGCAGTACGTTGCACGCTCAAGCCTCCTCTCACTGGCATAACAGATAAGTACACCATCGAGGATACCTGATAGAATGCCTTCCATAGCACCCAGCACTCCCCATCCAATCATACTGGCTACGATACCCACAACATAGGCATAGGCGCTTCCCTTGATGCTCGGACTATCCGGCACTTGTACTCGCAGTTGCCGGGCAGTCATAACCCACGCTGCAAAACCTAGAGCAGTCGACATTACGAACCTTGCAGCATGCAGAAGTAGCTTGGCTATTCTATAAGGCATCAAGGAAGCCGTCTGATTCCGCCGCGAAAAGGCGCTAGGGGTGAGTGTGGTAGTGGGTCCTGTAGCTAAGAACTGAATTCTGCTCAGTTGCGAAGCTGACTCCATCAAGGGTAGCGAGTGTATAGACGCATACGTCACGGCTAGTGGGTTAGTTAACACAGTGACTGGTCGTGGCGCTAGTTTCCATCCTATAAACTCAAAGATACCGGCGATGCGCCTGGGAAGTATGAGAATGGGGAGGCGAACAGCTAGGGATAATAGGGTAGAGGCGCAAATAGTGCCGAAGACCGTAGTTGTAGAATGTCCCAGCGCTCCCTTCACAATTTCATTCGACGACGCAAGTGTCTGAAGATTCCTATGGAAGTACCAGTTGGATACAGTACCTCCAGTTGTGGCGCGGACGACTCCGCTTGTAACAGACAGCGTCCATACATACATCAGGAAGAAAAAGATGGCAAGCCACCATGTTGCAGTTCCGATTATGAACGCCGATAATTTCTTCGAGAAATAGCCGCCTAGGAAGATGCGCGTAAACATCCAAAGCCATACCCAGGTCCACCCTACCACGAAAGCTAGGGTGCCGAATCCCAGTAGCACGAGGGCCGGATTTGCGGTGAGGATTCGGCTAGAGAAGGCTAGCATCTCAACGGCTCTGTGGATCTCGTGTCGTCCCTTATACAAAAGCCATACCCATATGATGGAACAGACTCCAGGCACGATAGCAGCCCATCTCATGATAACATCCTGGAGTCGTGATCCATGATCCGGTCCTTGGAAACTAGAGATGATGGGATATAATGAGAACGAAAAAAGGACTATGGGGACGCCAAAGAGCATGAGAAAGACTAGTTGCTGCATGAAGGATCTAAGTGCTGCCATCCAAACCAGTGCAACCACCACCGAGACGAGGGTGTCGACGGCCAGCAGGTAGAAGGATGACTTGAGTGTTGTGTATATAGTATCGCCAATCTTGCCACCTGGAGCTGAAGTATGTAGCAATACTAAGACAAATGTTGCGATGAGCGAAGCGAAAGCGATCAAGTACAGCCAAGCAAAAAACTGATCGTGAACAAATATCTCGCCATACATCCGTAGCTGTGGCGGAGCTGGGATGACTGTCGGCTGTTCAGTTACCTCGTCGTCTTCTTCTTCCTCTTCAGCGATAGCTTGGCGCATGAGCCGGTTATCGCGCTCGAGATTCGAATGTGTTCTACCAGCCGCACCTTTGAAATTCCCTTTGGTAGATTTGAATTGTTGGAACGCGGGTGGTGATGAATCTATTGGTGTTTCCAGCAAAAGGTCCTCGGGTACGGAATTGTCCATGACGGTTGACTCTAGCCCAACATCAACCATCTTCCCACTCTCATCGCTGTCGGAGTTCTGTCGTATGCTTTTCTGCGCACCAGTTGCAGATTGTTCCTCGTTTGATTTTCGGGTTGACTGTCGACCCTTGAAGCTTGATTCGCCGTTCCAACTGCTTTTGATACCCATGGGACGATCTCGGCCCTCGTACAACCTACTATCGCGTTCCCCACTCTGGTCTAATGAGGCACGGCTTGCGTCATTCTCCGATGCAGAGCTATCCTCCAGGCGACTTGCTGCAAAAACACGGCGCGAATGCTGTAAAGCGCGAAAATCAGCGGCCTCTCTAACATCATCTTCGTCATCCTCGTCTCGAAACTCGTTTAAGGTGCTGTGGAATAGTGGTGCATCAGGCGCAGTGTTATATCGGGAGGCAAAGCCACCGAATCTAGACTGAGATGACTGATAAGGATTTCCGAGGCGGGACTGGTAGGAAAACCGAGCGGGCTGCCTGGGGAACCTCGAGGGCGCATCGGATGGCTGTCGACCGGAAGGGTCGTTATTATCCGGGGGGCCGCCAAAGTTGGAGAGGCGGGACTGTGACTGCGAGAGGAAGCGCGAGGCATCTGCATAGGCCGGAGTTAGGTCAGGCTAGACTACTGAAGAGCATACGAGCAGGCTGTAGGGTTCACTTACATTCGGAAAACATGTTCTGCAAGGCAGATGCTGGAGGAGGGAGACTCCAGCAGGGACTGTGGATACAAAGGGGTGAAAGGAATCAGGAGGCGACAATGGTGGTGATGGAATATTCAAGAAGCTGGTTGTATGTATGTCGTCGTGGGTGTGTCTGTCTGTCTCTGTGAGTCCGCCCGGGTGGTTGGTGATGCCCAGGAAGGGAAGCCGGCCATGCAGGCTGGGTACAAATAGACAAATGGGCGGTGCGGTTGCGGTTGTGGCTTCGGTCAATCACAATAGAACAATCAGACAATAGCGGGCGGACGAAGCTATCGGTAAGTGGCTATTGTAGATTACGACTGCCTTGGATCACTTGAATGGAAGCCAATAGAGAATGAAAGCAACTAACTATGATGGTCTGGAGTTTGGAGTTTGGAAGAAGAACAGAAGAATGTTTGCTGGGTACCTACGTTACCTGTGGTTTTAGTCATAGAGCCATGATGACCTGCAGTGATGGTCCACGGATGATGCAAGTCGAGCTTGGTTGCTTTTGCGGGAGTCCAGGCGACAAGGCGAGGCGGGCGGACTGGGAGCTCACATGGCAGGCATTAACGGGCACCGCACCTGCTGTAGATGCCTTAGGGAGATACCTACGTACGGAGTACATGTACCTAAGATACCTACTTGTTGCTCCATGTTATCTAGTGTTACGGAGCTTCTGACAGAGTACGAAAGCGGTCAATGCTGAATGGGCGTATCTACATGTACCTAAGTATTTAGGTACATGTAATGGAAGACCCATCTACTTAAGCTACATAGTACATACTTAGTCAGTCCCCTGACCGGCTGGGGCTGCCATAAAAGTACATGCAGATAACGCCCATTGGATTGATCAGCAGCACCACAAGTTAGGCACCCAACTGCCAGCTAATGAGGACCCTGCAGCAATTCCGCCATGTTAACTCCGTACCTACTATGTACATGTACCTTATGCAAGTACCAATATGGGCCATATAGGTAAGTACTTAGGTGGCTAGAATAGTAAAGTTGAGATGGAGATAACGAAGGCAAATAGGCCATATAGAAATAAGTAGCATGTGACCTAAATCTGCCTCTACATAAGCATTAGTTAGGCATGAGGTTGGACTCTCACATGTATCGACCTGTCAAAGATAAACGGCTGTCTTGAGACAGGTAGTGAGGTGACCAGGGTCACGGGGACTGTACAGAAGATACCGAGTAAGTACCCAGGTACGGTAGGTAAGTAGACAGACAGTGAGGTCATTGGCACAAAAGACGTTATCAGATCAGCCTGTTAAGTACATACCATGTAGTACATGCTAGCGCTAACCGTCTTACCCTCTGACTGTGTTACCGAAGTTCGTACGCTGTGGCATGGTTCGTGTGTCTTCATGATGAGTACTATGACTCATATTTGCCATTTGCATTTGGGAAGAATGAGGCTCATTGCGGTAGGAAGATATTTATTGAAGTCATTTACCGCTGGTAACAGAAAGTGAGCTACACACACACTGCTGGGTAGCATGTCCAGTTGATGCACCTATGCAGCATTAGTACCTGTCTCTATATATGCACATAGAGGGTGTGCTCGCAAGACTCCTGCTATGATGGGCTTGAAGTACGAGCACATTATCAAAAGTCAAGAAAAGGCCTGGTATCTAGCACGTTAAGGCTACTGTTGTCCAAGACTGGGATGTTCTTCCAAGGTTCTACAGGTTCCTTCTCTTCTGCGCAGAAACAGCCCCAGTCTCTTGAACACCTTTCGGAAATAGAGGCAACGCTACCGTTCAAAAGCTTTAAGTATTGGCTTGGAGTATCACTCAAAAAAGCGCAATGACATGACTACTGATGTTCTTTGACAGCTCCTTTACTCTTTACTGACTACAACGCCAAACATGGATCGCCAGAATCTACATATCTCATTATACCTGCATCATGAGATATGAGAGAGTAGGAAACGAGTGGGACAAATAATTTATCGTGCTAGCCATATCCACCAAGTTATATACTGTGGTTATAAGACGTCTTCCACCGCTGTTCACGGAAATAGGCGAGTTATATACACCAAATCGTGAATTTCTGTCATGTCTCTTCCACTTGTGTGCTTGCAGTGCAGTGGTGTAACAATATCCATCCTTTCTTGGCACTCTAGACCGCCAAAGCAAAGAGAGACTACAGCTTGCTCTTGATTGCAGTGGTCCAAGTTCGCTAATGGAAATTTCTTGGTCTCCATGGGATGAATCATATCTCTATATATGATGACGAGACCATGTTCATCTGCACTCCTTCGTCTCTTTGCGTCGTCCGTCACGTCTCGGGCCGAACAAGACGACGACAACAAAGCCACCTCGAGTCACGGCACAACACGATCCAACAATGCCCAACGTGGACATAGTAGTATCTGTGCTGATCAGCCAGATTCGACATTCTCTCAGTTCTACCTACAAGGACTTTGTCTTTGCCTGTGGTGGGAGTATCCCCATTGTTAACCAAGGAACTTCTAGTGATCAATCATCCTCCAGGGCTTCTGACAAAGCCTCTGCATCAAGATCAGAATCAAGAAATCCACAGGATGTTCGACTACTACCTTCCCCGCCGATCACTCTTCGCTGGGATCCCCAGGACCCCTCTACTCCGGCTTCCCAGTGTAAGTTGACATTTCCACCCGATGACGGGCAACAAGAGGCTTTGGCGGAACTTCTGCGTGACATGCAGCCGGCCACGTTCGGGGTGAAGGGCGAAGAGGTGGCGTCCAAGCTAGACACGTCACGTTTCTCTTCTACCTTCAACCCTTACGAGTTAGGCATCGTTGACGCCGTGGCCCAATTACTTCTCCCGAACCTCAAGCAGAAACGTCCAAACTGGAAGCGTGGAGTTCGAGCCGAACTCTACAAGCTCAACGTGAGTTACATGGTCTTGCTTTGTAGCTCTCGAGATTCCTGGCTTACCTTCTACGGATTGACTAATCTATGACGATGAACCAGGTCTATTCAGGTCCATCTGGCCACTTTCGTGCACATATGGACACACCGCACTCGATCGACCAATTCGGCTCACTTGTCGTTTGCTTGCCTATAGCACACACAGGTGGACAACTGAAAGTCCAATCTGAAGGGCGAGAAGATGTGGTCTTCGACTGGAGTGCCACTGAGGAGGACATGGGAGAGCCGCCGGCTATCGAGTGGGCCGCGTTCTACAGTGACTGCACGCATGAAGTTCTTGAGGTAACCTCCGGTCATCGCGTCACGCTCACTTACAACCTCTACGCGACCTACGGAGGTGGCGCGGTTACAAGCCTTGATAGCCCTATCGACATGGCGCATTTACCTCTCTACATGAGATTGAGCTCCCTTGCAGAGCGTTTAGAGAGCTCGAAAGAAGGTATTTACCACCCCGGCTTCCAAGGCACTCGACAGTATGATGCAAATATACGTAAATGCTTACCAAGAAGTTCTCGTATAACCAGGTCGGTTCATCGGCTTCCACACAGCTTATAGATATCCCCACACGACCACTATGGCATGTCTTCCTTATACTCTAAAGGGAATAGATGGTATGTGACTATATGCAATATCGATATCATCTTGGATCATCTTCTGTGAGAAATGAAGCTGACTGTAATATGTAGTACGTTTTTTTTTCTCCGTGTATTGGTACCGTCATCACCGCATTCGTCCCAGTGTTATATTGCCCTTGTCTTGGCTCTAGGCTGCGAATCTCCGAGGACCTCCGATCAAATGTTCATTCTGAAACTAACTGTATCAGATGGCTATGTGGGAGATACTTAGCACACTCCGTTGCAACGTCGTACTCCTTCCGATCGCCGAAATTCTGCATGAGGACGAATACAGCTGCGAACGCTATAGCTGGGAAAGATATATCGGCAAAAGGCTCACATTCTACCTGCATGCAGGGGCCGTGGAAGAAGAAGAAGAAATAATGGAGCGGTGGTCTAGGGATTACGGAAACCCGCCGCTGAGTTTTGACCAAGTGATATGGCTCAACGAGGCTGATAGAAAGAACGAGGTCATGCAGATGGCGTACATTACTAGTACTGTAAGTGGTAGCCTTCCTTCTGTGAATCAACGCGGGTTATAACGGTTTTTGCTGACTGGTCATGCGTTTCATCACTGGTGATATAGTATGGGAGTCGACCTGAGCTGGAATTCATGTCCTGCACATGTGCCATTATTGCCGAGGTGCCGTACGTCGCCTCGGTCACGCCAGCCTCGGTGTCTGCATTGGTGCACTGGAACTCTGCGATAGGGATTGCAACCGCACAACCGGATAAAGAGGGCGAAGAAGGTGCATAAACTGAGAAACACATAAATAATGTAGATAGCTTAGTTAATTTGGTATAGCCAGATGCAACTGAGAACCAGCGAGGGCGGTAGACCTCTTTCTCAGTGTGCGGAACCGCCCACACCTCGACCAGTCTCCGATCTCACCCGGGCGAGATTGTCTTTGAATAGAATGTAGGCTATCCAATGGTTACGGACCTCGTGGGTGGAGGGACTTGCTCAAAGAAGTGGTAATATGACTGAATTGTGCATATGGAACTTGAATGTTATATTTTATAGCAGCGTTGGGTCTACAATGGACTATACTCGATGGGATTTGATTGCTCCTTACACCATGCTATCACTCCAGAAGCTTAACCACGTCAGATCGTACAAGTGAAACGTACATGTTCATCGTAGGGTTTATCAAGAGTTCTACGGCCGAGCAGCGTTGTGAATGTCGACTTTACTTGCTTGCGGTAGATGATTGGAAGTGTGAAAAGACAGCAATTCTTGGATATACCATGAAACCCATATGGGAGGGACTACAACATCCGGTTTCAGGGGTAAGGAGCTACAGAGAAAATTGTCAAAACAGTGCATTTCAGAGGCCGATAAGAGGATTAGTATCTCAACTCATTAGCTCCTCGTTAACTCCTCCTAGCTAATGTAGAAATATAGTATAATTTCTAGCCTAAGAGATATATATCCACTCCGTATGTGCGCTCAAATAAAGCCAGGGGGTATGTTGCGGTACTAGCATCAACCTCTTTTAGTGGATTATCGAGGTTTAAGTTGAGCTGAGCTCCCGGACCCGAATCCATCATGTTATGTGGAACGGACGGGCAGGTGCTCCCGTGGAGGCGGATTGCTTTTGACGCCAGGTACCAATCCTCTTGTACCTTACTAAGGCAGGTACCTGTGGAGGTACATAGATAAACTAAATCCACGGTACATACATACTTATACATAATATAATGTACCTTAGCATCTTTCATCATCATCATTATCATCATCATCAATCGCTCTAGGTAGCATTGCAACCCTCCATCTACCACTACTCTCTTCCTCTGAACAAACGATATTTACTCCCGAGATTTCCCAATAAACCAACTTTGCAGCCTTCTGAAATTCTTTCATTTCTTTTCTTTTTCTCCTCTTGGGGGTTTCTCTTTGTCTGTTGTTGCGGACACGTGCTTGGCTGGGATTGAATACCTACTTCGTCAGACTAAGCTTTTACCCAGAACTCCGTACATAGTTAGTTAGCCATCGTGCGACCTACGTAGGTGGCAGAAGCACTTTACCTTTTTCTGACCAGAGCTCCTCCTCCTATCATATTAGCTTGGCTGCCACCTCAATACTGCCGACTACGCACTTTTTATCCACCCTGTGAACCGTACATCTACTTCTCAAGAACCCAGACAGAGCACAATACCAAGTGATCCCTTGAAACGGGCGACGTCGGCGCTCGTAGGATCAACCCTAGTCGCCCCCTTGCGTTTCCTTGCCGCTCCTAAACCCAGCCGAAGTCCAACCCACGCTCGGCACCCGTCTCAGCTCATCCTCGTCCCACCATGTCTTCTCCGCCGTGGAATTATATAGCCAAGCTTGTCTGTATCGGCGACTCAGGCTGCGGCAAGTCGTCCCTGACAATTCGATTATGCGAGGGGCGGTTTAGCCCCCAGCATGACGTGACCATCGGCGTCGAGTTCGGCTCCAGGATCGTGCCCGTCGGACCACCACATTCAAAGAAGATCTCCAATCCTTTCTCATCCTCCTATGAATCTAAAGATCCATCTTCGACAATATCGAATATTCCTGGCGATAGTAAGAATGCCGCCGCCGCCGCCGATGAAGAGCAAAAGCATATGAAACTAAGTCTCTGGGACACGGCGGGACAAGAGATATAGTAAGTTACCTAAGAAGCGATGTCGGACCTCGTGTTCCAACCGTCAGCTCCTCGATGGTCAAAGAAAACTAGCTTCGGCTCTGAAACTCTTCCCGCCCTGACCATCACTAGCTGACTGGTATGTCCTTTAGCAAATCCGTGACGCGGAGCTACTTCCGAGGCGCATCAGGCGCCCTCCTTGTATTCGACATCACTCGACGAGCGACCTTTGTCCACGCGACCGACTGGTTGAACGATCTCCGCACAATCGCCGAGCCCGACATCGTCGTGATCCTAGTGGGCAACAAACTAGACTGTGTGCAGTCAGAGGACAGCGACGACAATAATAGCAAACGTGAGGTGACGTTTGCCGAAGCCCAGGATTGGGCGCAGAAAAATGGCGTGCTGCAATACGTCGAAACAAGCGCCAAGAGCGGCGAGAATGTCGAGGCAGCCTTCATGCGCGTCGCCGAACGCATCTTCGAGAACATCAACGCTGGAAAATACGACCTAAACGATCGTCGGTCCGGCGTCAAAGGGCCTGGCCCCGGCACCGCAGCCTCACGGGGCGTCAAGCTCACTGCTAACGACGGGAAGGGCTCCTCGTTGACGGGATGTTGTTACTGAAAGCCAGGAGGGTGGAAATAAAAACAAAACACCATAATACACACACACACACATACGCCTTATTTATCTATCTATCTAATTTAATATGAGAAGACGAGAGAGAGGGAGGGAGAGAGGAAAGAGACAGATGACGATGATGATGATGACCTAGGCAAGAACATTCATGAAACCCCTTTATATCACCTACCATTACATTATCATACAGCTTTGATGAAAGATAGTATAAGCTAGAAAGTTGGGTTGGGAATTCTTTGTAAAGGAATTATTGCATTGCCGGATGAATGGATATTGTATATATGCAGAGAAGACAGAGGGCAGATGGCATACGATACAACAACAACAAAATATTTTGGCCATGATACCCTTCCCTAAATAAGAGTAATAACGTCTACTTAGTAACTAGCAAACAATTACCTACCTATATTAAGTTCATATCTAGCATCTAGCGTAATAAATAAATGAGTCGTTAATAAAATATCGAAAGAGAGCAAGCATCAATCAATCAGCATCTAGAATCTCGTGAGTGCTTAAACATCACATTTACGTACCAATATCACCACATACTTACCTATTAAAGATGAAAACATCAATCGTTTCCATCATGAAACGTACATACTCACCTACACATACTCCTCTCAACATTAATACGTCCTCTTTTCTTTTCTTTTTCTTTTCTTTTATATTATATTAATCACACCGTACCTTCCTTCTTCCTCTCTCCCATCCAGATCACTTTCACCTCCATTTCCGATAAATATTTCCTCTCCATAGCGGGAAAGCTCACTATCGAGGTAATAATTTTCTTTTTCTTCTTCTACTTACTAACGATAGCTAGCCCCACGTTGATAATAGCTGATATATCAAACCAGTCTTTCTTTACCGTGAACTCCTCCATACCCCCTTTCCATCCCCCCTTTCATATCTGTCCAGTTTTTTCCATGCAAAGATGACAGTTTTTGTAAGGAAAAAAACAAAAAGTTTAGCTTAGCCCCCCGAGTTTTAATGTCATTATTACATTTGAGAAAAAGAGGAAAAGAAGAAAAAAATGCATTAATATTTTGGAGGGAGGGAAGAGAGGGATGGATAGAAGGGATACAGATACAAAAGGCATATCTCTTCGACAGTCCCGAGCAGTGGTTATAGTGGTACATGCAGATAACAGCCTGTCTAGGTTTTCATATCAGAATACAATCAGACCGATAAACCATTCAAGAGCTGTATCAGATCAATCGAGGGTGATTCGCCCAAGATACACTCTAATCAGAGATTCTCCAAGTATCGAACCACTTCATGTACTTGTACTGCTGGTTGCTGCCCGTCATACCCCAGCAGATAGGAATAAAGTAGACATAGAGGCCGATGATAATAGCATACAGGACGCTGTAAATAGTCCACTGTATCGCCTTTTGCTGTTTTCTCAGCGTGAAGTCGACGAGGAAGCCTAATGATAGGATGGCGAAATAGAGGGCGGGATAGTAGTGATGCACGTAGGTCACACGTGCCATGATGACGAATGGGAGGTAGTGAAGGAACCAGCCGATGACGGGGTAGATGCCAGAGTAGTGAATCTGGTCAACCTCGTCTTGGGTAAGATCCTTAAACCCACGTTGCCACCTAAGAATATACCAAACGGTAACGAGGCCAACCATGCCCAGAGAAGCTGTTGAGACCCAGTAGACAAATGGGTTTCCAAGCAAGAAGTATTTGACAATCTTATCGTCCCAACCGCACATGCGTAGACCAACGTTGAGAATCGGCCATTGCCACCATTGTGATGCGAGATCATCTTGTTTATCAGGGTCTGGCACCAATGCGTTGTTGGATGTCATCATAGCCACGTTCAGGTGAATGAAATCGTGGAAGAATGGTGACTTGTATTTACCAGGGTCTCCAGGGGGTACTATTAAAACTGGTCAGCATATCTTTCTCTTGCTGGTTTCGAGCAACTTACGCTTCTCATTGGTATGAGCCTCAACGTTCCAGTGGGTAAAGGTATCCTTCGGATTGTTCTTCTTATCACAGGTCACTTCGATCTGTTTGAAACCCCATTGTGGCAAATTGACGTTAGCAGCTCGAAGATAGCATCCCATGACAGCATTCTTTAATCGGAACGCCGTAGTCAACGTTCGCAGCTTGCTCTTATCACGTGATGACACATCCTTGACAATCTCGACCTTCCAATGATCCTTATCATCGCCAATCGTTAGGTTTCCGTAGCAAGAGACCTCCTTCTGGCTCTTAGTGACGGGTGCAGAGATATCGTGACTATGGAGGTTACGTCCAGTTTGTGCGTGGATGAGACGAACAGTTTCACCATTTTCGATGAGATGAGGTTCCGACTCAGGAGTCCAGTCAGGTACTGAACGGTTTGGGTAAAACCACCATTCGTTGTTTGCATCTTTATGGTGGTAGCATGTAACTTGTTGCTGGGTGGAGCCTTCGGGATAAGCTGAACAGGGGTTAGTAGACAATCTCAACTCAAAGACGGAAACACTTACTCTGAACGTGGCTGTGAAGAAGACCTCCACCGTAACCCATATTCTTTAGCGTCACCTTGGAGCCCCAAGCCACTTCTAGAGGGGAGTTGCGGCCAATGTCGCTACCCTGGAGGTTTGCTTGGAACAGCGAGCTCATCTGGGCATCACCAGGTCCGCTTCTTGTCAAGATGGCGAAATGAAGAGCGAAGGAGAACAAGTACACCAAGAAGGGGATAACAATGAGACCGACGACGCGGGCGCTGAGATGAGCGACGAGGACAGGGTAGGATATCTTGGGGTTACCAAACTTGTTCCACAAATCTTCAACGGTGTAGAGGCCAACCATCGCAGTCACGAAAAGTCCGACTAGCTTAATGCTGCAAACAAAACCCAAGCTAAGCCCAGTCATGAACAGCCAGAAGAACCACTCCGGCTCAAAGCTTTCCTTCTGTTGGCGGTGAAACTTGGACCAGCAGAAGACCGTAGCTACAGTGCCGAAAAGCAACATAGAGTCGAGCAGGATGAAGCGGCTGATGGTCGTGTACGAATTCTCACAAAGAACCATGAGTGTAACCAACCAGACAGCGGGACGCTTGAAGTTCAGTTCTTTGGCCGTGAAGTAGGCGAGGGGTACACATAGTATACCCCAGAAGGCGTTGAAAGCTCGCATGAAGGTATAGTCGAGTTCCGCGGGGTATGTCTCGCCAGACTTGAACTCGAAGGAGCCATTATACCCTGCTAATACACCGGAGAGGCCAACAAGAATCTTGCCGAGAGGAGGATGGCTAGCACGACGTTAGCATTTGTTGTTAAGATCGCACTTGGTAGCAGTTTGTACTGACACGTCGAAGAACAGTTCGCGTTTGATGTAGTGCGATCCGAATTTTCCAAAGCTACATGGAGCTCGTTAGCTTTCCAAAGAGGATTACGTTTAAGACGTCGATGGGAGGGCATACTGGGCTTCCTGTGCAAATTTGTCAGCAATGCTGATAGCATAAACCTACAGAAGGAGGGGTCAAAAGCGAAGACTTACATCCCAAGTGACAATAGGGCTGAGGCCGATCTTCCACAGGCGCGTGAAGACGGCAAGGGCGGTAAAGATCAAGGGGGCAATTAAGAACTCCCATTCGTCAAGGATCTGAAGAACCGAAGGGCTCTGATGAGAAAAACCACCAATCAGTATGTAGCTTGCGTAGATATCCATCATATCGCACCAACCTTCTTCGCTCCATGTATCTTCTTCTCGTCAGGCTGCGGCTGAACTATGTCGACTCCAGGAGCGGTTGAGCCGGGTACATTTCGTCGACGAGCGACGTCGCCGCTCGGGTCAGCGCCCGAGGCGACTGCGGCGCCCTTGTCCGCCATCCGGGTTCTTCGTCAGTTGGTAGAAGGGGATTGGACGACGGGGCGATCGAATCCAGAGAACGATGCGGGTAAATGGTATACAGGGAGGGCTATACTAAAGTACCTATAGTAGGCCTCGAGAAAGCTGTTAGAAAAAGGGTACAATTAACGAGTGTGGCACGAATGGAATAGAAGTGAAGAATAGTCAGACTGAGGGCAAGTCGGTCATAGTACCTCTCCACGAGAAAGAAGAAAAACACACAGGACGAGGGTGTTGTCCGTCGACAAATGTCGAATGATGGAATAGGAGCAGGAGTAGCCGAAGTGCTGCTGCTGGATGGAGATTATCTGTCTCCCAGGTCAAGTCCAGGTTTAGGTGGAGGGCAGCGTAAGCTAGGTATCTACATTGATTGGTACGACCTAATTTAGAACATGGGTTTTGCACGTCGTATCGGAGCTGGAGATGGGGCCACCTAATTCAACTCGGATAACACGATAAAGTGTACCCTGCTATATTCCTGCTATATATATAAATGCAAATAAAAATTACATATCTGTACATTCTAATGCACTTACCAAAGCATATTATATTCACAGCCCTAGGGGCCGCAGTTCTGGCTCAAGCTGGTCCAGACTGTCTGTCCGTCCAGATGGTTTGGTAAAGGCCACTTGGCCTGGTGTCACATGCAAGTTTCTTTTTCTGCATGTACCTATAAACCCTAGATACAGATGAGCCAAAAGCGATTAACCATATAGCGCTGAAAGGAATCGAACCTAACCTTGACTATATGCCCCCTCTGGTCATGGCACCCTAACTAATACCTACTAAGGGATCTCTCTCGCTACAAGCAGGAGATGCTGACGCTCAAAATAGATGCCAATGGTTGGTACTATGATAAACTTGAAGGAAACGCTATAAGCTACACACATGCATCCTCGAAACAAAACATGGCTCTACATGCATGTTCCCTTGATCAAAACGTGACAGAATACCCGGCATACAACCCAAGCCCGTCTACCAGGGTTTATTCTCACAGATACAGAATCCATTATAAGTACAGGCATGTTTTCCTTTTGCCCTGATACCACCAGCATGCTGTTCTATGGAAAACAACTGTGGCCCCCAACCATCAGTCCGCTTTATAACGATACTGTCACATCTCCAATCGTCAATCAAGACTCGAACCGCTCAATGTGATATGCGTTGATAATTAAGTTGCCTTCCGGAGTCAACATGCTCACTCTAGACCTTTGGTCCATTCGATTCGTGGGAATCACGACATCGACCCCAAGCCGGAACTTTGATGGTCCGTGGACGCCGCCACCCTCTATATAGGGGATAATGAAAAAATCTATCATCTTCGCTTCTTATTCTTCTGAACCATATATGTATACGTAACTCTAGTCGTCTCGCTGGTCTAGCGGGGCATATCTCGCGCCAGACGCGGGACTACTACTTGAGCCACGGGTTTGGCCGACCATCCTGCTTAACCACTCACCCACGCGACCCCGTGAACTGCGACTTTCGGATCGCAGTCGCGGTGCAGCTTTGCCATCTACAATATTGACCGCTGGCGGGTCGATATCTAGTGGAGGAATCGCTCCATCTGGCGCCAGTGGCCGTCCTCGAAGATCAAGGGAGGGCACAGGAGATCCTGCCCGGACGAGAGAACCAGTTTCCGATCGAACGCCAGGAGTACCGATAGCCGTGCTGGCATCTCCAAATAATGAGTCCATATCTTCCAATCGCACACCACATGTCTCTGGGTATACAAAGTACACTGTCACGCATTAGCGGGGCCGCCAAAATTATGGGTTAAGATGGAGGACTTACCAACAACAAAACTGACCACGCAGAAGAAAGCATGAAGCAAATACAACCGCCACTTGATCCACTCCTGCAAGATGGGGGTCATTTCTCCCACGAGCCAATTGAATGCCCAATTGGAAGCAGTCGACAAACTGGCTCCCTTCGATCGAATACTGAGTGGGAGAATCTCTGGTGGGTAGAGCCATGGAATCGGACCCCATGAGTACCCAAAAGCTGCGTTGTATATCATGACGAAGATCACAACCAAGTTAGGCGTTAACTCGATATCCAAATAAATGAAATAAGAGACCAGCGAGAGCGATATGGCCATAGCAACTGCGCCTGTCAAGAGGATGACACGACGGCCCCATCGATCCACAATGTACCACGGCGGAATCGTAGAAAGTAGATAGGTGATGCCGTTGATACCCGTCATCTTCACTGCATCATGGCCAACCCAGCCAGCCGATTCGAAGACGTAAGGCGCATAATAAGAAATGACATTGATACCGTTAAGCTGAGCGAGTGCTTGTGCTGACATGGCAATGAAGACGCGTGTCTTGTACCGACGGAACATCTCGGAGTAACTTCGCTCGCCTTCCATGCGTTGCAGCAAAACGTTCATCTTGATCTCACGGTATTCATCCCTCGCTTTAGGATTATGGATATCACCACCACCATATAGATTTGCTATGACGACAATTCCCTCTTCATCGTGATCATTATCAAGCAGCCATCTAGGGACTAGTTAACAACGAAGGAACAGAACGAGCAGAGATGGGTTGCTTACCTCGGTGACTCCACGATAATTAAGCTTCCCAAGCCCAATAGAGCTCCCATAACGCATTGCATAAGCAGAGGGATCCGCCAGGATAGATTGCTCTTTATGTAGCCGCAGAAGTAATCTACCCATATCGATGTAGTGTACCCGATAATGTTGCCTGAAAACTCGATGCAAGCAAGTTTTCCTCGATTGTGAGGAGGCGAGATCTCAGATTGATAAACAGGCACGATCGTCGACAATGAACCAACACCCAAACCAGCAATAATTCTGCCCAGCATCATCATTGGCATGTTAGTCGCAAAGGTCTGTAACGCTCCGCCAACGAAGAATATCATGGATCCATAAAGGATGGTTTTTCGGCGACCGATGATATCTCCAACTCTTCCAACAATTAAAGACGAGATAAACGCCCCGACCTCTAAAATGGCAACCATGGTGCCTATCTCCGCCCTAGAGGGATTGTTAAAATAATCCCTGAAGTATGGGCCACTGATCGATGTTCGAGTTAGTCTTCAAGTTTCATCGGATGACGTGGAACCTGGAGATATAAGACATACGTGATGATGCCCGACATAACACCCTGATCATATCCGAAAAGAAACACGCCTAATGAAACAAAGATGCTCGTAAAGTAGCTATAAACCTAATCAGTATTGGTTTCTGCGAATGAACAGTTGTATCCCAGATGGGACATACATGAGGGCCTTGCCCGTGAAGCCGTTTACCCCCGTGCCCGGCATGATGGCGGCTATGCAACGCTCTCCTCGGGATATGCGACGGGGAGGGACGTCAGGGATCTGGATGGCCTCCTTGTCGATGACGCCGGAGCTAGACCTGGAGTGACCGTAGCTGTGCTCGTCGACGGAGCGTTTGAACTGGACGCGTTTGCTGTGCCTGGGATGGCGCTTCAGGGCGCCCGAGATGAGGTCGTCGTGGATGGAGGTATCGGCAAGACTCTTGCGCAAGGGATCCTCCTCATCTGCCAACTGTTCTGCGAGGTCACCAGTGTCGGTCCACGAGTCAAAGTCGGCAGAGTCGTCGGAGTGACGCTCATGCGAAGATCGATGGCGGTGGTCGTCGAGCAATGACGTCGATTGGCCGTGATCCCAACGCGAGGCTAGGGTGCGGAGGGGGATGTTGGAGGGAAGGCGGTTGGGAGTTGAGGGAGGAATCTTGAAGAAGATGGCGCTGTTGAGCAGCAGCGCCGGCCCGCAACTATAATGATGTTTAAAAGGAAGTAAAAGACAAGAGTGGAGAGGAGGGTTTCTGGCTAGGTGTCTGGCTAGGTATCTGGAGAGAAAGAAGCAATCAGCTGTCGTCGACCTGGCCCGATGACCATCACCGTGCAGGCGCAGGTGGGACGTCTTCTGTCACCTACCTATGTATGTATAGTACCTAGAGCCCATCCACAGTACGCGGGCGCCTAGTGCAGTGTAGGTAGCAAGTACATACAGAAGCAAGACCACAACTACTATCTTGGTCAGGCCTCTGGCGATAGCGGTATGTATGGTACTACCGTATGCACGAGGTATTATCCACGCATGTATTGTATTGTAGCGGTATACACCCCCGGAGCCAATGGCTGGCTGGAATAAAATCCAGGTACGAGAAAAGAAGCGGAAATGGTAGGTAGGTACAAGTGAGTGAATGAATAATGTGCAAATGGGTAAGTATCTAATAGCTAGTGTACCATAGGGAGAAGAAGAAAAGCCACAATATACAGAATGCTGTCTCTGTCAGGAAGTTGACGGGAGAAAAAGGTCTACTGGATAAAAAAAAAAAAAAAAGAGAAAAAAAAAAGGAAATAGCTGGCTTGTCAAATTCTACATGCGTACACAGATAGCTACAAGATGCGCAAGACACCGACTCCTATTCTTTACATAAACCTCCCTCATGTCTTACGGATCTCCTTTACTATTCCTTTATTATTAAAAGCTGTTGACACTATCCTGCACTATGTATGTGCCATAATCCTGCTAACACGGCCCAGCGCACGCGCTGAGATGCCCCCAAGTGTCAGCTCCAGTTGTCCTCCTCAGCGGCTTGGCTGGCAGAATGTCCAGAGAATATCAACCACAGGTACATCTGCCAACCACTACTGCATACCGTAATCGCCAGGCGAGCGAGTCGGGGCAATGCGGCCTCAGACTGTGTGGGACCAGCTCATCAGCCAGTGCCCATGTTTTGCACGTATTTGGTAATGACTTTCGCCCTCGCCTATGTCTCACTGAGAACAATGCCTAGACTAGACCAGGGAGACCAGGGAAAATCAGGCTGCCTACAATCTTGTGCAGCCAGCCATCATACCCAATAGTTCTATTTACTTAACCATAACATTGACAGGATCTGACAGGAGATTGGTACTTACTTACTACGTAGGCTTCTTGTAGCCTGTAACAGATGCGCCTCTTCTCTATCTAGGTACTTAGGTAGTGGATATCCCCATAACTTACCCCATGCCAACTCTCCAAATCCTCTAAACTTTCCAAGGCTCACACGGCGTTAGGGAGCACCCTAGTCCAAGCTAGAGCCGCTATCTACAGCACTGAGTCAAGATAGGGATGGCCTGTTTCCGCTCTATTTATGCTGGTAGCGATAACGAGAGCTGGAACAGAACTAGGTGTAGAACTAAGTACAAGAACAGCCTCGGATCTTGAACCGTATCCGTCTCGTTCAGTCCAGGGCGAGATCCAGAAGAGCAGAAACGAGATCAGATCAGCCACCGGTACTACCTACTTAGGATAGTACTTACTTACCGCCGCTACCGCATGTTACTACGAATGTTACCTGTGCTGTATGTTGTTACCTCCCGTTCTGCTCCCGTATTCCTACGGGCAGGACTCTGGCAGGACCAAGGCTCGCCAAGGCTGCAGGGTCCGCCTTAGTGTTTCCTATCTGGCACTAAAGGGATGCACGACGTTCCACATTGTTGCATGGGTTACGTCATAGTTCTCTTGTCGGAGCTTGAATATGGCGGTTCTGGGCTGTGGAAACGACTCTCTTCTACACCATCACGAACAGTTTGCGGCCTCCTCCCGAACGGTTGGCATGTAGAGTGAGATCATCCAGAGGTCTTCCCCAGGTTTCCCCTCCCGTGCCCCCTCCATCAAACCATTCGGTGTGTGCACTACAACACTACGCGGCTACTAACCTTAGTCACACTTCAGAGACCCTTGGTGATCACATGGTCGAGTCTCTGGTCAGTTAACAGTTCTGCTGATCGTTGATCATCCCAACACCACAGCCTCGGCCAGTGCTCGGTCCAACCAGGTCGATTCTCATACCTAAGACTTACAGGAGGCAAGTCTCGGCCCACCACGGAATAACTAAGGAGACCCGTGTGCCGTATCTAAATAAACTGCAAGCAGATGTGGATTCGGACAGCACTCACTGATTGTGTTTGTCTCAAGGCAATTCTTGGCAAGGTAACTGAATATGCAAGTATCCGGTGCCTTCTGCTTATATCCTCTAGTATCAGCAAATATTGGCCGAACAAATAGTCTATAATATGATGGGAAACTTAAGGACCCTCCCTCGCTTAGTTGCCGCCCGTCATATCACATGTTACGTCAACGAGGCTGTCTTTCTTGAGAAGTGATATTATAGAGTGGTACGACCGGATCTGATTCTCGTACACAATCAGTAATCAACATCAAACTCTCCTGTCGTATCGTTGTGCTACTGATGACAACATGTTGTGCGCCTTGGGCACGGCACTGACGATCTCGAGGGAAGGCTAGTTGCCAACACGATCGAGAGAATTTACAAGTAGTCAATCTCATCAAGGGGTCAGATAGCAATCCTCGCCTCGCTGATATTAAGCCTGGATAGTTTCCCTAATTCTCTCCCTCTTCACGGAATTTCAAAATTCGTGTCTTTAGCAAAGAGGTCCATGAACGCCTACTCAGTTCGATGGCAGACATTTGAAATATGATACTCCGGTCTCAATATGGGCCCGTACACCATTTCCTAGGACGGGCGGTACCAAACGCCGGTTTTCACATATAGCTCGTGTGTGCATACTGCACCATTTGCTCGAGACCAATGGCTCTCGTTTGCCAGTCATGTCTTTGGTAATTACCTATTGCAGCACATGTATGTATCACTTGATACTGGGCTGTTCTCCACAGCCTCGTCTATGTGCTAGATTGGTATCTGTCCTATTGGATTCCAACTTACACATTCACATTGTCTCAGCCGGCGCGGTGCATAGGACGGGCTCAAAGGATCTAGGGGTACTTCGATAGCAACAGTTGAGGGGGATGGTATGCAAAGAAGACTTGGTAATAGCCATTAGGCGGTTCTGTTCAACTAGATAGCAGCGACGTGGGGATGAAGTTACTACTGAACGCCTACGTACAATGACTGGTTACAGGGAGTCTACCTTACTTGAGAAGAATAATGCAAAGAGCATGATCTCGGTCAATACATGCCGTCGGTTCGGCCTCTATTCGGCAATACGGAAGAACATATTTAAGGGTAACAACAAGACTTGAATGACCCAGCGTCGGGCCCTGGGAAGTGCCCTTTTCGTACATGCTCCCGTGAAACAGGAACGTAATCGTCCTTCTCTCCCATTTCCTTTATACCCTCCTCTTCATAGATACCTCTTCGCCGAGCTCTTGTATCTCGTGGGTTTCTCCCTGGAAGTCTATTCGCTAAGCCTATTCAGAACTGCAACAAGATAACCGTATTTTCAATTATAATTCCTATTGTCAAGCGGTTCACATATCGTGATAATAATTTCTTCTAAAGCAGATATTCTAGAAGCCTACAGCTCAGCAGTGGGAACAGAGATGTTGGTTCACTAGGTAGAAGATCGTCTTAACACAACAGGCTGTTTAATGTAAGGTATCTCTCGAAATTGGTTGTGAAATGGCAGGTTGGCTACTGAAACAGACCGAGCTAGATCGCCACGAAGTTGAGTTGGTAACTGGACAGTTTATGTAATATTAGACTCTTTCGTGTAAATTGAGCTGCACCCAAAGTCAAGATGGAGATAGCCAGATTACCAACCTTGACTAGAGATCGTGAGGAGCTTGAAGCGTGATTATCTAACTGGAACTGTGATCCATTCGCTGGGAACCAGATGCCCTCGAGGCTTCGTCGTGACTTATACACTGCTCAATGTACTGTATGTCAACAACCTTATATATACAAGATGAATGATATCACAGGACCGACTATCGAATCAGAGTACAGTGGTCTTGATGCTATGAGCGCGCAAAACTCGAGAAGTGAGGCTCGGCTCCTTTTGATACCTGATGCAAATTAAGGATTGATGGCACTCTTCAGTATCGGGCCAGGTCACTGATTATGCTGACTTGATTTCTGTATCTGGAATTGGCTAGAGACGGTGCTCGAGATTCTATTTCAAGACAGGCTGTCTCATGCTGTGGTAGAGTCACATAGCCACATGTATGCCCATGAATTGCTTCCATTGGCATTACGTTTGTTAAAAGGTAGTCCTGGTCTAACTCATGATTTCCAAGCAGTGAGCTTGTCTACTATGGGCAAATTGCTTGTAGGCGCTCGATGGGAGAGAGCAGACTCTGGAGTGGAGGGGCGTATGATGAAGCTGTATACATCTCTTTTGTGAGTTTTTACTCCGAGACTTTCAAATATACATGAATGTTTGTAATAGACCACTTCTACCTGGTAGGTTCCATGGACCTTGGCTCTGGTACGTGATATTCCCATCTGTCTAGGATGCAGTTGGTCTATCCCGGTGATATAGTGGAATCAAATCAGTCCCTCTTACAGCTTCTCCCTACAATTCCCAGCACGAAAGGTCAGAGTTAATTCAATATCAGCTACGTGTGGGATTTCGGGCCTTGAGATTTCATTATGCTCTTCATCCTACCTTCTAGATCAAATCTACTATAGAAGAAGGTAGCCATCATCTCGCCTGAATATACACAGCATCCGCCTCCCAAACGCCGCAGCACATTCCATCTATCCTACTTCGACATGTTCAATGCATAGATAATCTAAGTCATGCCAAATACTCGACCAGATATATCTAGGCTGATTATATTGAGACAGTGGGAACAAAGTATATATATGGTTAACTGTCGCCGGTCCACAGGGGCTTGAGCCTATGACTCCTGAGGGCAAAGTAGGTATCTTTCTATTGCCCCCAAGTAGAAATATTTCAAGTGTACTGAGGGTCACCACGAGTGCTAAACATTTTAAATCTCTACCGATATTGTTAATATAGTGCTTGACCGTCATGCGCGAGTAAGGTGGCCGTTCTAGAAGCCTTGGGCTTGAGCTCCTATTGATGTACGTATATTGATAGTATCTCAACTTGACTGCCTACAGCATGCTTTGACCTCGATCCCTGAGCACCAACTCTAGAGATTGAAGAGAGGCATATTACTAAGCGAGATGAGGAAATCATCAAAAACGACCGTGCTGGTACATTGACCACGAACCCATACTATCATCTACGCATGTACGGTATACTATCCAACGATCTCAAGGACTAGGAATTTCCCTCATACATACATGCATATCATGCATGAAGATGTATAGTAATTTTGATCCCGATGTAACCGCATCTACTACTTATGGCGAGCCAAGTGCCAAGCCTGAGCAAATGTAGACCTACATATAGTACTCATGTACTTACATAGGTACTTCCAACTTGGCCGCACGCTACAGAAATGGTGAAACAGTGGACGAACTACTTAAATGCTAGGTATCCTAGCGGACATCGCGCGGGTAGGTATCTTGGACCGAGATAACTTGAACGATTTCGCTATTAGCGGGGTGTTGACGGTTAAAAAAAGCCAAAAACTCAACGGTTCGAATTGTCACGAACGGCTGATTTCCACGTGAAAACGGGTAGAAAATTGCTGTCGCCCCCGCTTGGATGATTTCGGACGGCTTCAACTATTTTTATGCCGCCTCGCCATGCTCCTCTTGCGTAATATTACTATCTCCCCACGAAATGCTCGCTCTGAGACAGGTACAATTCCAGCAATAGAAAGAAGGTGGCTGAAACTTGCCGCTGCTACCGGGGCTTTTGGAATGTGAGGTTCAGCCATAGGTAATCCAGTACCCATACTGCTTGTATGAAATCAAGAAATCGAAAAGCCTTGCAGACTTCAAAATATCGCTTATACTACTTTACTGTAGGTAGGTATAAGCAGTACTATGTTATACACCCATTCGTGAGTCAAGAGCAAAACCACACGATTTCACGCTACCTCCATTGGTAATTGTTAAGTGGCTGCATGATTCCTATAAATAACGTAGGCAGCCTCTCTCCAACGGACCTGAAGCCACGTACTTAGATAGAGGATAACAAATCAATATCTGCTCTTATCTAGGGTAGGCTGATGGTCGCACTGCAGAGTCGTTGACGAGGCATCGAGGCTGAGCGAGTGGCGCTCAATGCAGCATATCACTGCGCTCTGCGGAAAAGCCTCCAGGGACTTTTCCCTGGAGGAAGTGACAGATGCATAAACATCGAGATTTAAATCTGCAGTCTGCTTGCACTAGCGTGAGAGAGCAACAGCCTGCCTAAACGGGATGCGGCTTGCCTCTATTTATTAGTGTATGCTTAAAAGCAAGGAAGAAAAGGACGTGGGCATGATCCGGTTTTCTATGATGACGGTATCATACAGCAGACCCCAACCTCTGCCCAACCAATCTTCAGATGCGATTGTGCGTGTATGTCGGCGCCGTCGGAAACGAGCAAGGCGAAATCCCAATGGAGGTTCTGAAGGATTCGGCCAAGCCAGGGCATGGGAGCTGTCCTGTTTCATGTCATGGGCTTCGCTGATGCAGCCTTACCGGTCACATGGTCGTCAATTCACAATGGAATCGAGGTGAAGACATTGACGGGAACGAATGCTACCAGAGTAGTTTGATGCGACTCTTGGTCGTACACAGACGCGAATGACTTAAATTGAGCTAACTGCAGCTTGAGGAATCTCAAAGTAGTACAGGTAGGTACCTCAGGTAGCTCGAGTCTTTCTCCAGGACAGACCAAGGATCCACGTGTACAACGTACATAGGCGTGTTGCAGCTTACTGAACTGGAACTCGCATAAGCCATGGTTGCATGACTCCAGTATGGACGACACATTACGTCGTGGCAAAGCCGTTGTGCTGGACATGAACCGAGTTATGTAGTCTACTAGTACTTCGTAGGCATTAACCAATCCTTTTGTACACTGGCAGTGAATACAGAATGTCAAGAGATGGTCAGATCGTGCACTAGCCAAGATACCTACACCAGATACGTGCTAAGATACTTACTTAGCTTGCCTTGGAATCTTCATCGTGTTGGCGTCGGCTCATCTAGTGTACAAATACCAGGGAACTACTATGTCGAGTAAGTAAGTAAGATCCGGCACCGGCAAAAGTTAATGTAATTGAAGACCGCAAACGGCAACGGGAAACGGCAACAAGCAATACTACATATATATACGGAGTACAGTATTGATGGTGGGTGTACTGTAGAATCGAAAAGTGAAACATACGTCGGCGTTAAAATGAGTCCCAAATTGGTTCCAAATGAATCTCTGACTCGAATCATCGGAGAGTCAGTCGTTGCAAGCAGGTGAGAACAAGTCTCGGAGAGGTACTTTGTCGGTAGCGCGCTCGCTAGGATCGGTACCTTGCTGTTTCTAGTCTTCTTCGAGGCCTGAGTGGGCCGTCTCATTTCGCAACGGGCCACTCAGCGCCCGATCTCCCCCCAACCCCCGGCCACTGGCGACCGCTGGCTCTCCACTGGCCTAGCCTACCGCCGGGAGGTGTTACACTGAAGACGGGCCTATCGAGACTTGGTCAGGTACCTCATCAGCCCGAGTTCCTACTATGTACATCTAAGTAATATCGCCCGCTGCACCCAACCACCCCCCCAAGCACTCTCTCCTTTTATACACCTCTTGTGCAAGAAACACCTCTCCTCTCCCCCTCCCACACCCGTTTTGCGGCTGAGGTGAAGAAATACCCATCGAGACCGTTGGACGCGACTCGAACGCTCTTATCGCAGAGGCCCCGGAATACTTGAAGTCGACGGGGGCCGGGGAAGAACGCTGGCGCATTGCATTCCATGGTAACGCTTATACGCGACATACGGTAACGATTCGACTTCTCGTTTGCTCTCGAACCGAGATATCAAGCCAGCCGATATCAAGTCTGCATTCAGCTCTCGAACACATTATCAGACTTCGGCCACCCGCATAATCATCTCTCATGGTAGCTCGAAACCGTTGGCGAATACGACGAGAACACATCATACGTACAACGACGACAGGTCCGCCCATTCATTAATTGGCTCATTGCACCGACTGCAACCGCCCTAGACTCAATCGCGAAATAGTCTACTTCGCTCATAATTATCTACAAAAAACACCATTGACCTAGCGGGATCATCGCCCGCTCATATTCTCAGATGGGGAGCACGAATTTCGGGAATTTCGAGGTACGAATTGGGACATGGTGCTGGCGCCAGGCGAAGCTTATCGTCGATTGAGTGGGATTGAGGCTAACGAGGGGGGTTTGCGACAAATAGGACTTCTGCCGAGACTCGACACTTCCTGTCTGCAATGTACGTGGGCTTCGGTGACATCTCCTTCTGGGTTGTAATATTGACATCCAATCTAGGTCTTGAGTAATAGCCACAATCAACGGGGACTATGGGGCGGATGTGAGTTGACAGGCATCCCGTTGAAAAATGGGCAGCATCTGGGCAACCTCGGTCAGTAATTGCAGAATGCATGGCAACTGGAGTATCTGTCTAACAGGACAACAGGATCAATTTTGTTATGCGGTATCTCCATTGTACTTTCAGTACTCCTGATACTAAAGTCGGAAAGGAAGAGAGCTGCTGTTGGTCGAAGGTGCGACGACCCTCGTCCCTGTATTCGCTGAAACATGCTTACCTTTATATCTCTAGGGAAATGCAGCTCTTTTTGATTGGCTTTATCATAATCGAGATAGCCGAAATCTTTTCCGTTGGCGAGTTTCCGTTGCCATCGAAGGTTCGAATCGTATGTGCTATTCTAATGGAATCGAAACTTCTCTAGGGGGTATTAACCATTATAATAGGCGTTTACGGGAATACACATTGGGATGATCATCGCGACAACCTGGGTCCTTCTCATGAACGCCGTTGTTGGATTCCAGTTACTGGACGATGGCACGCCTTTATCAATAGGACTGATTATTGTTTCCGCTGCTATCCTTCTCATCGGTACTGGGTACATCACCCTGGACACTGGGTTCAACTGGACTAGCGAGTTCGAGAGTAGTTACCGGTTGCCAAACCGACACATTGCCCTCTACGTTCTTTATCAGCTAGTGCCACTCATCTTCCTAGTGGCCTTCTATGTCCTCGAAGCCATCCTAGTCCTGCGCGTGCTTGGGGAGGTGCGACCGATGATCTACCTTACTGGCGCAGCAGTGCTTTTTGCGCTCGGCCAGATCTTTAACTATCTTATTAGCCCTTACATATGCAACGGTACAGCAGGCAAAATCGACGGGGCACTGTTTGAGACGTTGTTCACCCTGCTCTCCGTGCTGATGATCTGGATATTCTGGTCTAGTATCACCGAGGACGACTGGCCTACAGCCGTACAAGGGAACTACCCATAATTCTTTTTGATCATTTCGTCAACACGGCGTCGGAGTTCAGGTTTAGTGGCATACCCAATTGTTTTCTATTTCAAGGCTAATGTTTCGTGTGAGCGATGAACATACAAAAATTCAGCATGACCTCACGTTGGAATCTAATTTTCGCGTACATGACAATATTTTACTTCGGCATTAAAATGAGGAGGATTGGAGAGACAGTGGTTGGATGCGAGACATGAAGCAATAAAGCAGCAATAGTGAAGGGAAGCATGAAGGAGCATGAAGAGAATATTATACCCTAAGGAGCGTAGTTAATGTATATCATGTCGTATGATAGAACGAGGATGACTACGGAATGTGTAGTCAAAGTTAGTGTAATCGTGTGGAAGAGAATATACACCATTGAGTTTGTCTCTTCGCATCATTTCCCTAGGTCAACATTTGGAACCTGTAAGATTGATGTGAGAGATGATATTTCGTCACGATGGGGAGGGGGCACTAATCAGCTGAAAATAGTGCTGAGATTTGCCCAAGGTCCAATCGGACAGTGCTAAATTATAGCATGTACAAGGCTGTGACATCACCCCCAAAGTACCCTGTCAAGTTTCGTAGCCTCGCCTTTCTTTTTCATTCTGCATTCTATCTTTTCTCTAGGTCAACGTACATTTGAAAACAGCATATTTAGTGCGGCGATTCTCTAGATAAGGGGCAAGGTTTGTCAAGGCTTCGCATTACGTCGCCATAGAGGTCGTCACCTCGACCGTCACTCTGATTGGCCTACCTCTCCCTTGCGTCACACCCAGTATTTCTACATCGATACATTTAAGGTTACGTTTGGTACCTTGGTAACAAAGAAGGAAGCTTTTGTATTTGCTACTGAAGGATATACCGTAATCTCTGCCTCGTCCTACATCGTTCGATCCCGCCGCGCGGCGGACCTGCCTCCTACCACGCAACCGAAATGGCCGACTCTGACGGTGATTACCACGCAGACGATGCCTCCGAAGATGAGTTCGGGGACCACCAAGTTTCCTCTCGCTCGGGGCTCTCCTCCCGTTTAGATTCGCGCACAGACAAGCCAAAGAAAGGCGGCCGGAAAGCAGGCAGGGCTGCATGGGAAGATCTCCAACGGTCGTGGGACGTGGTAGTCGAGGGCGAGGACGGGACACTTGCAGGCACTATCGAGGGCCTTGCCGAGGCACAGAAGCGAGCGCGACTATTGAAGGACACAACGCCGTTACAACGCGGTATCATACGGCATCTCGTATTAGTCTTGGACATGTCCTTCGCGATGCTCGAGAAGGACCTACTGCCCACGCGCCACCAGCTGAGCATGGCTTACGCCTCGGAATTTGTGCGCGAGTATTTCGAGCAAAACCCCATTTCACAACTCGCTGTTATCGGCATGCGCGACGGCATCGCGGTACGGATAAGCGACATGAGCGGAAATCCAGGCGACCATCTCGAGAAGCTCCAGAGCTGGGTCAAGCAAGATCCACAGGGCAACCCGAGTCTACAGAACGCTCTCGAAATGTGTCGCGGAGCTCTCTTGTATGTCAAAACCGGAAAATAGGCGTTGGTCTGCGAAAAAGGGATCCTACTAATATGTCTACGATATCTACAGTCACACACCTACCCACGGCACGCGCGAGGTTCTGATAGTATACGGTGCGCTAATGTCAAGCGACCCGGGCGACATCCACGACACGCTGCAATCCCTCATAAAGGATCGCATACGGGTGTCTATTGTAGGGTTAGCAGCACAGGTCGCTATCTGCGAGGAGTTGTGCTCGAAGACCAATGGGGGCGACACTTCGAGCTACAACATTGCTCTCCACGAGCAAAACTTCCGAGATCTATTACTAGAAGTCACAACGCCACCCGTCACACGCACCAAAGAGCAGAGCAATGCTAGCCTGCTCATGATGGGATTCCCGTCGCGCACGCTCGCCGCGCCCGACACCACCAACTACTGCGCCTGCCACCACAGGCCCACCCGCGAGGGTTACGGGTGCACGCGGTGCGGCACCCGCGTCTGTCGGCTACCCGCGGAGTGTCCTGGCTGCGGGCTGACGTTGATCCTCTCCACCCACCTGGCGCGATCCTACCACCACTTATTCCCGTTGCGGAACTGGGTCGAGGTCCCCTGGAGCGAGGCGAGATTGTCCAAGGTGTGCCACGCGTGTCTGACGCCCTTTCCGGAGCGAAGTGGTGCTGCTGCCAATGCCAAAGGAGGACCAACACAAGATAATAAACCAGATCGACCGCCTGTGAAGGGCCTTAGCGAGTCTGGGCGCTACGCATGCGAGGTCTGCGACAACCATTTTTGCATCGACTGTGATTTGTTCGCGCACGAGGTACTGCATAATTGCCCGGGGTGCCAGAGCGATACGCGAGGGAGGGCAAGCGTCGCGCAAAACGGCGAGGCGAATGGTTCGGCGATGGAAATTGATTCTTGACCTGCCAGTTTCGTCAGTTCTCGAGAACGACTCTGGGACACGAGTTACGCCACGTTCACGCCACGCCATACATCGCGGAGAGAAGTGGATGATTCTTCAGCGATTGTTTGTGTAGAGCAAAGCTGTATTTGGATGGGATACATAACAGCCAAAAAAGAAACTGAAAGCATTTTACGGCATCGGGGCATCATTGTAGGCGTTCAGGGGGTCAAGCGGATTATGAAACTTAGCTAACTATTTCTGCTAATTTATTCTTCACGATTGATTTCGGAAGAAAAGGGAAAGAGGGGGGGAGAGGAAAGAAAATTGATTTCGGAAGTAAATTACACATTTATATTCATGGCACTGGAAATCAGTGGGATCGATGTATTGGAGAGCTTCACTGGTAATTGATTGCATGGCGGCTGTTTTTTTGTAATTTAGTTTGGGCATGGGAAATGGATAGGTAGGTAGGTAGGTAGGTAGATGGCGATGAAGAAAAGTATCGTGTCATCATCGCCTTTGAGATTGAGAGTATTGTCGTGCATTGTGTGTTCTATCAATAAGGCTTCGTTTTCATGATGATTCGTGTTTTTAGCACTGCTGAGGGAAGGGATTTGACTTGGTCTTATAGCGCGTTCGCGTACCTACCGAATAGGCGCATACCGGACCCTTCTCATTGTTCGAGGCATACCTATCGACATAACTTCTGGAGCTCTAGCTTGGCTTGGATTTTCAAATTCATTCTCACCGTTGGTTGTAGCTGCGGATATGCTGGTGTCGTGTCCTACGTATGCGCAACATTGATTTATTCCATGACGATACGTACGTTCTGTAAAAGGGAATCAATCGTCTGGATGTATTCATCTGCTCATGGAATTCGTGTCGGGTATATGTACAAAAAAAAACGGTATTTCTGGCTTCTCTCGCCTGGTACCAAGCCGTGACTCACGGAGTGACTTCCACTCTCGACTAGAGGTTGAGAGATAAGGCTGTATGCATGCATGCTCAAGGTTCTCCTTCCTCTTCTGCGCCATCCACTCTCTCTCTTATTCACAATTCTCCTTCATGATCATTCGCTTCTTAAGTATCTCTCCTCTTTCTTATAAGTTACCCCTCTGCGCTTGTTCGCGCTCAATAGCCTCGAACAAACTCTTGAAGTTCCCGGCCCCGAAGCCCTCGAAATCGTGCCGCTCGATGATCTCGATGAACACGGTGGGGCGGTCCATGAGGGGCTTCGTGAAGAGCTGCAGGAGGTATCCGCCCTCGTCGTAGTCGATCAAGATGCTCAGGCGCTCGAGGGTGTCTAGGTCCTGAGAGAGCTCCCACGAGCGCTTCTCCGTCTTTAGTCTGTGGCGCACGGTCTCGTAGTACGTCGGCGGCACGGCGATGAACTCTACCCCTCTTGCGCGCATCGCCGAGACGGTCGACACGATGTCATCTGTGAGTAGCGCGATGTGCTGCACTCCTGCCCCCGAGTTGAAGATGACGAACTCCTCGATCTGCGACTTCTTTTTTCCTGGGGCGGGCTCGTTGATGGGCATCTTGACGACGGCGTTGGCGCTGCTCATGACGATGCTGTTCAGCGCGGAGAAATCCGTGCAGATGGTCTTGTCGTCGACGCTCCAGAACCGGTGGAATGATAGGCATCGCTCGTAGAAGTCGCACGCTGCAACCATCTCGTTCCAGCTTTGATTGCCTACGCAGTGGTCGATGCGCACGAGGTCAATCGGCGGAAGGGCCACTGTGCTCGGTGCTGGATCCCGCGCTACGAAACCGGGGAGGAAAGGGCCTGTGTAGTCTCGCCGCGAGATTAGCGTGTGCGTGGTGTCGCCGTATGTGCGAATGACGGCTGTCATGACCTCGCCTTCTTTGCCTTCGCCGCAGATCACACGGGGTGGCTGCACGGACACAGCGATGCCGTCGGGCCCAGATACCGCACGGTCATAGACAGCCTGCACATCGTCCACATCAAAGGCAACATCTTTTACCGCATCGCCATGGCGCTCGAGGTGCTGGTGCATCTCTTCTAACAAGGCTAGTTCATCCTGTGATATGGGCTCGTCGGCGGGTAGATGTGCGTAGGAGCGGATAGGGGATGTGAAGACGAAGCGTACGTCGTTGTTGGACACAACGTGAGAAGTGAAGTAACGACTACCTGTCTCCAGACCTCTGTATGCTATCGTGCGGAATCCGAAGAGCGTGTTGTAGTATGTGGCTGCCTGCTTTGCGTTGCCCACCCACCAGGTGACATGGTCATAACCATGGAACTCTGCTACGCCGGCTTGAACTGCGTATTCGTCCGCATGGGACGGCAGTGTTGTCGACGGCTGCAGCGGAGGTGAGTCTGTGATTGCGGAGGGGGCCATGCTTGATATCTATGTGTATAAGTGATAAGAATCAATTAAGGGGATAGAAGGTAGTTCAGCTCGGCTTATGGAGGTTCGCATTACAAAGTTTGCTGCTACACTTAGAGAACACACTAGAAGTAAAGCGATTCACACCGGAAAATGATAAAGATTTATAAACATAGCGAATATCCCGGTGAATGGCATTCAATGCAACCATTATTGTGTAAGACTCGAAGGTTGTCATGACTCCTGAACGTCGCCTTCCCCAGAGACGCGGATAACGAGGGAAAGCATGGGGGCGGCTTGAATTCCGCACGCTAAACCCGCCGTCAACCACGGACTTAGCCCGCCCTTGGGAAACAAAGAAAGCTTGATAAGCCTCCAGGGGCATGGTCGGGCAGGGTTAAGGAGGACGTGCGAAGAGTAGACACAGTCGTTGACGCAACTCAGAGATAAAGCCGTCGGTTGGGCCGAAGATAGCCGCTGTCCTGGTAACACTAATTAGCTAATGAGCCGTGTCGGTTTCAGGGTAACGCACTTGGACATTGTTACTCGCAGGGTCAAGTGACAGCTAATGCTGAGTCGAGTAACAACTGTGTGACGTGTTGTACCGCCTTTGACAACCCCGACGCCACCCACACTCGGTACAGGGGCAACTAACTCAATGGCTTTGTTCGGATATAGCAGGGAACATATGTCTTCTTTCAATGGGGGCTGGTTGATAGAGATCTTGGACGCTGCTGCAATAATTAGTATAGATAGCGAACAAGGTGAATGCCGATTGCTCCGTTGCCAGTGGCCGTGACACAGTGTTTCCTTAAAAGCAAACAGGCTTCGCTTGTTATATATTTCTGCACCTATTCTCATCGTGAACACTAAATCCAATCAAGAGCAATACCATTCGCCTTTACTCTAATTAGTATCTCGACTTGTCTTTGCAATAGACCTGGCACTATCTTTTCGTAAAGGAGAGGTCGAATATCCCATTATGGCTCAAGGTTCCCTTAGTCGCCGTGACTTCAATGTCCTGGAAAAGATCAAGGACCCGGAAGCTAATCCGGTAGCGGCCGTCATGGTTGATCCGAACTTGCCCAAAGACCCAAACATCACAGACACCTCAGTGTACGAACGTATTTCCCAGAAAGAACGAGATATCGTGTTGGCTATTCAACAGTTGGAGATGGAGCTTGCTGGACTAAGAGCTTCGACGACGACGGAACCGACCACCGACTATCGCCGTTACGTCCACGACCTAGGAGATCTGATCTCAGAGTACCCTCGATATGGCAGTGCTAGAAACAACAGAGCACAGGCCCTGAGAAGATTGTATGGGGATACCATGCTTCTGCCGGAACAGCGCGACGATAAGGCACTCCTAAAAGAAGTGGATGCGAATGAAGTTGCTCAAGCTGCTTTGACGACATTGTTGGATCTCGATGAGGCCATCTCCCTGCTGACCCCGAAAAGCCCATTTGCCCCCATATCGCCAGTAGCAGGCAAAGCTCTATCACAGGCTCACACCCAGAGAGCGGTGATTTATTATATGACAAGCAAAGCAATTCGCTCGCATGATGAAATCTGTCTCGGTGGGCGTAAAGAAGAGAGGTGGACTAAGCTGGATTTCGAAAGCGCAGCGTCTAGAGATTTCGCTTTAGGTGGGAGGTATGGAAATGAAATTGCAAAGGGGTTAGCCGTGAGTACCAATCCGACGGCGAAATTATGTGGTCAGATCGTCCGGGAAGCGATGAAGAAAGAGTATGGCCCTGCATTTGCGCAATAACTAGCCTGAGTAACCAATGGATGCTGAATCAATGCACTTCTGCGTTGAATAGTGTGCACGTCTTTGAGAGATTTGCGCAGATACCCGATAAATGGAAATAATAATGCCTCCCTTAGCAAGATTCTTAAGATTTCCGAAGGAGTATCAATGGCTCTCGTAAGGTTTCTCTGATGACGGCTGGCAGCGCCCATGCACCACTGATTGGGAATGCTTTCAGATGAAAGTCGAGGGAATATCAAGTCATGAGTGCCTAGTAGGACCATCCTATAGAGCTTCCTTGGGCTTCCTTGGGCTAGCTATTTGTTTGATCGTGGAAGCAGTGCAGAGGTATTTAATTGGACTGCTTAGTAGATAGACCAAGACGCCTGGAGGTTCATGTCAGCTTTGCCAAATATATACATACATAATAAATTATCATGACTCGTACCTTTTGGCGGACTCTATAGTCTGTTCCGTTGTCTTACCCTTCTCCTTTTCCTCGCGGTTGATTCGGAGTGTAGCAGCTCCTAACCCAATAACTACAGCAAAAATAGGATCAGCGACCCGTGAGATGATATAAGTTGGAGGGGCCATTTCTCTGTATAATAAGTGATAGGAACAAGAGACTCGTCAGGCTATGGGAATTGGCTGAGCTGTGAAAGTCTATGTATCTTCACTGCACCAGCGATCTAGTCAATGCAAGCAACGTGGAGTTGAAGCTTGACATGTTACCCACTTTCCCACGGGCAGCTATTTCGAGACCCCTTTGTACGATAATGGAAGATAAGAAAGATTATGCTCTTATAAAGTACGAATATCTATGTCAAGCGCGCTATGCACTTAAGTGGAGTACATGCACTCGGCAATCAAGCCACACACCAGAAATTCTGTGAACCCCCCACAGACAAGGCAAAATCTCGGCCAATTGCACCCACCACCATTTTCGCAACTTGAAGCTCCCATTCCTCTCTCGACCTTCCCGACGGACGACGACCAGACTAACCACAACATCACCACAGCGAACTGAAAATGAAGTTCCTCAAGGTTGGCCGAGTTGCCATAATCACCCGCGGCCGCTATGCCGGCAAGAAGGTACGTTTTTGCATTTAGCTCAACCCCATCAGGAAACCAGTCGATGCCTCGAGGGAGAGGAAATTCTCGAAGGAAAAAAAAAAGTTCGAAATTACCGATATCACGACCTATGCACTTTGGAGGAGAACAGCGAACACCACATTTCATCTGCGCATCCCACCATCTTCGCCATCTCTCATGCCACGGAATTGGCGGATATTGATCCTTGTTCTGACATAACCCTTTCTTGGTACAGGTCGTCATCATCCAGCCCGTCGACAGCGGTAACAAGGCACACCCCTTCGGCCACGCCCTGGTAGCCGGCATCGAGCGATACCCCTCCAAGGTCACAAGGCGCATGTCGAAGACGCGCCAGGAGAAGCGCTCCAAGATCAAGCCTTTCGTCAAGGCCATCAACTACAACCACTTGATGCCCACACGATACACATTGGAGTTGGAAGGACTCAAGGGTGCCTTGACGGCCGAGACCTTCAAGGAGGTCAGCCAGCGTGAGGATGCCAAGAAGAACGTCAAGAAGGTTCTTGAGGAACGCTACACCAGCGGAAAGAACAGATGGTTCTTCACTCCTCTCCGTACGTTTCCCCCTTCATCTACACGTCGCTTTCCTTCATATGCACAACTCGGCCATATTCATATAATAGTCTACACGAAAACCTCCCCACAGTCAAGATCATACAGCTAACCACTCTCTTCTCGAATAGGATTTTAAGCTAGTCAACCTCTGCGTCGTCTGATTTCCGCGCGTTCGGTCTTTTTCGGTGAAACGGGTGGGCAAATGCAGGGATTTAAAGGGAGAAGGGTTCCGGTAAACTGGTATGGGATGTAAACATTTTGCATGCATGCATCATCACACAAATGGCAATTGCATTTAGGGACAATTACACACAACAACAAGAAAAAAAGTGAAGAAAACTAAGACCACAAAAAGCACCAACCATGCCAAGAATTGTCCTGCCGCCGCGTTTCTGCCAAACAAAAAAAATCATCCTGCCTACCTGATGAGAAATGATGATTTTTTTACTCGAGACAAGGGGAAAACAAAATCAAGAAGATTTTTAAACACCGATACCGAATAGTGAAGAAGGAAAGACTATGCTCGATTAAAGTAAACACTTCGCATTCTGTCTCGATGGACTATGTGATATGTCTACACTACGACTAACTTGATTATGTCTACTGAATTGTGACAACCTGCGGCTTCGCAAAATGACTAACCCTATCTGCTAAGGTGGTACTTGCTACACGCCCATTGAATCGTGGGATGGGTGCCTCGTGAAATATTGGATTTCCTTTCTTTGTCAAGTTCTGCACCGTATCGCCAACGAATGAATACTCCAGTGCTGTGCTGTGTTGTTACACCTTCGACTACATTACGCGAACGCGAGGAGAAGCGGAACAGTACATAGTGTCTGCTACTCTAGGTTGTATTTAAAATCTTCAAGGTTGTAATGGCATTCAGGTAGAAACCTCTGGTCATTTGTTATTTCATCAATCAAATCTAATTCGTACAGTTTTGTGAAATACATGTCAGCCTCGCAATGCAGATTGGAGCGCCAACCAAATCCCTGTATGTGACGCCGATTCGCCGTTCTATAATCCGCATACGATATGACTGTGCCCTTCTTCCACTCATGTCCCCGGGGCCCTGCCTCTTGTAGTTGAGGGAAACCAATAGGTTTCCAACTGTGGTCGCGAAACTTGGTGTGTGCGCAGAATGATATCCATATCGCGAGGTCCATGTTCTGCCAAGTCCCTGTCTTTCATAGTGCTGGGTTAATCGAACATTTCCACCAAATTTCCAGCGCATGTTTCAGATAACAATTGGTTCCACAGGGCGCAGTTCCTATGATGACACGCCCAACATCCGGTTTCAAATTACAACTGGTTTCACAGGATGTGGTTTTTTATGATGATACGCCCAGCTTTCCAGCAGCATTGCTTATGTACTGTGATGGGTCGTAGTCAGGGGCATAGGGAGCAATGCCGCCGAAGAGGACAAAGACGAATAATACGGCTGCGCCGATGACTACTACCTTGCGAAGGGCCGGGCTATTTGAGCCAAACTCGGCCCATTGTCGGCCAGCCTCATTAGCGTAGCCCTTCAGAGCCGCGCTACCAAGCTTGTAGTAGATCATACCGCCCAGAGCGATGGAGTAACCGAAAGCCTGGAGGCCAGAAACAGGATCAGCCCAAATAGCCATTGATGCCAAGACGAGGAGGATATCCTTGAGGACACCACAAAGAGTCATGACAACAGCAGATGTTTTGCCAATCTGCGTTCAGCAGTTAGTACCGAGACTAGGTAATAGTATAGATAAGACTTAGTTTACTCACCAGGAACACAACTGAAACGTTGAGAAGGAAGGCGCAGAGTCCGTTCAGGAAGAATATTACCAGACCAACATTGTAAACTTCATCCAGGGTGACATGGGGTACCTCCCAGATAAGAGCGACCACACCATTCATGGCTGCGCAAATGGGGGCGAAGTAGTAAAGAGAGACAAGGGGGTCCATCTTGTATTCGGCAGAGCTGAGCAGAGCCTGGACCAAATTGAGACGGATAGCCTCGAATACGACACCTCCAACCTGGTAAAGGAATCCGATCCAAACGAATTTGATTTCACCAAATGAAGCGATGATAACGCCGATAACGATGGCCGAGACGTTAAGAAGCTGCTTCAGATTGACGGGGGCAATACCCATTGCCCAACTCGACAAAAGCACGGCAACAGGGGTAGTGGCCTGTTGTACACCAAATCAGCATTAGGTTTGATTGCCTCTCTTCTCGGTTCTGCATACCTTGATCATCTGAATGAAGGAGACACTAAGGTAGAGGTAGGTCAAGTTTCCACAGATAAGACTCAAGCTGAAGAAAACACCGATGGGAAAGATGGCGCGCAGGTAGACGCGCCCAGTCATCTTAACTGACTTTCGGCCATCGAGGAGCGAAGTATAACGGGCCAATAGCTGCGTGGCAACGGTCGCGAAGGATAGATGGTACGTCGTCAAAACGACGGGATAGCCTAGGAATAGTCAGATCTTTCAACTGCCATAATGACGGCGGCGGTTGAGTTGGTGTTATCGCTTACGGAAGTTCAAGCTGTGAAGAATCCATTTGTTGAATAGGATGACGGACGACGAAAGACTGATCCAGGTACTACGTTGAGGGATAGCTATTAGTATGCGCGCGCGATTCTAGGACTGGTGTTTAAGCGTACATGACATAGAGTGCTGGATGAAAAGCAGGCTTGGGAGCTTGTGCCTTCTCGGCAACGGCAGCATCAGCAGTAGACGTCGGCAGCAGAGGGCCCTTAGCCTCTCGTGGGCTCTCGCCGGATACACGGCTCTTCTCGTCAGCCATTACGACGACAGCGGGAAGCGGACGGGGTGGAAGTAGGGAAACGAAGGTGGATGAAGGAAAACAAAGAGGTTTGCCGAACTTGAGGAACGAGTGACAAGGGAACGTAAAATTACAAGTGATAGGGTATCGAGACCGTCGAGGTATGAGAGCTTCTAATTAGAAAGAAAAAGAGACAACTTGTGAGCCAAGCATGCGACTCGAGGTTGTGTAGCCTACAGTTCCAACAAAGAGAGCCTGTGAGAGGCGCAGCGTTAGAGGTGGCAGATAAGGCCCAGTGTGTCCCACTGTAGAGCATACCGGTATGTTACCTAGCATGTGTTCATGCGACTAGGTAGTAGGCATGAGAGTACGCAATACAGTACCCGGACTGTATGGTATACATTGTTTGCTACTGTATTAATATGATACGCACTGTCATCTACCTATTTCACGTAACGCTTTGTTATCCCTGAATTCGCTCATTGCTGTTCGCCCTGGAAAGATGAAGCTGACTCGCATTCTTCCCCCAAGGCGATCTACAGTATGTAGGTAAGTAGGTAGGTACCCATTGATGCCTTTCCCGCGATACCTAGGAGTCACAAGGAGCTTTCTTGAGGCATTGTTTCTGCGCACAGCAGCGCTTAAACACAGTAGTCGAAGAATATTTATGCTAGTTAGAAGACCAGTCTAGGTAGACTTCTATCAAAGACAGCTTTAGGTAGTTATCTGCAGTTTGTTCAAATTCAACCACAAGACAAGGATAGTAGCCTACTGCACATACCAGAGCTCTATTGGTACACATTGCCTAGTGCGCTGTATATGTATGTATCCCTTTTCTTACTAGGTGAGTAAGCTATTAAAAGGAACCTATTAGATACGTCGTCTTGGCCCCGTGGATATGGGAACCACTGAGACGTCAACTTGAGGCGGGCATGCAGGTATAATATCTGTTTCATGTGAACTTTGCTGGTACTTGCGGTAGTGTGCATGTAGCTATCAACTGTACATTGCAGAGGCTTTTTTATTTATTTATAGTTTTTTTTTTATTTTTATTTTTTAATTATTGCTTCCAAGGTTTTGATTGATTGTACCGGCTTATAATATTAAGATACTGACATATTACAAGACCCGTCTGTTTTTTGCAATACCTTGTCCCAAATCTCAAGTTGCCAACTTTAACCATCAAGCTCTCAAATAATGTCTTAAGGAAAGCTTCCTCGCATCGTAATCTGCTGAATTTGTCCCGCAATTGAACAGTAGACGGCGGTCGGGGATATACTTATGACGTAGGTATTTTAATTTGCGTGTGTAAGAGCCGAGAGCCTCTCAAAAGATCCATGCACGCCTAGCAAAACCGAGACAACGCCATACACGGCCCGACGCCGACGAGCACCAAATTCTATCTGAAGCAGCTAAATGGGTGTTAAAAATAAAAGCTACCTACTTACGTATTTTTCTTATGAACCTGAACCTCTCGGGGCTTCCTGTACCTTACTATGTAATCATCTGATCTAACATCGGCTGATAACACCCTCACAGCCTTATCACGATTGACTTTTTCATGCTGTGTACCCGTCTACGGTCTTTATTTCCTTGCTTCTCGGGCTGTGAGGTAGCCTTATCTACCTATATAGATTAATGGCGACATTCAACTTGAGGCCGACTGATCTGATACCTGCCTACAGTATGTAGATACCTACTCTTCGCGTCTGAGGTCTGATGGCTACCTATGTAGCCAGCCCCATAGAAATAACCGATTTGCTTCTCGTAACGGGAATCTACCTACCTACCTAGAGTCCACGAAACCAGGGATGCGTAGCTATCAGTCAAATCAAGGCTGATCTACAGAACCAGAAGGTCAGTTATATCACAGAATTGGGAAATGAAGACACAGTAGTCTACTGAAACCACATATCTAAGGATATTGAAAGGGACGTCAAGTGCCACTTAGTAAGGCTCCGCTGCTGCTGGGAGCCAGCAGTGGAGGCATCAACTTGAAACAAGCTAGAAACGACGACTTTCGCCTGGTGTTCGGCTTGCAGATCTTGATGATCTCTTGTCCTGCGGAGCCACCCGTCCGTTGTGACACTGGAACAAGCACAGCAGCCGAAAACTAAGTACAACCCGGCCTAACTTGCCTACCTAGTGTGTAGGTAGGTAGCGAGTCTGTAGCGAGCAAACAAGCGAGACAGGCAGTGGATTCCGTAAAGGAAGTAAAACTGGAATCAACGATGCGACCTTCTTCTGCCCCGTGCAATCCAAAGCAACGGTACTGGTACTATTTTCCTCTTACCCCAAGGAAGTGAAAGTACCAGTAGAGTGTCCAATCCACTCTGAAACATTCAACAATCATGTTGTTTACCAATCTTCCATATGCTACAGACAGAAAGGAAGATTTGGTATCGCGCGTAGTTATTCAAGTTCTTTGATATTGAAAGATGGATAACGTAGTGCGTTGATAACCGCCTCCATCGGCCATACTGTAGGTATCTGGAGTGTGCACGACAAGGATTCTTACATCATTCCATCTGCCGTGCCACTAATATCGGTAATATGTCAAATCCTGGGAACCAAGGACACGATTAATGGTCAGGATTATCAACCCTGTGTGTACTCCGTACGTGTACACGAGAGACACATGGGTTGAAGATTAGAGGAAAAGTACTACTGTTAGGTGTCATATGGTTACGGTCGTGAGCCGGCGGACACCAACATGATAGCAATGTGACTGATATGTTGGCTGCCAACCTGGCGTCGGTGGAAGTACTTCTCCAAGTCCGAAATCAACACCTACCGTTCCAGAGCCGCAGAGTAATATCTACACCTACATAGTACATCATGCTACTCGCCGCACCCACACGATGTCCGCTACCGCCCACGACTCGTCCTAGTGAAGCGCTTAGCCGGTGGGACCCATTTACTAGTAGTAGTGTCATGCCGTTTGGATACAAAGGCATAGGCCAGTTGCGGAAACTCAGGCACTAAAGGACCCGCGCGGCCGATTCATGGAACTCTACTTAGATTGCCTTCGGCGTAGTGTAGGAGTGATTAGAGGAGTGATGTTGATGACGACTACCTACCTACTGTAGTAGGTACACGACCGTTCTTGCAGATCCCCGTTGATGGGTGGTGCCGAGTTGACGCGTACAGCATCTCCGATATAATCCGTAAGATGATATTCACACCCATTGCACCCATTTAATCTTAAATTCTGAAATTGTTCGGGCGGTGCAGCTGGTCGGGTGCACACCTCTGCACACCTATCAGACCAACAACGGGCACGCTTCACATGCCATTGGCCATTGGCGGTGTGCAACGCTCCCCTGATTCAGTTTCCACAGTTTTTCTGCGATCTGCCCCCTTTTTTTTTTGGTTATCGATCTCCCCTGGCTTTCTGCCCTGACTAAACTTGTCTACCCACCTGGCAGTAGTGTCAACTTCCAGGGCAGCGTTGTCGCTAGTGGCTCATAGCCAGAGCCCCCCTTCTTGGCTATCTAATCGATGATCGACTCTCGGAAACAGGTGCACGACTAATACCAACACGAGCGAACGTCAGCTTAGCCAGGAAGATGTGTGTCGTAACAAGGCACGGTGGTTTTTGGATCGTTGTCTACCCAGTTGCAACTGACTTGCACGGAGAAGGCCACGTACTTAGTCAATGGCGAAGGGCCGACGGGCGAAAGAAGGGAAAGGAGTGAGACTTGATTTCCCTCCCGCGTAACTCTTCATCGAAATTGCTGAGTGAAGATGATAGCTCTCGGGATTTGAATGACATGTGCAATGTTCCAAAATACAATCTACGAAGTAGGGAGGTAACCAGCCTAATAATATTCTTTCGACCTACAATGTACATGACTTATAGGCAAGCGAGATGTAGGTAGCGGACCAATACCTACTACACTTTGCTCACATACCTACCTAGGTTTATATATGTATACTCCGTATCTACATGTAGCATAGCATACTAAGTACATACCTTGTTGGCATATGGCCGATTGTGGCTATATTGCCGCTAGTATTGATTGAAGATTGTGGGCTAAATACGTACCCCATTGGGGCTAGGATGTATTCGGTATAAGCGAGGACAGGGTTTGTGTAACCTGCATACTGTATTTATATGGGATAAATACCTCTTTTGCGTCTTACTATATATAGCGTAGATCTTCTTCCTTATATAACTCCAGTATACTTATATAAACCTATATATATAAAGTGACCGTTTTTTTATATAGTAATTAATATAGAATATATATTAATTGACTTAATTAAAGCTAACTATTAATATTTTAAAGCTATTTTTATTAATTTTATTATATCCCTTTATACTTTATTATTATATATTAAAGGGGCTTTAATTATAAAATATATATAAAAGAAAGGCTAATAGTTATAAATAGTAAATTAATAATATATAATTATTAATAACTTATTAAAAGAAGTAATAAAATAAAAAGCGTTACTTAATAAAATGTTAGCTTAATAAATTAATATTAAGGAGTAGATTTTTAAGCTTTAAAAGGATTTTAAAACAGTTATAATATATATATATTATATAAAAGGCTATTATATTAATATAAAAGATAAACTTTTAAAGGTTTAATAATAAAAGGATTAATTAATATTAGAATTAATTAAGCGGAAAAGAAGCTATTTTAAAAAAGTTTAACTTTTTAAGGAAGTTTATATTAAAAAGCTTTAAAAAGTAGTATTATATATTAAAAATGCATTTTAACCAAATAGTAATTTATTTAATGCCTTTAAAAAGGATAACAATATAACTATTATTAAACGTAATAAGTATAAGGAAGAATTTATTATATTAATAGTTAAAGTTAATAGTTTTATTAACTATAAAGAAAAAGTTAAACAATTCCTATTATTATTAGGTAATAAAAAGAAAGATTTAAAAACGTTTAAGCTTAAGTTTAAAAAGTTAACCTTAATAAAACTGAAGGGCTATATTAGAAGAGCGGTAAAAGATTATAATCCTTTTAATTTATTTTTATTATTATTATTATTCCGTTTAAGCTTTCGATTTTAACCCTAACGTTTTTCCTTATTAAATAATTTAAATTTAAAAGATAAACTATACTGCTTAAGATATAGGTTATATAAATTATAAAAGATATATAATACGGAAAGATTTAAAAAAGGGGTTTTTAAGTTAAAGTAGTAGAAGTTAAAGTATAATCCAGATAAGGAGAATTATTTTAAAGGAGTTTAAAATTAGCTTATATATAAATATAATCTTAAACTATCCTTAAGTATAATTAGTTATAAAATTAATAACTTTATTAATAAGTATAAAAAGTTAATATT